GCTATGACCAGGACAATGTCACAGGCTGCCAAATAACCAGGACAATGACCAGGACAAATGTCACAGGCCAAGCCAAAGCCATGACCAGGACAATGTCACAGGCCAAGCCAAAGCCAGCCATGACCAGGACAATGTCACAGGCCAAGCCAAAGCCATGACCAGACAATGTCACAGGCCAAGCCAAAAGCCATGACCAGGACAATGTCACAGGCCAAGCAAAAGCCATGACCAGGACAATGTCACAGGCCAAGCCAATGCCATGAATGTCCAGGACAAAGCCATGACCAGGACAATGTCACAGGCCAAAAGCCTAACCAGGACAATGTCACAGGCCAAGCCAAAGCTATAACCAGGACAATGTCAAAGCCAAGCCAAAGCATAACCAGGACAATGTCACAGGCCAAGCCAAACCAGGACAATGTCATGACCAGGACAATGTCACAGGCCAAGCCAAAGCTAAACAGGCCAAGCTAAAGCCATGACAATGTCAGGACAATGTCACAGGCCAAGCCAAAGCCATGACCAGGACAATGTCACAGGCCAAGCCAAAGCCATGACCAGGACAATGTCACAGGCCAAGCCAAAACTATAACCAGGACAATGTCACAGGCCAAGCCAAAGCCATGACCAGGACAATGTCACAGGCCAAAAAAAGCCAGGACAAAAGCCATGACCAGGACAATGTCACAGGCCAAGCCAAAGCCATGACCAGACAATGTCACAGGACAATGTCACAGGCCAAGCCAAAGCCATAAGGACAAAAGGCCAAGCCAAAGCCATGACCAGGAATGTCAATGCCAAAGCCATCACATAACCAGGCCAAGCCATGACCAGGACAATGTCACAGGCCACCAGACCAGGACAATGTCACAGGCCAAGCCAAAGCCATGACCAGGACAATGTCACAGGCCCAACAATGTCACAGGCCAAAAAAGCTATAACCAGGACAATGTCACAGGCCAAGCCAAAAGTATGACCAGGACAATGTCACAGGCCAAGCCAAAACCATGACCAGGACAATGTCAGGACAATGGACAATCACAGGGCCAAGCCAAAGCCATGACCAGGACAATGTCACAGGCCAAGCCAAAAGCCATGACCAATGTCTGGGCCAAGCAATGTCACAGGCCAAGCCAAAGCAATGTCACAGGCCAAGACCAGGACAATGTCACAGGCCAAGCCAAAGCCAGGGACAATGTCACAGGCCAAGCCAAAGCCATGACCAGGACAATGTCACAGGCCAAGCCAAAGCCATGACCAGGACAATGTCACAGGCAGGCCATGACCAGGACAATGTCACAGGCCAAGCCAAAGACTATAACCAGGACAATGTCACAGGCCAAGCCAAAGCCATGACCAGGACAATGTCACAGGCCAAGCCAAAGCCATGACCAGGACAATGTCACAGGCCAAGCCAAAGCCATGACCAGGACAATGTCACAGGGCAAGCCAAAGCCATGACCAGGACAATGTCACAGGCCAAGCCAAAGCCATGACCAGGACAATGTCACAGGCCAAGGACAATGTCAAAGCCAAACTGACCAGGACAATGTCACAGGCCAAGCCAAAGCCATGACCAGGACAATGTCACAGGCCAAGCCAAAGCCATGACCAGGACAATGTCACAAAGCAAAGCTATGACCAGGACAATGTCACAGGCCAAGCCAAAACCAGCCACAGGACAATGTCACAGACAATGTCACAGGCCAAGCCAAAAGCAGACCAGGACAATGTCACAGGCCAAGCCAGGACCAGGACAATGTCACAGGCAAGCAGGCCAACAATGTCAAAGCCATGACCAGGACAATGTCACAGGCCAAGCCAAAGCCATAACAGGACAATGTCACAGGCCAAGCCAAAGCCATGACCAGGACAAAAAGCCATGACACAGGCCAATGTCTGGCCATGACCATGACCAGGACAATGTCACAGGCCAAGACAAAGCCATGACCAGGACAATGTCACAGGCCAAGCCAAAGCCATGAATGTCACAGGCAGGAGGACAATGTCCAAAGCCATGACCAGGACAATGTCACAGGCCAAGCCAAAGCCATGACCAGGACAATGTCACAGGGCAAGACAAAGCCATGACCAGGACAATGTCACAGGCCAAGCCAAGCCATGACCAGGACAATGTCACAGGCCAAGCAAAGCCAAAATGTCACAGGCCAAGCCAAAAGCTGACCAGGACAATGTCACAGGCCAAAACCATGACCAGGACAATGTCACCAGGCCAAGCCAAAGCAAAGAAAGTCATGACCAGGACAATGTCACAGGCCAAGCCAAAGCCATGACCAGACAATGTCAGGACACAATGTCACAGGCTGCCAAAACCAAAGCCATGACCAGGACAATGTCACAGGGCAAGCCAAAGCCCAGGACAATGTCAAAGGACCAAAATCCATGACCAGGACAATGTTACAGAGCCAAGCCAAACTATAAGCCAGGACAATGTCACAGGCCAAGCCAAAGCCATGACCAGGACAATGTCACAGGCAAGCTAAAGCCATGACCAGGACAATGTCACAGGCCAAGCCAAAACAATGTCATGACCAGGACAATGTCACAGGCCAAGCCAAAGCCATGACCAGGACAATGTCACAAAGCCAACCAGGACCATGAAGCCAAAGCCATGACCAGGACAATGTCACAATGTCAATGTCACAGGGCAAGCCAAAGCCATGACCAGGACAATGTCACAGGCCAAGCCAAAGCTATGACCAGGACAATGTCACAGGGCAAGCCAAAGCCATGACCAGGACAATGTCACAGGCCAAGCCAAAGCCATGACCAGGACAATGTCACAGGCCAAGCCAAAGCCAAAGGACAATGTCACAGACCAAAGCCAAACAATGTCACATGGCCAGGACAAAGCCATGACCACAATGTCACAGGCCAAGCCAAAGCCATGACCAGGACAATGTCACAGGACCAGGACAATGTCACAGGCCAAAGCCAAAGCCAGACCAGGACAATGTCACAGGGCAAGCCAAAGCCATGACCAGGACAATGTCACAGGCCAAGCCAAAGCCATGACCAGGACAATGTCACAGGCCAAAGCCATGACCAGGACAATGTCACAGGGCCAAGCCAAAGCCAAGGACAATGTCATGACCAGGACAATGTCACAGGCCAAGACAAAGCCATGACCAGGACAATGTCACAGGCCCAAAGCCATGACCAACAATGTCCAAAGCCATGACCAGGACAATGTCACAGGCCAAGCCAAAGCCATGACCAGGACAATGTCACAGGCCAAGCCAAAGCCATGACCAGGACAATGTCACAGGCCAAGCCAAAGCCATGACCAGGACAATGTCACAGGCCAAGACAAAGCCATGACCAGGACAATGTCACAGGCCAAGCCAAAGCCATGACCAGGACAATGTCACAGGCCAAGACAAAATATGACCAGGACAATGTCACAGGCCAAGCCAAAGCCATGACCAGGACAATGTCACAATGTCCATGACCAGGACAATGTCAGGCCAAGACAAAGCCATGACCAGGACAATGTCACAGGGCCAAGACAAAGCCATGACCAGGACAATGTCACAGGCCAAGCCATGACCAGGACAATGTCAGGACAATGTCACAGGCCAAGCCAAAGCCATGACCAGGACAATGTCACAGGCCAAGCCAAAGCCATGACCAGGACAATGTCACAGGCCAAGACAAAGCCATGACCAGGACAATGTCACAGGCCAAGCCAAAGCCATGACCAGGACAATGTCACAGGCCAAGCCAAAGCCATGACCAGGACAATGTCACAGGCCAAAAGGCCAACCAGCCAATGTCCAGGGCAAGCCAAAGCCATGACCAGGACAATGTCAAAGACAAAAGCCATGACCAGGACAATGTCACAGGCCAAGACAAAGCCATGACCAGGACAATGTCACAGGCCAAGCCAAAGCCATGTCACAGGCAAGCCAAAGCCATGACCAGGACAATGTCACAGGGCAAGCCAAAGCCATGACCAGGACAATGTCACAGGCCAAGCAAAGCCAAAGCCCAAGAAAGCCAGGACAATGTCTGCCGCAAAGACAAAGCCATGACCAGGACAATGTCAAAGGCCAAGACAAAGCCATGACCAGGACAATGTCACAGGCCAAGCCAAAGCCATGACCAGGACAATGTCACAGGCCAAGCCAAAGCCATGACCAGGACAATGTCACAGGCACAGGGCAAAAGCCAAAGCCATGACCAGGACAATGTCACATGTCACAATGTCACAGGCAAGCCAAAGCCATGACCAGGACAATGTCACAGGCAAGCAAGACCAGGACAATGTCACCAATGTCACAGGCCAAGACAAAAAGATGACCAGGACAATGTCATGGGCAAGCCAAAGCCATGACCAACAATGTCACAGGGCAAGCCAAAGCCATGACCAGGACAATGTCACAGGCCAGGACAATGTCACAGGCCAAAGACAAAGCCATGACCAGGACAATGTCAAAGGTCATGGAGAAGCCCTGACCAGACTGTGCTGACAGCTCAAAATATAACTTAAAAGAGCGACAGAAATGTTTGAAGACTGTTTTCACAATTCTGACATATCTTGATTATTTTTATTTTGATGCAAAATGTCAGTATCATATTTGATAGATTGTTCTTACAGACATCTAATAACTCAAAAAGCAAGCATGTTTTTACATGCACTATTTCCATTTGTGTATAAACTAGAAAAATCTAAGAAAGAATGAAATTGTTATGCAGGATACTGATAGCATCAAAACGCTGAATACAGTTACAAACTGTTGATAGGAGGTTATACCGAGATCCCATAAAGATCTTTGTAAATCTTTATTCTGTACCCACCTCTCCTCACATACACAACATACATTCAAATTCCACTTTTGCATAAATGGTAGATAAGAAATAAAAATGCTTCCAAACATTTTGTAAAACAAATTCAGAACGTGTTTCCTTTCATATGTAAGGGAAATTATTAATAAATTCACTAGAGAATATTGATTTCCAAAGTTCTCATTACATACCGTATTCAAATCTTCTCTTTGCTGGTCAGTTCCATTGGTTGTGGCAGGGAATGTGAGCCAATCAACAGGTTCACAGATGTCTTGACCCCAATTAGAGGCCCAGACACTCACTCTTCGGTCAGCAGAAGTGATCAACCAAAGGATATTAGCAGGAAAACCAACATCCACAGTCTGAAATAAAAAAAATCATTTTACTTGGTTTTGTTTTGCTTTTTTTTTAAATAAATAATATTTTCTTTACATCTTCATTATTCAAAAAAATCGTTACCGTACATTGATCTTTTTTATAAATGAGTTATTGTCATTTTTATTCTTATAGTCACAACGTTTCAGATATGGTACTCTTCATGTACCTCTTATATTTGTTAATGTTGTAAAAATTTTGAAGAAAACCCTTTATTCAATCCATGGGGTAGACTGTTCTCATTCTGCTGCCCATAGAGGATATCATACATTATTTAATTCTTCTGTTAATTCCCCCTTTTGATGTTGATTCTGATTGTTCTGCTGAACAAGAGTAAATGGAAGCAACTGCCTGATTCCCAACCACCAGGTAAGTTACAACACTCAACCAACCTGCATAACCACTAAGTTATTGTTCTGTAAAAAATTTATATACTTAAACTTTATGCCTGTTCTTTCTTGATCAAAGAATCCCATATAGTATTCAATTTTCTGCCAGGCCTACTTAGTAGGTTATTATGTGTGCAGAACAAATTTTAGTTAAGAAATATGATATCCAAATTGAATATATATATATATATATATATATGTTATAGATTTTCACATGTGGACAAAAACAATTACCCACTACAAAGATGCATTCTTGCTTTGATGCCTTTTGTGCATCTCAATGGGTGGGAACCAGTCATTTTTCATATAACCCCAATTTAATGTCATGAGGTTAATATCTGAGTTTAATTTTATAAAACCTATTCCATTTAAGACAAATACCTTCTACTCTCCCCTGACAACTGTCACATGCTTTTCGTCTGACTGAAACATTGAAATGGATAAATTCTGTATTAGTTTTTCGACAAGTGTTTTTTTTTTTATAGCTTTCACAGTTAAATTTCTATTTGACATGAACTCAATCTATACCAGGGTTGAATAAGACTGATGAATTATATTTTTGTCAGTCAAAATAAGCTTATTCCCCATATGATGTTATTTGGGATTTTATTGTATATTAATATATATATATATATTAGTTAACATTAAATTCATTAATTCACTAGTTTTGAGTGTGTAGTATGTGATTCACACCAGGAAATACTAAAGGTCTGAATCAAAATTCATGTCCATCAAGAAGCTTTAATCTAAAAAGAATTGATCTGTGGTGACCCCAAAATGTACTGGGTTCACCCTAAGAGATACCAAAGTAAGTTTTGTACTCAGTGTCACAATAGAAGGTCAATCAAAAGAGCTAGGTGACTAGAAGGTAACCTCATAGCCATAAAGCATAGAATCAGGCCTCAAAATATGTCAGAGGTGTTGCAGTTTTTGGGGCATATTTACTAGTGAGCTAGCCAAAATGAGCTGACTCATTTTATAGTCCACAAATAGAAGGGTTAACCAATCAGAAAGCTCAAAATATTCAATCCGATGTGTATAAAGGCAGCCATTTCGTTTTTTTCTCCCAAATTATCCTCACTGGCAACCTGATATCGAAGACTTAAAGAATTACTTAACAGCCACTACTTTCTCTGAATCTTCACTGCCAAACTCTGATATTGAACACATAACAGACTTCACTGGATTCCATATTCAGAGACTACGGCAAACATGGTCAACAAGAGGCTACAAGGACATAAAGTCAAAGTCAACCAAGCTAAACATAGGATACACACAAACACACAAGACAATTGGATGATAAGAAGTTAAATAAACACCTGTATCATTGCAAGAACTCAGTAATGGATAGCTACAGATAGTTTTTGCCTTACCAGGAAATGGCTACATCAGAAGCCAGTTGAGTTTTATGAAGCTGGCATATCTGCACTGATTCGTAGGTGGAACAATGCCACTGAAGAAGGTGGTGACTATGTTGAGAAGTAAGGATGTGAACCTGTGATGTATAGCTATATCTTGATGTATGATATGTCTTCCTTATTTCTTATATCAGGTGTAACATAAAAGTTGTCCAAATCGTGTAACAGCAAAATTGTTTAATTGTTAAATTAAACTAAGAACTGTTATATCTTAGAAATAATTAAAGCTATTTTACTGGAATTCTCCAAGGTTTTTATAAAACTATTGGACTCTACTTTGAACAATAAGAATACATAATTATTCTCCAAGATTAACAGCAGAAACATAAATGAAAATGACATGTTCATCATTAATTCATCATAGCTAAGGATTGAAAGCTCATGAAGTTCAAATATATATATATATATATATATATATATATATATTTCCCGGATCATTTTCCAACTTATTCAAGATGATCCTCACCCTCTCTATCCTTCTAATGTTCTGTCTTGGAGTAACACGACACCTCACAGGTTTCACGTACAATTTCATTTCCAAGTATTTTTTCACTGCTCTTTGGACTGTCATAGCTGAAACTCCTCTCTCATGTGCCAACCCTCTTATGGATTGAGTTGGATCTTTTCTAATTGATCTTTTTATCTCTAAGTTGAAATGATGATCCCTCTCCCTGTTGTGATCTCCTGATCCAGTTTTCCTCTCTACTGTTCCCTCTTTTTTAAACTCATTCACTGTTCTATTGATGGTTCTTGAATAAACTTTGAAGATAGAAGCCAGAGTATGAATGTTGGTACCATTAATGAAGGACTGAATGATTTTTTCCTCTCACCATTGCTCATTTGGGAAGACAGTGGGGCTGACAAAAAATGATTTTAACCTGTTCTCTTCCTAGCTGAATAACTCAAAAGGTTTTGCAGTGATTCTTACAACAAATGATGTCAAGATGGCTAAATGTCTTATCTGAAAACCTGGAAAAAAGAAACTCAATTAGTTTAGTGTTTTTTTTTAGATATTAAACATTTTGTGGAATGCTGTAAAAACAATTTGGACAATTTTGCTGTTACGCCAGGTATAATAAAACAAATTGCATTACTTTCTGACTCACCTTTGTGGGTGTGTGTGTGTGGGTGTAAGAAGAGTTTAAGAGAGATCAGTGGCAATATTACAATAAGGAATGACATGATAGTGAAAAACTAACCTCAGGACGAAAGACAGCATCAATGCTTGTGATAGTAGCACCTTGCTGAGCAGTGATCACTCGTATGGTCATCCCTGTTCTTGGGTTACTAATGGCAACGAGACCATCAACTGCTCCAGACAAAATTGTGTGACCTTGAAAAAAAAAAAAAAAATTATTTATATAGATAGAACTTAACAAGAATCAGTAATCTCCAGTAGTCTATATGTCAATTTATTAAAACTAATAGTACACATTTCAGTTTTGCTATTTGAATTTTCTGTTGAATTGTAATTCTTATGGCAATGATTGAGTAAGCTCCTTGCAAGTTCTACGATTATAAAAAAAAAATGAAAAATTCCCATATTACATTGTTAAATATTTGAGCTTAACAACTTTAACAAAATATTGTATTACAATCATAAATATGAATGCAGGCCAATATTTAAAGAAGTAAGAGGGTACAAATTAAAAGATTTGAAATTGACAAGATCTTTCATTTCAAATGAAATCACTATCACCTGCTCTTCTTTCTCTCACTGAAATCAAACAGCATCTATATATCTATTCTGTTTATCAACTCAATCAAAACAGAATAGTCCATTTTGTGTGAGGTATTGTCAGGGCATAACGGTTGTGCTAAGAAACAAAAGCACAGACAATTATAATATGATGCATGCATATTTGTCTATTTTTCTAATTAAATTCTATTCAGATTCTCTTAGTAATAAATCATTAACTTTAAAAACTTGTTTGTCTTCCATTTTATTTAACCTGACAATTTAAGAATCATTTCTTTATTTCTATGCATTATTTTTATTACAGAGTGAAAATCTAGTGATAGCAATTGTAACTTAGTAAGCCTGAACTATCCATCAATTATAACAACAAATCAATCTGATACATTAACCAATGCAAAAAGGACAAGATCATAAATAAACTCTTACTGTCAGGTGAAAAAGTAATGGCTGTCACTGAGGAGGCATGTGGATGCATAAGAAAGAGTTGCTCCATATTGTTAATATCAAACAATCGAATCACACCATTGCTATAACCAGCTGCCACAAGAGATGTACTGTTCTTGGAGTCAGTTCCTTTCTCATTTGCAGGCCTCATTTCCTCTTCAAAAAGACTTGAATCAGAAATCATGCTGGGGGAAACAGATACACAAGTACAGGCCTGCAATTAAGAACATTGATAAAACAAATTATAATATAGGAAGGAATAAAATAAACAATTTAAGCACTTACTGATTCCTCTTTGACGTCAAGATTTTCAAAGTATGAAAAATAGATTAAATAATGACTATAATAGAACATCAATTTAGTTCATTCATTAATATAAATCTTTGTATCTGGCACTGACATCAGGAATGAAGATGACAAAATCCAATGATCGATCTTTGCCAGTTCAAAAACAGCATATAGTCATTGCTTCTTTCACTTTAGTACAAGGTATAGAGTAACAATTTGCAATTCAAATCCCAATGATATTCACTCTGCACATTTACAAAAAAAATATTCAGTGGATTTAATATAAGAATGAATTTAATGTTGCAGAAGAGGCTGTGGGGATTGTCTGAGAAATTAATCACATACACACAACAAAGTCATTTTAAAATTTGTTTTTAAATATATAGATTAAAAAAATTTATATATAAAATCCAAAGTAATCAAGATTTAAAAACAAGAGCCACTGTTCACCATAATTTTTCCCCTCTTTTGGACCCCAACCCTATCCAAAACATTGAATCCATCCCTGCAAAGTCGAATTAATGTTTGTTACCCAATGTATTTTAATTTGCTAAAAAATTAAAATCTAACACCTAATACCTCAGCTCTAATTTACAGAATAGACTAAAGACTTGAAATTTCACAGTTCAATCTTTGTTGTCCGTTTATCCTGGCATATTTAAATAGTAAATCATTTAAAATAATAATCAAATACTAAATTAGGTATCATATCAGCTATTTTTCTATTTTTAGGCCTGTGATTTGAATGTTTTTTTTAGCTGTGTACTTACAAACACTATGAATCTGCTAAGAAAGTAACTTAATACTTAATCTGTTAGAAGTAATCTAGTCTTTGCAATGGTAAAACTTTTAGAACAAGGTTCTATTGTGCAGTGGTCAATATTCAAATGAGAAGTTACACTAACTGAATATGGACAATGTTCTTTGTTCTGGTCAGGGGAAATTATTTATAGTCTTCACTCTTCAAAGGTTTACATTAGATGACCAGGATATGAGCCCTGCTGACAGCAATGACAGGGTTATGATATGCTGGATATGTGGTGTGTCTGCTGGGGACAAAGTCAGATCAGATTCACTTCTTGAAAATCTAGGCTTTGATGACCTTCAATCAATGCTGCACAGCAATAGATTAGATATAATAAGCAGAATGAGAATGACATGAGATGACCTTTGACATTTTTTTTTCAAAAATATATATCTGGTAATAATGTATTGCTGGTAATAATTTTTTCTTCAAAAAATTTATTGCTGGTAATAATTTTTTTTACAAAGTATTTCTGGTATGAGGACCTATTTTTACACTTTCATAGTGTTTTGACACCAGTTTGGGGGGTAACTATTTGCCCATAGCTAGGACCCTAACAGATGCTACCACCCTGGGTCAGGGTGGATCTGAAAACACCAGCAATAAAAAGATGGTTCCACGCTCCTCAAAACCTCCTGATCAGAGGCCATGCTGTTGGACGTAGTTTATCATCTTACCCAGGATGCGGACGTAGTTTATCGGCATACCCAGGATGTGTACAGCCATATACTAGACATGGTAAGCAGAATGAGAACACTAGACCAGCAGATTAAATAAATGGCTCAGTTTTAAATACCCTGAATTCCTAAATTGACAAAAATATGATGAAAGCCAGAGGACATAATGGCCGAAATGTGATTACAACAAAAATGAGGACAATAGTCCGCACGTAAAATAATGTAATTAATGATAATTCTTCATCATTCAAAGAGAAATAATAATAATAAAAAGATATAAAAAGTTTAAAGAATGTATGAAAATATTCAAATATATAGTGAATCTAACTTTTGAACATTATTTTTCTATAATTGATCAACTCAAATGATTTCCTCATTACAAAAAAATATTGATAATCTGTGAGAAGTTTAGAGAAGTTTTTATTATTTTTTATTCTTTCATTAAACTTAGTGGTTGCATCAAAAACTGATTATCCTTGACCAGACTTAGTATAAATTTTTAATTAGTGTTTCAAAATAATGAACAAGATAGATTTTTTTTTATATTACATACATACATACATAGGCATGGTTTTTGTTGAAGCAGGATTGGGATTAATCACACACAAAGCAAGGTGGGTTCTGCCTGGCAAAGGATTTGTCATGATTTGAGGTAAGGTTTTATAAGGCCAGATGATCTTCCAGATGCTTAACTCAGGCACTCATAGTAGTCCAATCCAAGTACACCGAGTATTTTTATCAAGACACTATCTCTAGGAATGTTGCCATTCAAGGCTTGAGACCTCATTGTAACCGTATATATATATATATATATATATATATAAAATAGGATATAGAATCCCGACAAAGTTTTTAAAAGTCACTCATTTTCTTTCTTTAATCATGAGAAATGCCAGCTTAGAGAAAAAGTATTATGAATCATTATTTCAGCATACACACACATTTCTTTCTTTCTTTCACTTTTAGATTTGATGTATCCTAAAATGGCAAAACACATAATCAAATCTATTTTCAATGAAACGTTTTCCAGTTGTCATATATATATATATATATATATATATATAAAACATGCATACATATGTTGGCCATTGGCTCCTATAAGAAGATAATCCCTGTGGAGTGACATGCTATACTCCTCACCAGGAGAAAAGCTAGCCAACCACCATCCATGTGGCAGATTGTCATGGGTCACATGCTACCAGTAGCAGGCCTAAGTCTGACCTGACCTAAAAAAATTAGTATTCATTTACTTACTCCACTCAGAGCACAAAACATGGCTTTCATTTCCCACGTCTCTCTGCTCCACACACGAAGAACGCCATCGTCACAGCTGGAGATTAAATCATTATTAGGAGATACCGCAATGCCAGTTACCTGAAATCATAAATTATAATAAACTAGCTGTTTACATAACCAAAGATATCCCAGGTAGGATATATCAAAGAAATACACCAACACATTAATTCACTCAAACAATTACTCTCAGTAAAACAGTAAGTGGAGTAAAAAAAACAAATGGATTTGAACCTGGGAGATTTATCTAGCATTTCAGATATTATTGCTTACAATTGACATTACTACTATGCCACCACTCCCTTAGTTATTTTCTGCATTCACTAAATATTTCCAGTGGTAAAGAAAAAAAAAATATTAAATGGTTGCACACCAAAAATTTATTTTAGCAAGCTTCAGCACACATTCTGAGCATTGAAAATTCAGAACAAAAAGGATTGTCAGTTGGGAGTAATTAAAGCAAGCTTTTCTCATGGAATATGGCTACTTTTTCTTTTTAGAATTCATAAAAGTTTGACATTTAAATAAAAAATGATGACAATTATACTTCTGAAAATTTTATTATAAAAAAGGAAAAAATCTAGTTAAATACAAATTATTTTAAAAGAAAATACTAAAATATCAAGAGAAAATGTAAATTTTGTAGTTTACAAAAACTTGAAATGCATAAAGTTTATCTCTAAAGCATTCTATTAAAAAAGAAAATGAAATAAAAGGATTGTTCAATTTGATAAAAATAGAAAAAGAAGTTAGGAGGATCAAAATACCCAGAAATTGATTCAGAAACCTATTTTAAATAGTAGAACATATATTCAGTTTGTTGCAGATTTGAATCTGTTGTGGAGTTATTTCGCAGTGGAGGCTTGTATTTGTACTAAGTTGGTCCTAAAATAGGTTCGACGTACAAAATGTTAGGAACTTGATATCATAGGCATTACACAGAGTTATCTAGTTGTGGTCGCTGATACTTTCGTATTCTCCTAACTGTCGTCCGACATCGACTCACTGACTGACTGACCGATCGACTGACTGACCCACTACTCCTACTTATTATAGGTGGGAGAGTCTATTAACTAAATAATAGGTGTGTTCCACCATAACACCCTCCTCCTTCTAAAACTTTACTCCGTAGGAGTAAAACAGTTTTCTTTATTTTCTGTTTTTTACAGGAAATATCAAGAAAAAACAATAAACAAAAAAAAATTCATTTTTTTAGCAACATCATAGTGTATCTCCTACGTTTTGGATCCACTTGTAAATGATCAGTTGCCTTTCTTTTTCTCCTGGATCGGCGTACCTCAGGTAAAACTATTGCAGGTGTTGTTAGATCAAACGTATCGAAAATCACCTCCACGTAAATTTTTTTCCTTTCACCAAGTACATCATATTGCCAATCTGCTTTTCTATTTTTTGGTACCTCCATAGTGTTACCAGAAACCTTCTGGTTTGAGCTTCTTAAGGATGGTGTCACAGTTTCTGTAGGTTCTTCTTGTGGTTTTATTTGTCCTGCCGCTAGCTTTACTTCTGTTGATCTTGTGCTTCTTAACGTTTTCTGTGGTGACTTCAGTTGACTTAAATCATTTAATAATACTGCATGTCCTTGGCTGCGAGTAACTCGCTCCCCAGTTTTTCTCGGTGTCGGCTTCATCTTTACTTTCTGGAGCTTTTTTTTTCACGTATACCGTCAGTGTTGCCCATTCACTATATTCAACTTTTTTAAGTACACTGGTTTTCTCTAATCTGTCTAATTCTTTATCTATCTGTTCAATTGAGGCAAACAGCACATTCCTTTTCTTTTTGAATACCGCCTGAGCGTTTTCTTTCAGCTGGAATTTTGCCTCCATCTTGGTACACGTTCCCAACCCTGGAGAAAAAACAGTAGGAAATGTTTCCTTAAGTTTCTTTAATAATTTTTGGGCTTCGGTGTTTAAACTTTCTACCTTGTAACAGAAAGAATTTATCGGTAGATCCCATAATTGGAATTCTGTAATCCAATTCGTACCAAGTAAGTTCATGGTATTTTCTATGACAAATAGTTTAGCTTTTTGTGTTTTTTTATTTAATGTGATGTTTGTAACAAATTCGCCAATAAATTGTATTTTTTCTCCCGTCACTGACCTCGCGATTTTCTTTGTCTTCAATAAAGTTGGTTTCCCCAATTCAATTTTCTGGTTATTCCATTGTTCACCTCGTTGGACTTTAATTTTCTTATTTTATTGTCTTTATTTTTTGACCTGCAGTGCGAGCTTTTATGACCCACTCTTTTACATTTGAAACATTTTTTATTCCTAAAATTGCAATATCTGCACCAGTGTAGTTCATCGCAAGCAAAACATGGCTTCGGGAGTTTTTGTTTATTTTTCTCTGGTATTTCACTTTTTGCTTGATAATCCGCAATTTTAGAATTCTTTTTAGCTGACTGACTTTCTTCTTTGTAGCGTATTTTCCTTACATGCGAAATGCCAGACAGTTCTATCTTTTTTTAATCTTTCTTTACGCTAACATATCTTGTGCAGTCTTCTGCCAACTTCTGTATCGTAAGACTTGGATCACTTTCCAATTTTGCCAGTACTAATTTTCTCAACTCTGTGTCTCTTTCCAATACCAGCCCCTGAACAAACACTAAGCACTTAAAATTGTCTGTGCTTAACTCTGCCAGCTTGAATTCTTCACAATGCTTATTCACATTGGCTGCGTACGTTATATAGTCTTGTTCATCATCTTTCATCAGATTCAAACATTTCCACCTCTTGTGAAACAAAGATGTCTTTTTACTAAATAATTCATTTAATATATTTACCGCCTTGGTAAATGTCAATTCGCTAGTTTTTTTTCGGTAAAATGTAGTTTACCAATTTGTTCCTCATTTGCTTAAAAGAAGTCTAACTTTCTTTCCTTCAGACCACGAGTGGCAGTCCTCATTATACATGTCCGTATATTTTTTATAATACTCCTCAAAAGTTATCTCTTCATCTGGACTGTACGTGAATATTTCAATTGAATTTCATATTGTATTCTCTGGGAAAGAATCATTTTGTAGATTTTTCTCTTTCCTCTTCTCAGTTATTTCCAGAATTTTGTTTTGAAACTCCCTATGCATCTGTTCCATTTCTTGTTGAAATTGCATTTGTCTATTGAAAGTTTCCTCCTGTAGTTGCATCTGGAATGTTTTCTGTTGCTCTAATATTGTCATCTGTTGTTCTGACTGGAACTTAAAAAATTCCTGGAATATATTTTTGCATTCCTCCATCTTCGCAAAAATTTACACAATGCCTAAATACTGTAGGGGGGTCCTATGAATTTGCAATTCGTGACCTATTTGAGCAAACTGTATTATCGGAGAGAAAAAATATTTCTTTTCTCAGTTGAGAATACGACAGATTTTTTTGTCACTAGGTTGACGTCATGGCTTGCGAAAAACTTTACCAAGTTTTTTTTTTTTTTTTAAGTATGAATCCGAGACTTTGACACCGAAGTTATTGTGGCGAGCAAATTTTTTCTTCATCTGTATGGGTACGAATTTCATTGCCAAAAATTGTTATGGCAAGCGAATTTTTTCTTCCTCTGTATGAGTACGAATTTCGGCACCAAAAATTGTTATGGTGCGCAAATTTTTTTTCCCACCGTACGAGTACAAATTTCATCACCAAACGTTGTGGCGAGCAAATTTTTTTTTTTTCCCCTCCGTATGAGTACAAATTTTGTCACCAAAAATTGTTATGGCGAGCAAATTTTTTTCTTCCTCCGTATGAATCCGAATCCCTCGTCACCAAATATTGTTGTAGAGTTATTTCGCAGTGGAGGCTTGTATTTGTACTAAGTTGGTCCTAAAATAGGTTCGACGTACAAAACGTTAGGAGCTTGATATCATAGGCATTACGCAGAGTAATCTAGTTGTGGTCGCTGATACTTTTGTATTCGTCTAACTGTCGTCCGACATTGACTCACTGACTGACCCACTACTCCTACTTATTATAGGTGGGTGAGTCTATTAACTAAAGAATAGGTGTGTTTTACCATAACAGAATCAATCCACAACAAAGAAAAAGGAAAGGTGTTTAAATATAAAATATTTTTATTTTGATGTTTTTTGCAACCAAATTTTTTTTAGTGTATATAAGTGTTGAAGTGCTTACAGTCCTTGTTTGTAGTTGCTTGTTAAGATGAAAAAAAAAAGTGATTTCTCTGTGTATATGTATGAGAAAAAAGAGGCGAAGAGGAAAGTGTAAGTGTCACATAGCTTGACAAGGAAGACAGGTCAATGAGTAAGGGAATTTCTTTTCAGACCTGGTGCCATGAATCTGTTGCTGTCCCTTACCTTCCGTTTGTCTGATCTAGAAACATTGCTTACATACCTTTCAATGGAATCAGGAAGCACGTTTTTTTTTTATTGTTAGTGGGAACGCGACCTTACTCAGAAACCATTTTTTGTCATTTGGTGTTTGACTGTTTATTTCTGTCTTTGCTACAGAAGTTTACAATATTCATCCATATACAATGCAAAAATCTATGTTATCCAAATCAAAAGCTAAAATAGAGTTGGAATTACATGTTGCTGAATTAAATATTTTGGCAATATTGTTTACTTGTATTAAACAGATGTGTACAGTAGTTTCATTTTAAAATAGTACCTCTCATAAATGGCTAACTTTCATATACATCTGTTTATACTTGACAAAAATGACTTGCAATGTTAAGTGATTAGTTGCCATATGTCTACAATCAAAGGGTGTGTTTTTTTTTTTTGACAGAAATCCTTATTTTTATCCTTTTTTTTGTTGATTTCACATAAGGGAATGACTGCAAAACATTTTCCCCTCCTTTTTTATAGGCAAAAAGTCCACAAAATGCATGCTGGGATATTTTCCTTAGCCAATAAAATGGGATGCCTTGCATTTTGACATGACTCAGTCCAGATTTGCTTTATCTACTTGACAGACCTACTGCATTTGCTTGTCCAACCTTGCTTTTTGTGTGCAAACACCAACTCATAGTTTGTGAAACCTTTTGCCTTCTTACCTGTTGATTTGCTTTGCACTTATTGTTTGCATGCTTGCTTGATACTATTTCATTTTTGCCATTTTTTTCTTTTTATTGCAAGCTTTATTAATTCTATTTGTTGGACAGTTGTCTTATTTATCTTGCATTTTGACAATGGCTTCTAATTCATCACTTCTCTGAGCAAAAATATCAAAGTCCAGGGTTTTCTAAAATCATCTTAATGATGGAACATTTGATGTGAAAAACTGATACCATCTTTATAAAATGAGAATCACATTATATATTGATATATGATTTCTACATATAAAAATAGGGGATCACATTGTATACATATGAATACAAAATAAATTTTTATAAATTTCAGAAAAGTTTTCTTGCTTACATTTTTCATGTGTCCAGAGACCAAATGAATGGATGATCTTTCTGTCCAGTTGACACAGAAGATAGTACCAGAATCCGTACCAACAACACCCTAAAAACAATATTAAATAATAAAACTGTTTACATGGAGATATCAAAAAATTTTTCATATTTTCTCAAGTAAAATAATTTTAAATATAAAATCCACATGAAATGAAAATAATCAAAATACTGCTGGCAACATAGAAGCCTAGAAAAAAAAAAATGATAGTCAGGGTATTTATTTTAAGCACAGAAGTTGATATATATATAAAATATAAAAGGCTCAAACACTAATATTCCATGGCTATAATTTATTACATTGGAATCGTAATCACAATCCAATTCGTCAGATCTATGATTCCAATGTAATAAATTATAACCATGGAATATTAGTGTTTGAGCCTTTTATATTATATTCTTACTCTGTCCTGGACACTGAGTTCTACCTGGATTCTATCTTCTTGGGAATTTTTATATATATATATATATATATATATATATATACACACACACATATATATATATATTGACCACTTATATAAAGTAGTATCAGAGTTTCTGCACCGCATCACCTGCAGAGGGATAAGACGTTCCTATCCCTCAAAGTAGTAACTTTACAAGTAGATACTCACAGACTCAGGTACAAACCAAACATGTCTTTTTTTTTTCTTTCTTTTTTTTTTTTAACTCTTATGCAAACTGGGCCTATATTTATAGTTGATTGGCTCTTTCAATTTTGTAATAGAGGACTTGTTCTGGAAGCCAAAGTAGCCAGACTGTAACAAGCTTCGATTATTTACCTTTATTTTATCTCTATATAAAGCAACAGTATTATTAGACAAAAGTATGAATTCTGGAATTATGTTTGGCATGGTCATTTAGAATCATCCAATCGTTTGAAACTAGAAGAAATATACTTGACTTGAGCATTACTATTCCATTACTACTTATCACAGTTAATAGCTGATACAACTAGATAAAATCATTTTAAAATATGCATCGTGAACTGCTTTTTTCAGTACCTAATAAAGCAAAACAGAAAAAAATAAAACATATGCAAAATGTGGCAATTACACAACTTGCACAACATGCATTTTATCCTAAGTGATACTGCATCATCTTGCTAGTAAAATAAATAAATAGAGACAATGAGAAAGCTGATTAAAAACTAAAAAAGTGTCCAAAACAAACCATCTCAAAGTCATCATCAAATGCAGCAGCTATAATGGCACCATCCAGCCTCATTTGACATTCCATCACAACTTGGGGGTCAGAGTTTTCTGGGGCAGGGCAGATATTGGCTATTGACCATAATTTGAGAAACTGACCTACGCTTCCAGTCACTAAATACTGACAATTACAAGTAAGCACACCTGAAAGTAAAAAAAAAAAAGTAAAGAAAATAGAATTCAGGGAAGTCGAAATTTGGTCTATGTATGTTCATAACAAGACAATTGTTGGGCATTTTAAAAAATTATTGTTGGCATTCATAACGTCTTCAGGTTTCTAGAAAATAATTTTAAAATTTGTCACAAGCAGAAAATAGTTTAAAAACATTCATTGAAATATCAATAAACATTCAATGTTAAATCAAGTTAAATGACAAGAGTGTGTTCTATTCAAAATTAAAGTTTTTTTGTTACTTTTGTTTTTGTTGTTGATGTTTAATCACTTTAACATCCCCCACCACTCAAGTGACTTTTAAACATCATTTACAGAAGTTTTGGCAATTAAAAATTTTCTACCCATTAAAGCAATCAAAAAGAGGAAAATACTTTATTTTATTGATAAAGCTATTGTTCACTTATATAAATACATAAATTTTTAATTGCATTATCATCAAATTTGTTTTGATACTTCCAAGCATAGCCATCAAGACTTTTTACATATTGAGTCCCATTCAGCATTTCCTACTTCATATGTTAAAAAGACTGTTTGGTTCTAAAAAGCTGACAACAGATCTTCCTCAAACAGAGAGAAACGAACAGCCAACAATGGGTTGTCAACAATTGGTTTACGTCCTTTTAGTAATTGAATATCCTTCCACCTAAGCCAAGATGTGAATAGGAGGATGTTACAGTGATTCATTTTTATTTATAATTTAATCATGAATAATCAACACTCTCAATTAGACATCTCCACTGAATTTTCGATACCTAAGGTTTAAAATGAATTTTTAAAAATGAAAAAGTATTCTTGAAGCTTTGTTTTTAGCTTAAATTGAAAGCTAAATGATTAAATTTACTACTTCCAGTAAGCAAAATAATCTGGTATATTTCAAATAGAAATTATATTGATTAGAATCTTGACTTTTTGCTTGCTTTCAGAAATCATTTAAATTCAGACATTTTTGACATATTTGTAAACAAAAGTTATATCTCGGTTTTAAAAATCTTCCAGAAATAAAATATACTTTTCTGAAACTTTATTTGACAAATATTAGCTGATTTAAAGTATAATTAATCTAATTTGAAAAAATATTATTTACTTTAAGTTTAAAATAACAGAGAAATGGATTTTTAAAACAAACAGTAGCAGTGATTATGTGCTTGTCACTTGATGCTCATTGATCATTTAACAGGCATAGATATGGTGTTGACATATTTATTGTTGTTCTACAGTGACTTTATCTGTAAAACATAATTTAAGAAAATAACAGGTGGGCGCCTTTTTTTTTATATAATTTTAAATCTTAAAAATGTTGGAAAATATTCTCCATAATCTATTTTTAAGAATGTTGAATTTAAAATTACTATAGTAATCACTATTATTTTTTAATTATGCCATGTATGGTCACCATACTTTCAAACTGGGGCATGTTACATAATATTTTATATGCATAAAAATAATTAAAAATTATTTAAAAAATCTTGGTGCAAAATGACTTATATTAAACTTTTCAATTTTTGATGCATAAATATAGTTTCCACTTAATTACATCATCATCTAACCGGAAGGAAGTAATGCATAATTTTAAACGGTTTAAATTATTATAATTAAAAAATTAAAATTTAATTTCTCGAAATTTCATTAAATTAGAGGGGGGGTTAACATATGTAAAAAAAAAAAATAAAATAAATTTTTTTTTACCAAGATTTTCTCAAAAATAAATTTCAAATATAATTTCATTCATTTGTGAATAGATCCTGAAAGTTACATTAAAATCCGACAACTATTTGATTTTTGCAGGAATTTCCAAATCAGTGATTTTTTCACCAGGAAAAAAGCACAAAAACATTAATCTTAATTATTACGTCAATCGCTGACATAAAAAAAAAAAACTATTTCTAACATACTAGAAAGGATTAAAAAATTTAATAAAAAAATATTTTGGTCTTTCCTCTTAATAATAACAAACATTTTGACAATAAAACTTTGTTTTTATTAATTTTGGGGCCTTTTTCATCATGCTATGCTGTTTTCCAGCAAAAAAGTGGAGGTACCTACTCTAAATTGTTGGGGTTTTTTTTGTTGTTTAACTAATGTGCACATTAAATAAGGATCAGAGAGAATATTTAACATTGCTCTATACTCTCCACAAGTTTTTGTTAAACGTTTTACCAACATGCAAAACATTTTCAGTAACAATCTTTTTAAGAGATATGTGAATAAATAACATCTACCTATTTCTGTGTTATCAACTTCCCAACACAAGAAACATTGGTTATTATTAGTGTTCCAGGCAGTTACAAATCCAAGGTCATTACCAATGAAAGCCACTGAGTCTGCATAAGTAACACAGGTGAAATTAAGAGAAGACTCCTGCAATAACAACAAATTAACAAATATGATTGTCACTTTTAAATTGATAACAGAAACATTTATTAGATATTGTCTGATTTGGGTTCTTTTATACCTTATCAACCTTTTTGTGGATTATTTAAATCAGAAACGTGTTTTAGATTATAAGAATATTTTTTTTATAAGTGAATTTTGCATTAACAAGTTTTTGAGAATAAAAATGATTTTATCAGAAAAAAAGTCCTTCTATTTAACCCATAGTTGGGAGGAAGAGATGGATTCATATCTTTCCCAATGGTATTTGTGTGGAAGTGAACGTAACAAACACAAAGGGAATTCAAACTCTGCTCTTTGATTTCTCATTGCAAGCTGCTATCAATTACATCATACACATTTACATCAATTACATCATACACATTTATTAGATAACTCAGAGTAAAAGAGCAACTGAGTTTGCAAAGCTTGAGGATTTCCTATCCTATGACTTTTGGCATATCAGTGTATAATGACAACAAATTCTAACAAGAAGAAGAAAAAATGAAACTATATTTTTATTTTTAACTACTTTTTTAACAATGAAATATACTTTTATTTTTAACGACTTTTTTAACAATGAAACTATATTTTTATTTTTAACAACTTTTTTAACAATGAAACTATATTTTTAACTACTTTTTTAACAATGAAATATATTTTTAACTACTTTTTTAACAATGAAACTATATTTTTATTTTTAACTATTTTTTTTTAAATGAAACTATATTTGCATTTTTAAGATCAACTGCATTTGTGCCAGTAAGTAAGTATGAATTCAGTTTTATTTATGATTTCCCTGAGTTTTCTGAAGAAAATAAGGACCAGCAGAGATGAATCCTTGATCTGTCTCTATTTCTCTCAAACAGTTATAGTGGCAGAACAGTAATAATACTTTGATAATAATTAAGCTTCATGATAATTAGAATTAGCAAATATTTATAATATACAATCCAAGAGTAGAAACTGATTTAACCAAGTGAAAATAGAGTATATTCAGGTATTGTATATTCAAAATTGCATTACATATAAACATAATTTTGTATGTATTTCCTAAGTAAACAAAAAGCTTAAAAAATATGATCTAAAATTATCAGAGATTCCTTGTTCTGATGGACAAATAAGGAAAGTAACTTACAGTGTCAGTTTTGGCCATTTCAGTGATTTGAGGCCCAATCTTTGGCTGATATAATAGCAACTCTACTCTTTGGTCAGTCTTCTCGTCAACCATCCAAAATAGAACTGTACCATTTTCTCCAACAGTGGTGAAACTAGAACACTGTTGGGGATCCCAGCAGACTTCATGGATTGGGTATTCAGCAAGAGAACTGGCTTCCAGTAGTTGAGTATTAGTATTCCAGACAACTACGTGGGGATCATTAAAATCACCTATTAGTAAAATAATAGAAGAAACAGAAATAAAGTTTTACTTTTTTATTTTTAGAGGGCAAAATTCAGTACTAATAAGGAAAATAAAATACAGTATTCAGTTCTATCAAAACTTGTGAACACTTCAATATCCATATTATCACCCCCAGGTATATTTCTTTTTTTTAAATTTAAATATGAGAATTATTATGGTTTGTACATAATTTGTGAAATGACACATCCTTACCAAAAATACATATTCTAATATAAAATTTTAAAAAAAAACATTCCTGATAGTTTGTAAAATAAATTTTTATTAAAGAATATACAAGATTAAAAAGTACAAATTACAAAAACTTGTATTGTTCAAATAAGAAGTTAAAAAACATTTTTTTTTCCTTCTTTTCAACAGTCATCTCTTCCTTCCTATATTTATTGACACCTAACTTTACTGACAGGCATAAATATAGCTGGCCACTTGTATTTGAGGATACCCATCTTACTAGGGTGGCAAGCTCAGGCGCATTTGCTTTTATTCAACACCCACAGATTCCACCTATGTTTTATACGGCAACTATGTTGAGCAGACCTTAGTTGCAGTTTCTAGGAGAGAGTGTGTTATCTAGCATGATCAACAATTTGAACAAGGACAGCACGCTCAAGTCCTCGGCCACAATGACTTGTGACTTTGTGCTAGCACAGCTATTGACAATCCCTTAGGGTTCTGTCTAGCCAATTTCACTCACAAGGCTTGGGTCAACCTGTGGTATGGATTTCGGGCACTTTCCAAAGGTGCCACATGCTGGGATCGACCCTTCCAGTCCAATAACATCAGGAAGTCTCTTTCCTGACAAATCGAGAGATTTGAACCCAGGTCTCATGGTCAGAATGTGAACATTCTAACCACTTGGCCACACATAAATACACAGCTTGAAAATACATAAATCTTTGGGGTGTATATGTGTCTGCATAAGGACGAGTGTATAGTGCAACAGAGGGATGTCATTGCATAAAGTGGAATTGGCAAGTCAAGCCCAAATTTGTAGCAAGTCTTTTGCATTCTTTATCACACTAATAGGCCAGCTTCTTCTGTTAGTTATGGGTTAAATAGTAGGGTAGATTAGGCTCTCTAACCTTGGATGGCAATCAGCATAAGAGAAGGAAAACTGAATTCCAAACCATAGAGGATGCAATAAGAAACTACTCCACTTGTCTTTCCCAAGAATTCATGACAATTCGATGAAAATAGGAATCTCTGGAAAGTTATAAACGCCTACTTCCTGAAGGAACATGGCATTAAACAAAATGCGATTGTATATATCGTGGCTCCATACATACGGCCTTGTGCTACCTCTAAGTAAATCACTATACATAACATGCCACGTATATATTTTTTATTGTAATAATTTTGTATAATAAGGGAGATAACTAAGGAAAATTTAATATTTTAAAATTGTCTCCCTTGCACTGGTTCGGACAATCATAGCAATGTTGAACTGTTCAAAAACATTTATAAAACTGGGAGGTGAAAATCACAATTCTGCACAAAGAGCAGAGTACAACAACAACAACAGCAATTAGAAAGTGTGCCTTTAATGAGATTAAAGTATGAAAACGTAATAATTAGAGTTTAACAAAATTTCAATTTCATATATGCCTCATTTTTTTTTTTTGTTTACATAGCGTAAATACAATAAGTGCATCATCTTACCAACTGATACAAGATATCTATTATCAGCTGAGAAAGCCAAACTTGTGATATTGTTTTCATGGAAGTTCAAGGAACCAAGACAATTCATATTAGCCAAATCCCACAGGAGAATCTCAGATTTGTTGCCAGGAAATCCTCTACTTGCAGATGCCAACATCTATTTAAAGGAAAAATATTAAAGAAGAAATATTCACTAAGTAATGTCAGCCCTATGTCCTTTGTTACATATCACCAAAGAATATATAACATGACAAATTGTGATCATCTGAATTGTCATATTTTTACAAAATACTCTGTAATACCAGAATCTGTAAAAGTTCAATTCAAACAGCTTCTTCCCAAAAGTTACTGCATCATGGAAAAGACTCCCAAGAGGATGCTTCCTGATTACTCCAATCTTAATCTCTTCAAGTTCAAAGTCAACCATTATCTATCCTACATATCCTTATATTCTGCACTTTTAACCTTCTCATGTCCATAAAACAAACTCATTCAATAACTTTCTATATTGAGTAGCTCTTGGGCATTGAAGGAAAAATAACATTAAAAATATCTAATTTATAAAATTATATTTATTTTTTGTTGGTTCTAATCTTTACTGGGAATTGACTGCAAAACACTAAAATAACATTCCTTTGGATACAAACTTGATCTGTGACAAGTTTATGGATGACAGTGACGACAAAACAGATAACCCTCAACCAGGAACATTGACAGCATCTGCCACCAAACCAATCAAATTTACTGCTAGCAAGGGTTGGTTTGATAAATTTAAATGGAGGTTCAACCTGAAGAGTGTTTCCCTGCATAGCAAAGCTGCCTCTGCAGACAAACCTGCTGTTGAGGAATATGTGAATAAGACTTTCAAGACCATCATCGAAGAAGGGGTCTATTCTCATGAACAAGTGTTCAATATGGATGAGACCAATATCTTTTGGAAAAGGATGCCATTGTGAATTTTCATTATGAAAGAGGAAGCCATAGAACCTGGATTAAAAGCCTACAAAGATCACATCACACTTACAATGTGTGGAAATACTGTGGGCTTTATGACAAAGCCAGGGCTTATTTATAAGTCCAAAAACTCAAGGGTCCTCAAAAACAAAAATAAGAGTCTGCTGCCAGTGCATTAAATGCACAACCAGAAGGCATGGATAATGAAACAACTGACATCTGATTGGTTTCACCAATGCTTCATCCCCAAAGTCAATCTCGCTGAAAAGAACTTGGATTCAAAGTGCTTCTCCTCATGGACAACACTGGAGGTCATGCACTCAACCTGCCGTATGATGACGTACAGACTGAACTCTTACCGCCAAACATATCACTTATCCAGCCCATGGATCGAAGTGTCATTCACATTTTTAAGGCGCTCTACATACAAAATTTCTTGCAACACCTGGTGGAGGCTATGGACACTGATGATAACTTCTCACTGATGGAGTACTGGTGTGGGTACACCATAGCAATGTGTCTCCAAAATATTCAGAAGGCTATAAAGGAGATGAAGACTGAGACTTTGAATGCCAGCTGGAAGAAAATGCATTCAGAAGTGGTCCATGGTGACAAAGGATTCTCTCCTGATGAAAACCACCACTCTGCAGTAGATAAGACAGTGAACATGGCAAAATTGCTAGGAGGAGATGGCTTTATGTATATGACTTCCAAGGATGTTAATAATCTGATCAAGGCCCACTCAGATCTGTTAACGGAAGAAGATCTTAGGGAGATGATAAAATCAGCAAGTGAGGAAGAAGAGGATCCAGGGTAAGAAGAAGTTGGCCTATCACTGGAATGCCTCTCAGCCATAATAAGAATGGGAAAAGAAATGCAGAGATTGGCAGAAGAATGGGACTCTCAGATGATTCATGTGTTGCATTTCAGAAATGCAATGAGCGGAGCTATGGAAATTTATAAAACCCTCCATTCACAGGAGAAGAAGCAGCACCAGCAACTGCTCATCACTATGTTCCTCATCCACAAAAACCAGAGGAGATGGCTACTGCTTCCATGATAATTGAAGTTATGGACAAGGATAAAGACAAAGAAGATATTGCACCACCTGACGAAGCGCCTGCTGAAATGGTGCCTTTAGAAAAGCTGTAATGCTCTTCTTTGTTTTTAAATGAATTTATATTCTTAATACATAAAGTTGCTTCTAAAGGTAAGTTTGATTTTAAAATGTTTAAAGTGTTTAAGAGTGTAGAAAAGCTTTATAAGTGTGTATGGAGGCTTTATAAAAGCTTTAATATATAAAAATATTAAAAAATATACATTACAATACCTTGATGAATCCCTTTAGCCATTCCTGTTTCTATTTTGCAGATTTTTACCTATAGTGGGGTTTCTAGAACATAACATATGTGATAGTCAAGGGATTACTGTACTCTATATTGATGAGCCAAACATGAACTACATTTTATAGATGAAACTAAATTAATTTTTACATTAAAAAGATAATAAAATAATGAAAAACTTAAGCACATTATCAAAATTATGGTATTATTATTATAGATTTATTAATTTATGAGTGAAATTACAGGTATTTAAAACTCTAAATAAAAAAAGTCACAAAATTGTTTCGATGGAAATATAATAATATAAAAAATAACATATTTAATAAATAAATAAAAATGTTTAACATATGAGAGGAAAACTTTAAAAGCTCAAGTTGATCCAATAAAATGAAAAATGTTTAACCTTCCGATCCCTTCGAATGGCCAATGTAGAAACTTCTTGGGGGTGACCTGCAGCAAAATTAGAGAAAATATTCTTAATATTTAGAAATTTAACAAACAATAATAAACATTATAAATTTTGTATTTCAATGTTATCCAATATTTATAAGTGTTTAGTGATAGAATAAAGAAATTACAACTTTGTCTGTTTTAGTAATTGTGAGTATTGTTGGAAAGTGTAGGAGAGATTGAAAAAGGGTTTTTTTCTTTTTCTGTGATCAAATGAAGAATCCATTTCATCTGACCAAATTTGACCACACAAAATGGAGGAAATCCAGCTCTTTTACTCTTATAATTCTATTTACTTTTTCTTTTAAATACATTTTTTACAGTTAAAATCACATAATGTATACATAAATCATGTGATGTGATCATACCTCCTAGGTTTCATTCAATCATGACTTTTTATGGTCATGTCATGATGTTGAATATATTAAAATTATTATATAAACTATGACATCATAGAAATGAACGTACTTAACACTGGCTAAGCTGTGCATAGCAAAGTGATTTCTCAACAATAATTTGTAGTAATGAAAACAAAGCTATATTGGTTGAATCTGATTACTAGACATGAGATTGGATCCAACAAGGAAATACTCAATTAACATGACTTAAAAAACAAAAGTGGAAAGTAATGTTTCGGTCTACAACTGTAGGCAATAAAGTTATAGGTCCCTTAAAAATTGATGATGGTATCAAAATAAATACAGAAAGTACAGTACTTACATAAAATATTTTATTACAACAAAACTCAGCCCAAAGTGTCAAGGGGAAAGTAAAATATAAAATCTGAGGAGATTAAAGAATTTACTTTTACAATATTGACCTGTGTGTGTATGTGTGTGAGAGAGAGAGAGAAAGAGATTTATAGTTTGGTGCTTAGCATACTAATCTCAAACTAGTGAAAACTTCATTTGACTTTGTATATAAAAGACAATGTGATAATTTTTATTCACATTATCAATGAGAAAAAGAGGAAGATATTTAAGACTGTGGTTTACAAGGGATATTGTCTCGTTATATCTTCCTAAATGTACAAATATTGATAATCCTGAGAAACTAATCACTGCACATTACAATACTGGGACTCCCACTTAGAATAAAATGTATTACTTTCTGCATTTCATAAAGCATACAGAAATAAACTAAATTAAATAGAGTGCATTGGACAAAAGATAAAACTGACCTGTAAGGTGAGTCTGTTCCCCTGACAAAATATCTTGGACAACAATTATACAACCAAGACTGTACACCAACCAATCTGGAAATAAAATAAACAGAAATGAGATAAATTAATACAACAAAGAAAAATATGTGCAAAATGATTATTAGTCAACATTAATACTAAATAAGCAGAAAGAGGATCAGTGAAAACACAATCCTCCATGTTTGAGCTGTCCTTGAGAGTCTGATGGTCAAATTCACCACAGATGCTGATGGCTACTTAGATCCTTTGGTTCAACTGAGGAAGATGTAACACTCAATACTCATCATGAGAGACTTTGTTGCTGACAACTTCAGATGAGCTACCCCAGAAAAAGGAAAGAATTATATCAAAGTTTCAGTTTCTATACAATTCACTTTGTTATTACAAACAAAATTTTATTTGTAAATAATTTTGACTTTCATAAGAAATGAAAAACATTTCTCAGAGCAACTATACTGATATACAATGTAATGGGTTCTGATCTTGTTTAGAGGCACTTTCTCACAGACATGCTGTGGCTTCCCTCTGTCTCTTCTACAAGTATTTTCATAGCTTTTTCAACTGCTCTGATGAGCTATTTTCGCTGGTTCCAAGACTGCATGAATTTAAGTGTACTACTAGGTCAGCATCTCAGTCCCACACTTTCACTGTCGAAATGGTTAAATGTAGCCATCTCTTCTACTCCAACAGCTTATTTTCTTGCACTTCCAGTCTGTGGAACTCCCTTCCTCTTACTTGCTTCCCTGATAGCTATAATCTTCAAATATTATGTTAATCAACATCTTCTGATGCCTTGATCTTGTTCCCCATCCTTCTCTTTATCTTTTCCTCAAACATGCCTCTTTACTCTTGCTCTCACTCTCTGTGACCCCTTGCTTGCTAATGGCACTCCCGTCTTGCTTGGCATGAAATGCTTAAAAAATAAAATATTCTCTGGCATCAGTTTAAACCGATACATTCTTTCTTCAATGTACCTAAATATATAAATTTATAATTTGGAAATTTCACTGAAATATGTTGGAAATTTTAAAAATTTTTGCCAGACATCAAGAAAAACAAACTTTAAGCAAAATGGTCACAATATATGGAAAAGGTGTCAGTTTAAACTGACACCAGGAGGATATGTGTTAATGTCTCATCCTATGAAACAGAGACAACATTTTCTTCTTTCCTTGTTTTCTCCTTTCTTTCTGTCCATTAATGTTTATCATTCTATGCAAGATGAGTTTTAAATACTAGAGTAAGAAAAGAAAAAGAAAAATGTCCTTTTACACTAACCTTCATTCCATACAAGATTGTTTCGTCCATTGCCATCGTATCCAAGCACTTGCTTTAAGCTCATACCTGACTGTTCAGGAGAAGCCAGGTAATATTGTTGCTGCAAAAAAAAAAAAAAAAAAAAAAAAAAAGTAAAAGAATAGTGAAAAGAAAAACAGCAGTTATCTTTTTAAATATTACAAACACTGACATGCCAAAAGTAATTTAAAAGCAGTAAGTAATAGTAAGTGGTGCTACTGTGTCATGTCGTCATAGAAATGATCAGACTTATAGCAATAACACTGGGTAAGCTGTGCATGGCAAAGTCATGTACATTAAAAAGCATTTCTTAACAGTAATATGTAGTGATGAATGCAGAGCTACATTGGTTGAACCTGATTACTGGACATGAGATTGGATCCAACAACGAAATATCCAATCAACATGACTTAGGAAACAAAAGTGGGGAGTAATGTTTTGGACTATAACTGTAGGCAGTAAAATTACAGGTCCCTCAAAATTTGATGATAGTATAAAGATAATACAAAGAGTACAGTACTTATATAAAATGTTTTCTGAGTGACACAGTTAAAGAGTAGATTCATTCAAAACAAGAATTAGGCAACATTCATCATAAATTAATAAAAGTCCCATTTTAATGCTTCTTTTTAGGCGAAATCAAACCTGTACATATTAAGAATTCTGGCAGTTTCATCAACAAAGTGAAAAATGTTTTGATTATCTAAAATTAAAAGATAAACAAATTTGTTGATTTTGACCAATCATTTTTCACAAAAATTCTACCTGCCAACCTACAGATTCTCCTCTCAGTGGTGTATCAACGAGCCTCTTTTTAGAATTCTTAGGATTTAGCACATTACAAAATATCTTAACCCAAAACATTAAATACTTTCACTGTATATATGAAAACTTACTAATATGAATGCAAAAAACTAAAATTGCTCAATCTCATAAATAAATTAGTCCTTGATATGACAATAAACTACATCCACCAGCAAGGCCTCTGATTGGGAGATTGGTGGTTTTGAAGAGCATTAAACCACCTCTAAATTGCTGTTCCCAGGTTTACCCTGACCTGTGGGTGGTAGCACCTGTTAGGATCCAGGCTCTTAGAAAATAGAGAACCCCCAAACAAAAATCAAAATTATGTTTTTTATAGTAAAAATACCAGCAATACATTTTTAAAATTTTTTTTAATAATACATTTTTATAGTAAAATGACCAGTAAAACTGTTATATCCCAGGTTGTTAGGATGAACAAAAATGAATGAAAATAAAAGACAAATGTATTTTAACATATAATAAAACAACTTTTATTCATTTACTGCCTGAGAACAGCAAGGATTTATTTGGATTTAAACCATGAGTTCCACATGTGTGTCAGCTTATCACTATGTTGAATTCAGAAGTGCTGTACTTCAACTAGCGGACAAGGGCTGTAACTCAATTGTATTTTGAGTTATCGTCCTTTATAGGGGAAAGTAAGCTAACATCCCCTAACAAATACATTTTATAATAGAATTATCTACAATAGATTTTATAGCAAAATAACAACACTAAAGAAAAAGTATAAAAGCATAACACTAATAAAAGTAAAAAAATACATTTTTATAGTAAAATTACCAACAATACATTTTTTAAATTACCAATAATACATTTTATCATCTACAAAATATATACCTAAAAACATACATTTGCCCTAAAAGTATAAAATTATGTTCAAAATACCTGTAGTTGAAGGCATAAGAGTTGTTTGCGGACCTTGTAGCACATAGTGCACCAGGGTCACTATATTCAGCTCTTCAAATAGTGTGGTTGGTTCTGCACAAAGCCTTCACCACTATAATCAAATCATATGTGCTGGTGTCTGGTTGTCAGTTTCTAGGAACTGAGCTGCTTGACCCTCATACATTGAATACGAGGGGAGAATCCATCATATTATATATATATATATATATATAATTATTTTTTATAAAAAAAATTATAACATAAGTATGTTATAAAATCACTACAATATATATATATATATATATATATATATATATATACATACACACACACACACACACACAACTCTTTTGAACTCTTACCTTATGCTTCTTCATGACCGAATTCTTTGGAACATAATGCTTATGAACACTGGCTTTCGTTGGTTTGATGGCCTGAAATTTAAAAAGAGAAAAAAAGAAGAAAAGCAATGTACCTATATATTTGTAGAGGACCGTGTGGGTTTGTGAGTTGTATCAGAAACACGTGTGTAACTCCTGATAGAATATTAAAAGGTCCAATTACAAGAAAATTGCTGGACTTGAATTAAGTTCAACTGAAGATGTAAAGAAGACAAACAAGACCAATATAAACAAATATATGTATTAAACAACACAATTTTACAATGGACATAGACAATAATATTTTTTGTGTGTGTGTGTGTGTGTGTGTGTGTGTGTGTGTGTGAACATTGGTGTTTGTTCTTTGTGAATGTTCGTATGTACGTGTATGTGTGTATAAGAGAGTTTACATTGTAGTCGCTGAAATGGAAAAGAGAATGAGGCGAAAAGTCACCCAGTATTTATGGGATAGGAAGAGTGACCCCTAGTGACAATTTGGGAATTAAGGAGTAGCTAACTCCGACATATTTATACATACTGTTAGATTTCATAAGACAAGTCAATGTTTTCACAATAAAATTGGCATTAACCAACCAACGTTGGTAAACTTTACATGATATATATTTATATTCACATGGTAAACACACTATTTAAATTTTCATTTATAAAATCTGTTCTTATTAAAAATATTTAAATAATTTATTTGGTGGTGTAAGTTTTTTTTAAGTAATTTAAGGGTTGTTATCATGTTGCAAAATATAAGTACAGTGAATGATATTTATTTTTTTTTAATTTTAAATATACAGGGTGTATCAAAAATACTTTTACAAACTTTGTGGGTGGGTTTCTTACACCCAAACCAGGTAAAATATCCATATAAACATATGTCCAAAAGGCTATCATTGTACCTTAACACAGCAATTCATAACAGTTGTTCAAAATGTCCTCCACTTGCTTCTATACATGCATGCATCAGTCGGATCATTGCATGGTTGGATCTTTTTAAATACTTCCACACTGTGTTAAATGGTTTCACAGGCCCCCATGGCATATTGATAAAGCATCTCTGCATTATTAATGTCTGGTGCATAAACCAATTTTAGGTGACCACAGATAAAAATCGAAAGCATTGAGGTCAGGGGAATGTGCAGGCCATGAAACTATTCCTCCCCTATCTATGCATCTTTTATAGTAGATATCAGCCAGTGCATTGCAAACAATGGGACTAAAATGTGCTGAGCCTCATCATGCATGAACCACATGCATCTTCGTATTAGCAGGGGTATATCTTCTAGCAGGTCTGGAAGTGTATTCGAAATAAAGTCCCTGTAGACAGCTCCTGTAACACGTGCTGGGAGAACGTATGGACCTATCAGACAGTCATCTATAATTCCAGCCCACACATAAATTGTAAACTGTAGCTCACAAATGTTAATTGTATAAATTTCTTATTCCATCTCTTCCAAATGTTGCCTCATCCGTAAACAAGACTGAAAAGACAAACAACAGATTGGCAGTTTATGCAATAAGCCATCGGCAAAAGTTCTCTCGTGGTGAGCGATCAGAGGCCAAAAGACCCTGCACATGTTGCAAATGATACAGATACAAGAGCTGACCTTGAAGTACCTGTCATGCAGTACTATGGGATGTATGACATGCTAGGGCCACTTGACATATGCTGATACCTGGATCATTTTCAACAGCCTGTAGGATGGGTTCTTTGTGGTCAGGCGTACAAGCAGATCTCGGTCTTCCTCGATCCATTGTTTGTGGTGTGATGGATCCTGTCTTAACAATGCAACGATAAACAGCAGCAAAGCTTGGATGACTCAGATGCCTTCAGTCTAGAAACACAATCTGATATGTCCGTGCAGCTGTATGTAAAAAGAATATCTACCTGCTCACGATATGAATATCCTGCTATTGTTAAAAAGAACACTTCTCAGTTAACTCACTACTACACATGCTAAACGTTTAAGTCAGACTAGCCACAAATATACATGAATAAAAAATGTAACCTAGTCTACATGGCAACACAGCACTATCTACTGTAAACTTTCTTTAAATTTAATAATAAAGGATTTATGGACATATGTTTATATGGACTTTTGTCTGTTTTGGTATGAGAAACACACCCACAAAGTTTGCAAAAAGAATAAATATCATTCACTATACTTTTACTACATATAAGAATTAATACATATTTCTTTTTACTTTAAACGTTATCTGGATCCTGCCTGAGGGTACATTTTCTTTAATAAGTTTTCTTGAGTGAGCAACTCAGTAAGCAAAATAACTGCTTAAAATAAACAGTGTCTACTCAAATATGGATATGCATTTAAAATAATATAAGCACACACACACACAAGGAAAAACACATTGACAATCGTAACAAAACAACCTTACCAAAACATGAGTTGGAATACAAAGCCTTCAAGAAAGAAGACGACATGCTAGTGAGAAATTCACCATGTACGACTAGATATATAAAACAGAAAGGATACATGAGTTATATTTACAAATGGTCTTAGTCGATGGGGTTCCATACAATATGAAAGTCGATTGATGACAATAGAACAGTACCACCTTCAATTGAAAATAAAATCAGCCTGTCTTTAGAGAATGATGGCAACCATTCAAGTAATGAACATTTGGATGATGATTACAACAACAACAGCGACCACTTAGGAGCATCTTGGGAAGCTTCCAATACCTCTGCTTCAGAGAAGTATCCAGCAGAAAAGATTGCCTCTTAGCTGTTGGTGCTATGGTAAAGTACTAGTGGAGAGTAGAGCAGGAAAAACAGCTGCAATTAGTATGCATTTATTGCACTAGGTGGTGGAAATGGCCAACAAGTATTCAGCAGCATCCTTATGTCATCTGCCACAATAAATGCACACTAATCACAGTCGTTTCTCCTTGCTATAGAACATACATATGTATATAAGTAAATCAGTAAAAGTATAATGAAAACTAAAATAAAAGAATCTTTTTAAATAGTTATTATTCCCTTCCACTACAAATTACTGTCAAGCTATATAAATATTATATATTATTAGGTATTATTTTTCCTACTTGATAAATAATGTTGTGGAATGGTGAGAACAGTAAAATTGACTTTAGTAAAAATATTCAACTCATCATAAAGAAAAAAGAAAGAGAAAGAAGGAAACAAATAAAGTGTAACTTCAAAATTTTTATATTCCAGAAATTGTTGGGGTTATTTGTTTTTAGTCAAGTTTCTTCTTATGAAGAGTTTTCAGTTTTTAGAAATAGACTAAACAGGAATATTTTAATGACTCCTGCACTTGGACTGCTTCCATCTGTCTGCTACTCAGATGGACCATTTGATACATTTTCCTTTTATTTATACCAGGCACATGGGAATAGTAGTATGCACATGAAAGTGCATATATTTAACAGAAAAATGCTTAGTTCAATTTGAATTTGTGCTAGTTGAAGAGTACAAAATTTCTAATAACTATACATGCTTAGAAGCTGAAATTTTGCAGATTAACAATTTGGTAGGTTTTAAATGCTGTGTAATTTTATATATCTTTCTCCATTAAATTATAAGTTGATTAATTTTTTTAGTTTTAGTATCCAGTTAGGATATCCCATGTTAATTTTCAATAAATTTTTTTTATTTTGTTTGAAATTGATTAATTAATAAAATATGTTCAAATAATGTGTCCACTATAATTTGAATCTATCTAATTTGTTCATCTTACCAAATTTCAATTTATATACATTTTTAAAGTTTTTTTTTTTTCACAAACACTACAATATAAACTATAACCAGGTGAACTAAAAAAATCAGAGTTATTAAAATCATTAAGTTTGTTGAACTGTATATACCAAACAAGATTGTACTGATGAGGTCCTTAAAAGTCAAAAAGAAAATTTTGTCAAGGGATGTAAAAAAAGAAAAAAAAAAGAAAAATTAAAATTGAAAATAATAATGATAGCAGTGCAATTAGCAAATAAATTTTACCTGTTTAGAAAGAATTTTCAGTTGCTGCAAATCTGTATACAATTCCATGATTGAAGATGACAAATTAGTGGCTTCTTCATCCTCATTTTTGGTTGCTACAAAACACAAGCATAGCCAGAACAGCATTGAATGAAATACTGTAGTATTATTATATAAAACATTTATGGCATTCAGTATTGTTTTCCCAGTACAGTTGCTTAGTGCGAAATTGTCAAAATAAAATTTATTCGTCCAAATAGTAAAATCTAATCATAAATTGTCTAAATCATTTAAAAAAGAAAAAATAGTTGGAAAACAACAAGTTAGTCAAAAAACCAGTAAAATGACTATTGTTTATTTTTAAAACAAATTGGTTTTTGATTGATTTGCTTTTTACAGCTTAACCTTTTGCAGGTTATTTAAAGCCAGAAAATATTTTTGGATTGTAAGAATTTATTTTGAGATAATAATGAGTGACTGATACAAGTCCTACTAATTAAAACATAACTAGGGGAAAGAGGTGAATTCATACTCGTATTTGCACATGCGAATATAACAAACCCAAATGGAATTGGAACTGCGTGCACTGATTTCCAATTCAGAGCTATTATTCATTATGCCATTCAAGCTTACAGCACTTGATATTCCCAAGCAGTCACCCGTTTAGGTACTGATCAGGTTCGACGTTGCTTAACTTTGGCGATCAGACGGTGTTTCAACATGACATGGCCGTAAGCCTAGACAAATTGGTAAAAAATTATTTTTATGACAAATTCGTAAGAACTTGAAGGTTTGTGAAATATAATTGCCTTCAGTTCCAAACACAAAGACAGGAAGTCAACAATTGTGCAACTAATTGATTGCTAACAGAGTCAACTGAAAATAGGGATCAATGGAACTTCTAACATTTCAATAAACAAAATATTTTTTTAATCCTCAAAAGTAGAATTTACAAGTTTGTTCCTTTTCAAGTGGCATACAGCAATGAAAAAGTGAACGTTCTAAATTCAGCTCACAAAGATGAGGTCCTAGTTGTATTATTGGACAATTTCTTATATGGATTTACTACATCGAGTTCAGCACTAGGGACATCCATTATCTTTATCTTCTGTATCATTGGCTTTTTTCCTTTTGCACTTTTCTTTTTTTTTTTGGTATCTGTTCTGTCTCATAAAACTAGTCATCAGGCTCTGCTAGGCCCACTCATACAGGAATACTCATTCTAGAAAAGGACCCACAATGTCATACCACTTCCAATTCAAACAACTGATAGTTGTTTATACATGCAGTGTATGAACAACATACCTGGATCATTAGGCTGCTCTTCAGTTTCAATTTCTGCTTCTTCCTCTTCTTCATTATCGGACACAGGGCTAAATAAATTTCTGTCCACTATAGATTTTTCTGCCTCCTGTTGGCGAGCAGGTAGTGGTGCACATCTTCGTGGTGTGTGGTCAGCAGTTTCATCCAAAAGGCCATGTGGCTGAAGAAATGGTTCTGAATCCTTCAATGAGCAATTCTGGTTTACATTTCCTGATTGAATAGACAAGCAAAGATTTTTTTTATTTTTCAATTATGAATTTGTAAAAAGGATGAATAGAATTTTTCAAAAAGAGAAAAAAAAAAAAAATCAAGAAGCTTAATTTGTTCACTTGCATCCACCCAACATCAGTTAACTACCAACCAGAGTCTACTTGACCCCACACACTATGCCTTGCCAGTAATGAAATGGATTTATGTTTTCTAAAGCATTCTATTCAACTCAGCATTCACTCCACTATTGTCTAGGAGTGAAACTGATTTACATGTTTGCTGCCTCATCCGGTGGGGGGGGGGGAGAGTTTCCCCACAAAAACAACATGAGACACAAAAGTGCTTTGGCCTTCAAGGTACATCAACATTTTCTTCTGTACAGAATTGAAGTCTACATAGGTTATGTAGTACGAAACATCATTTCTTTTAGTGCCAATGGCAAATATTGAAATGGCACCGATTTATTTTTCTTATGTTTATTAACAAATATACAAGGTGGACGTATGCAAAGCATTCTCATATGCAAAAGAGGTAAATAAATTTAGAAACTATGAATGCCTACTTAAAAGCCACTAAAGTCAGCCTTTAAGCCTGATGCGAAATTACTTTCTGTTTACAGAATTTATATTCTATTTGAAAAAAAATAGATAAGGGAAACTACTCTGTAATTAGTCAAACTCCAACTACATTTAAAATTTAAGGCTATCTTTATATGTAATTCAAAATTCTAATCAGTCAGTGGGACCTAGGATACAGTGACTGCTTCCTTTTACAAACAGATAAGAATCCAATTAATCAACAGGAGTCTATTGTTAAATGATTTTTGTTAGTCCATATCTATTTACAGTTTATAATGTGTTTTTTGTAATAATTCATGGTATTGAAAACATCAAACTATTCTCCTAAATCCCCATCCATAGTTGCTGTCTATGCTTTCTTATCAAAGTGGCAGGCAATCTTTTGCAATGTGATTAGCTACACAACACCTGTAACCCAATTTCTTGATGTTCTGCTTGTGTTGAGTTTGCCATCTTGTATACAGGTCATGTAGCTGCTGCAACTAGTTCCACTGTGCCTATTTTATCACTCTGGCTTAGACCAACAGCTGGGCAATACTCATAGAATCCAAGCATGAAGAAGCACAAAATATAATTTACATTATCTGCTACACTGGTTACAAATGCACAAACCAGGTCACAATCAAATATCCTGATAAAAAAAAAAAAAAAAAAAACACACAAACCAACTACATAACTCTGCCAAAAATCACATTGTCCAATTCATGTGGGTATGGCTGTTTAACTATAAATGAATTATAAACTACAAATGAACTAATTTCAAATTCTGTGTATAAGAGTTATTTATCATTTCACTCATCTATTAGTATAAGGCTTCACTGCACCAGTTAATGCAGAATGACTTCCAGGATTTTCTTTATCACACACACACACAGTGTTTATCAACACAAACTGTTCCATCCATGGAGCTGCAAATTGATTTTCCTGAAACTACCAAAATAGCTTGTACAGAGAAAACTTCCAACAAAAACCAATAAGGAGGAGGAGGGGGTGATAACTATAAAAATAAAAATGTAATAAATACATATGTACAATTAACTCATTTATTTACAGAGAGCAGCAATATTAATTTCTACTCTCAGCTGAAAGTGGGTCAGGGAACAATTATCACAAATTCAACTAGACTTTAATGGTCCCTGACAGATGGCGTAGTATCTCTGTCCCAATGTCATGTATGTATTTGTGTGTGCGTGCATATAAGTGCCAATTCAAGGTTATCAGTATTTGTTGAGCTCATTACAATGTTTAACAAAATATACCGTTGGTAGAACTTAGACGTTAAAATGATTCCTTACTCTAACTAAAATATATAATTTTTTAAAAATCTGTGCATGGAATTAAAAAAAATAACATATTTTGGTATTTTACTATTAGTTATAATAATTCTCTAGAAATAAACGTTTATTTAAAAAAAAATTTCCAGACATGTAAGAAAAAAGAGTGAGGACAAAGACTTTGATATGTTTGTCTGTTTATTGCCCCCCTTTGCATTTTTGTTGTTTTATAGCCTCGTTATCAAGTCACTGATGGCAGATAGGAATGGTTATTGTAGGTTCAGAAAGTAGAAATGTATATTTCACTTACTGAGGCTAAGGGTGTGGATAGAAGTGTCTTCCTTTTTTTTAAAGTCAGGAACATTATGTGTGGATCAATGTGCATGTATATGTGTGTCTGGGCATATACATAAACCTAATTAGTGTAATTATGTATCTCTCTGTCTGTGAATTTTTAGTTTATATATTGTTATGATCAGTACTGCTGACTGATATCATATTTCCTCAATACTACCCCAGTCACACTCATCACCCCAACCCTCCAGTCAAACAGGTCATGGCTACTGCTTTCTTTGATTTTCACTGACTTTAAATCAGGCTAAATTTAATTTGCCCTTTTTTCAATTGATACATTCTGTTAAAAATCATTATACTGTATAGAATAAATTAGTTGAAATAAATAAGTTGAAATATAAATGTATTCTTTGAAAAACAGGACATACAAGTCATTTGAGATTTTTAAAAGATTATTTATAAAATAATACATTGCCTATTAATTATGTCTCTAGCTTGATAGGGCTCAGATTTACATAGTCCAACTAGCCACATTAATTTTATTTCATTCTTTTTTTTTTTTACTCTCCTTCTTTATTATGAACAATATCAACAAAATGTATTTTAGTTAATATTTTGAGGCATAGAGTTAAAACAAATTTGTATCCAGCTGAAGTCAAGAAAGAAAACAATGCACTATGAAAAATTTTTGTCGCTTTGAAATAGACATACTTAAATGTTGACTCACTCAGACTGACCCTGACAAGCCTGCCCACCAGAGTTGCCACTGACACACGCACACACACATTATATATATATATATATATATATATATATAATCAGGTAAGATTACACTTTTTTTTTTTTTTTTTTAACACCCAATTATCTGGTTTTGGTAATTGTTATAGAGACCTATAAAACTGCTCCAAAATTCCAAAATTTATTAGTAATATATGCATGAGTTTAAAATGCAAGATCTTTGCATTCATGGTATTGAAATTTGATAATCTATTAATCTATCTATTAAAAAAAAAGCATATAATAAATTAGTAATTTATAGTATACAACCAATAAATGAAAACTACAATATAAACGAAGCAGATTCAGTCATGTCCACTTCTCTACGGCCAGTTGGTGCTATTGGATTTGATTGTAGACAAACACATGGTCTGAGTAGAATGTTGGAAAGGTTATTTTTTATCATTTCACTCCAGGCAAGTCAACACTGTCAGTAATACCTTGCGTCTTAGTGGTAATGCCACTAAGACGCAAGGTGTTACTGGCAGTGAAAGAGAATGAGAAGATATTAGTGAGGGGAAAGGGCAATAAAAGAACACAATTCAGGAACACAGAAGATGGTGATTAATATTGGATTTAAAGTTTTGAAGTTCATAGTTGGCAGAAAAGTAAGAAACCAGAAGAGCACTTCCAATGTACAAATATATTTGTTAAACTAGACACAAGGCTACTTTTCCTGAGCATTCAGATTATATTCACTATAATTTTTTTATGATACATTAACCACTGTTCAACTTTAATTTGCTGCCATTTCCACCTGAATGAATAAATATATCATATTTTTATAACTGGCTAGTATTCTCATTTTGCAGTCCATTACTACTGTAGTGAGTTTCTTCCTCAGTGATTAACCCAAACTATTGGTATTGTTCTGTTAAAATAAGCTTATTAAATATAAATAAAGCTTAAACTTTTGTACAAAGACATTTATAAACCACTCAGCAAGAATTCTTGACCATTATGAAGAAACATAATATGATACCAAGAATCATGTCATCTTCTGTAAATCTGACAAAATTTTCAGAAATTAATAATTCACTTGATTAATACAAATCTGACACTGTTACAAAAGAAATAATACTAATAAGAGAATTCTTTGAAGAACACAAAATGGTCTCTTCTTAACTAAATTCTTATTGCAATTGGTAATTGGCACTAAAGACTCTTGGGGCTATAAATTTACAGAGAACACAGCAGAAAAATAAAATTTAAGATTTTATTACAAAATAAATGAAGACTGGAATCACTGAGTCAAGTTCAAATTTCACCTTAGAAAGACTTTTTCTTTTCCCTTCAGCTATGGATTAAATAGCAGGGCAGACTGGGATTTTTCAGTTGGCAACAAATCTAGAAGAAAGAAAATTCTGAATTCAAAACCTCATGTGGAGCCCCTTAAGGCAATTGGATGTTAACCGACTTCCTTCTGATAGTTCCTGTAGCCAAGTTGATGCCAATACCTATCGGTTTCTGAAATGTACAACTGACAAGTCTCTGGTGAAGCTTCATGTGCCTAACAAGTGTATGAAATAATTTTCTCAAGCAAAAAAACAGAGAATCTCTCCTTGTAGAAGTAGAAGCAAAAATAGATAAAATAGTGACAAATTAAAACAAGAAAAGAAATAAATTGTGTCCTAAAACTTTTTGAAATATTTAGACATTTTGTCTGTCAGATTAATAAAAATCCATTACTTTAGAAAATTGCTTTGTTTGCATTTAGAGACAAAACTGAGTAGATATGAAAAAGAATTTTGAGAGATTTATGATTAAAGTATTTATATATTAAATATGTGGGCAGTGTAATAGTGTTTTTGAAAGAATGCTATATTATTTTTTAAAGATTTTTTAATAAAGAGAATTATTTTGTGTTGTCAGATCTTTCAATATGAATGAATGAATTTATAGATTTTATAGAGGAAAGAAAAAAAGATTCCAGTCAATTGAAAAGTTAGTTTGAAATATACCAAAGTATTTTACTTATTGAGAATATTAAATTTAATTTATTAGTTTGGAATTGAAACTTGTCATATAGAAAGAAAATGGTGGCTGCTGACACTCTGGTCTTATGAATATGTTTACTGCCAGACGAATAAATAGTGGCGTCAGGCTACTGATGGGGGTGGACTATGAGTTGATTACTAGTTGATTGTTAAGTGATTATTGAATGACTCGTGGACATTAAGTGAAATGCGTTACTATAAAGGTAATCACTGAATTTGTTTACAAGCTTGTTTGACTTTTACTTCTTTTGCTTGGGTTACATATTTATTTGCAGTGTAATTAAATACTGTTTATTTAACATTAGAGTTTTAAGTTGTACTTTACAATTGACAGACCCCCATCACAAAAAAAACTAAAATTAAAGCTTCAAGAGACATTATTCATTTTATAAAATGTTTTTTAAACTTAGTTATCGCTTTGTTTTGGGAGTACACCCCTAAAAAGGGGCACTCTCATGGACAGTCTACTTAGTTATACTTAAAAAGACAAAAAGATGAACTCCAATACTAACAATATCAGAAAAATAAATGTCAATCTAGTTTCAGTTTTTCATAAAATCAAAAGGAAGTAAATATGGTTTGTTTACACAAATGACTTACCTTCTTTAGGGACATCTTTTTGCCTAAAACTGTTAACAGGTGTAGAAGGGCTACAATGAAAGTGAGAATCAGAGTTAAAATTTATGGATATTACAAAAATAACAAAATAAATTCCACTGAATGCAAACATATTCATATTTCTATCTGTAAAAATCAATCATTTTAAAATTTAAAACTATCCTCTCATATTTTTAAATGATACAATAAAAAACAGTGCAAAAAAAGTTACAAAATTAAACATATTTTGTTAACTGTTTGGCAGTTCATTTTTCCTTTAAGTTTTTCAGATATTCATTTATACTTACATTAGGATAGAATCAGGTTTTGGCCCCAGATATTCCCACTGATAAATGGCATCACCAACTGAAAACAACCAACCTCCACAATTTGTGAAAAGAACTTTGCTTATGTCTCCAGCATGACCAATAAAAGTCTATAAAAAAAAAGAGAGAGAAAGGTGGGAAAGTAAACATTAATTAAAAAACAAAATTTCTTCATTTTTTGGCTACAAACATAAACACCCCCACACACAGGTGATTTAGAATGAATTATATTAAGAGATATTATAAAAAGAAAATTATTTTTTACTTTAAATTTGTATACATATTCAACAGCCGCGGAAGCAACTGTATTCCTGCATAAGATGTTTTGTGTTCATGCTGGCTATGACATTTATGATGACAGCCTTCAATAAATCTTTGGTACCGTGGGGCCACTGGTTTGTGCCTCTCTCAACCATGGCCAAGATTTAATAGACCAAGGGATTCAAGTCATTATCGGGTTACTTGTAGCTTCATGCTGCATATGGGCAGGTTTTACTGCAGGTATTTCCAACTGGCAACCATAAAGCCACCTTCTGGTCAGTTTGTATTGCCATAGACGATAGTGGTAATTATTTGGGCCTTTTTGTTCTTAAAACAAAATTGTCTCATGACAAATACAATGAAAAAAGTGTAAACCAGTGAACAAAAAAAAAAAAAAAAAAAAAAAAAAAAAGAGTCACCCCTTTCTTTCTCCATTATTCATGGAATACATTCTAATATGTGTAGTTTAGAATTTTTTCTCTTGAAATGTTCTTTAGATATCTTTTCACTTTGTGAAGATAATTTAAATTCTTCTATTGCTACCAATGAATTCTCTGTTCCAGACTATCTTCCTCATAGCCGAACAAATTTCTAGCATACATATGCATGGCTTTGGTTTTTATATTCGGGAAAATCTTCCAATGGCTACAGAATTGTCTCTTGAGTCCCCTGATTATTCTTTCAGATGCTTTCTACTTTCGTTATTGCACTCTGTTAACTATCTATTTTTCCTTTATTGCTCTCCTTTTTCTCAAAACTAATATATTAGTCAAAATTTCTGACAAAATAGAATTTTTTTTTTCTCTCTCTCCTTCTTCCTCCATTCATCTGAAAACATTTTTGTGTTTGGTGACTTTAATGCTCATCATGTCAAGTGGCTTAATCATTCTAATTTTACTAATGTTGACAATATTCAGACTTTCATTTTTTCCATTGCTCACTCGCTTAGTCAAATAGTGGATTTCCCTACTTGTTTTCCTAATAAATCTGATCAAGATGATTTCTTTACTTGATTTGTTCCTCACCTCCTCTCCTAGCATTACAACTCTGTCTTCTTGGCAATTCAAATCACACAGTAGCATCGATTGATATTTATTTTGCCTTATCTATTAGAAAGGAAATTCCGATTCACAAGACATCAGCCACTATAGTACACAGGAATCCCTTCTTCCAGGTGTTCAAGTCTGATAGTTTTGATCACAATAGAAGCCTATTTGTGTTAGCTTGTAATAATTGTAAACATATCCTCAGTCTAAATCTTTGTTTGCTGATAGAATGAGACACCATACAAGTTTGGCTCATGACTACTAGCAGCTCTGTAATAGTGTGTTAAATAAGAGTAAATCTTCTGTCACTCTTCTCTACACTCAATTTGAGGTGTTAACATTATAGGATATATATAAAATCCTATATTTTACAACCAATAGGTGAAACACAAATAAGTAATAAATACCCACATATAAATAGGATCAGAATCACTAAAACAAAAACTTTTGTAAAAAACAGTAAAAAAAAAAAAGGATCCAAAATTAAGTAAGCGGTTTCTGGAATTTGATTGAACAGAACAGTCATGTGCTATGCTTCTGACTACATCTGTAGATTTGAAGACCAAATGAACCAGTTGCTGGGTATTATCCCATGTAAACCAATAAGATTTCATTTGGAGCCAATCATGTGGTAGGATAACTATATATACACTGATTTTGGAGGCAATAAGAAGACACCCAGCAAAAACTCAGACAGTGGCTGGACATGGATCACTGTTGATGATAGGCAGTTGGATCTGTAAACACCCAACCAACTAGAATTCTCTCGTTACCATGACAACACTTCAGTCAGCAACAACTACACACCATTCAAAGGAATATTCACGCAACTCAAAGAAATATTCATAGCCATAGAAAAAAGTATGTCTGATCATTTATCTGCATGTCCATTTCCTTTTGGGACCACTGTAATCAGACTTCACATATTAGCACTCACACCATAACATTTTTACTAATGTGCTTCACCCACACATTGTCAGCAACCACACATACAGTCCATTAAAATGTATTTCAGAAAGATAAACATATATACACACTTTATATTGACCAAGGCATATGAATGACTTTATGAACTACCCTTTAACAAATGGAAAATTTTGCTGAACTTTTGAATTTTTTTTTTTCAACCAGAACAAACACAATGTTTACCATATAAAAACAAATGTTAATATGTATATAAATATATGATTATTTCAATCTAGTTTTCCTTTTTGCCTATGTAAAAGATAATTTCTTTGCCTTATGTTGCATTTGTGGGTGACACACTGATTTTAATTTTTCAATTTTTAATCTGTGTAGACTGACACTATAACATCTTCTACTGATAACACAGAATGTTTTTTGCTCATAAATTCTCTTCAAATTCTACTCTTGACGCATCAGGAGTATCTTTGCCTGACTTTCCACTATATATATATATATATATGTATACGACTTTGTCTATGGTTTCTGCTATCATCTCTAAACTTGGATTCCCTATAAGCATGTGGATTTGATGGCATCCCTGCAATATTCCTTAACAAATGTGCTACTAAACTAGCTTCTGTTCTCTTTAAACACTGCAATAAGTGCCTTGCTGCTTGTTTGAAATCCCTTTCTACAGTTCCAGTCTTTAAGAGTTCATGCAAACTGTCTGATCCTTCTGTCGACCTATCAGCCTTTTAACTATTTTCTAGCAAAGTATTAGAGACTCTAATCAACCCACAGAGCCTTCTTTCAGATAAGCAATACAGCTTTTGCTTCTCTAGGTCAACTGCTGATGTGTTAATGATTATTGCTGAAAGAGCCAAGCTTTAGATAACAATGATGTTATCAAGATATCCAAGGCAACATACTAGTCTTCTTCACAAGTTGGAAGGTTATGGTATTTCTGGACAAATTTTTGAACTGATTAAGTCTTTCTTAAAAGATTTGCAAGTGAAGCAATTTGGACAAAAAACACAGATAATCTTAGGAATTTTTAAATTAGATAAAAAAAAAAAAAAAAAAAAATCAATTTTCTCTTCTTTAATGCGCAAAAAGATTTTTGTCAGATCATCAGTGAAGGAAACGAAAAATTGTAAATGCTGAACACTAACCTGATGATTGATGCTGTCTGCTTGTTTATAGTCCCACACCTTGAGCATTTTTTCCCCAGCAGTTACCATGTGTTGTCCTGTTCTAATAAAAGCAATGGAACGACAAAGTGTCCCCTGAATGTTGGCAAACTGAAATAGATTATTAGCAAATAGTATAACATCACAATTTTATTTTCATGCTGAAGATTTTATTTTGCTTTTTATACAGTTTTTCAAATATAGGTAAAATGATATCATATATATATATATATATATATATATATATAAGAAAAGTCCGACAATTTATTAAAGACATTTTTATGTTTGTATCTATAAAAAGAATGTTAAACATAAAAATGAGCAAAATAAAGGGTCAAGTTCGACATTCCAACCACCTGAAAAAGAAAGCCGAAACGTACAACAGCTGAAACGTTGTAATAAATATGGTGACAAAGATGAGGACAATAGTCCGAATAATGTAAATAACGTAAAAAACAATCCTATAGTTTTAATGTACAACCATTCTGAATATTTTTCTATAGTTTAAAAATATAGTTGTAATAAATATGGCGACAAAGATGAGGACAATAGTCCAAATAATGTAAATAATGTAAAAAACAATCCTATAGTTTTAATGCACAATCATTTTGAATATTTTTCTATAGTTTAAAAATATAAAATTTTTGATATGAAGTGATATTTTAGATATTGACACAATACAGATGAAAGCAAAAAAATTTTTTAATTTTATAGTTGCAAGTCACTAATTTCATTTAACAAATGAATATCTCAAAGACAAAAAAGCACAATTTACAGATCATCAAAAATTATTTCTTTATTACAAACTAATAAGTAATAAACAAAATCAGATTCAAATCATCAATGAAGACAAATATATATTCTCATTTGTTTCTATCGAGGAAGAAGAAAAACTGTAAAAATTCCACTAACCTCAGAGAGCAAACATCCAGTAAGTGCATCAAATTTGAGGAGTGTTTTGTTTGAAGTGGAAACCAGCAAATGGCAGTGGGTGGCAGGTGTATAAAAAATGTTTTCAGCCATATCCACAATTGGCTTGAAGGCAGAACTTGGACTTCCTGTAGAATGGCTGATGTCAATTACCCAACACTACAAAATATATAACAATAAAAGAATGTATTTTGAAAAATAAATTAAAAACTCAATCAGGTTATTTCTGAAAGATAACATTTTTAAGGCAAGCTGTTTTTACAATTAGAATGCTTGGTATCAAGAGATAGAGCATTAATAATAATTTTTTTTATCCCATGACCCGTAGGGTCGTTGGGGCACCATGTGTACTGCAGCTACAATAAAAGTGGTGTTTCTTGGGCAAGATAGTTTGATGGAGCCCAACTCTTTCCAGGCTGGTTTTGAATTCAGAGTTTTTCCTTCTCCTAGACCAGTTGCCACCCAAGGTTATAGAACCCAATCTGTCCTGCTATTTACCCTTAGCTGGAAAGAGAAGAGGCTTCATACCTTTCCCAAGGGTATTAGCACATAAGTGAATGTAATGGATCCAACTGGAATTAGAACACTGTTCTCTGATTCCTCAATCCGAGCCACTATCCATTACTCCACCATGCCTTCCCTATTACTAGTAATAAATAAAGTTAAATGTTCACTAATCTTCTTTCTACTTTCAGTTTTACAGAAATTGCATTCACTCTTCAGGAGACTTGATTGGAAAATTGGTTCAAATTTATTTTCAGAAATCATTCTTCTTAAAGAAAAAAAAAATTACATCATTTTTAAGAATATGATTTCTGAAAATAAATTCAATTTTACAATCAAGTTTCTTGAAACGTGGATTTAATCTCTATGAAACTCAGAAAAGAAACAAGATAAGTTAACATTTAATTTTGTTTATTACTGAGTGTGAGTGTTAGGTTGAGTCATAAACAATTTCTATTTTTTTTTTATCAACTTTATTCTTCAAGATATTACTGGCCCTCAATGAGGAAAGTGGTGCCAAAATTGATAATAGTTTGTGTCACAGTAGACAATCCTCCCAGACAGTACCGCTCCTTTAGGAGAGGGATGGGGGTCAGTACCTGCTGTCTGAGATGTCCAAGAAGGAAAGGAGCTTGTGCAATTTTTTCACAACTACCAAAATCCCACAGTAAACTCGACCTTATGTTAAATTGTGGGTGTACAAATAAATTCCTTTAAAATATTACAATTGGATCCCAAAATTACTTATGATTCAACCTAATATATAAGAAAAGAAGATGGAATTGTAATTTATTCAAAGAAACAATTACCTGCTTATTTATTCAGGAAAAATAAAAATAAAAATTTAAACTTTTAAATAAAGCACAAACAAATCCGGGGAAATAAAAAAAAAAAAAATTAAATTTTTTGCAACATTTAAAAATTGACAATTATTTACAACATTTACAATTTTAAAATAAAGATAATAATAAGAATTGAAAACAGAAATTCAAAATGACTTAGATATTTGTTATTATATAATTGAAGAATCTTTAAATGTAAAAAAGTACATTATTTACATTATTCGGACTATTGTCCTCATCTTTGTTGCCATATTTATTATAATGTTTCAGCTGTTATATGTTCCAGCCTTCAGCTGTTATATGCTCCAGCCTTCTTCAGGTGGTTGGAATGTCGAATTGAACTCTTTATTTCGCTCACTGGGTGTTATGATGTTGATTTGGGGTTAGTAGAGACAAACGCCAAATAACACGTAACAATAAAAAGGGTTTTAATAGGTTGGTAAATAGGTACAGAAATCGCCTGAGTAGTCAATAACTAGCTCAGCTAAGAACTGCTCTGTCTCTCTGTCTTCTGACATACCACTATTTAACATCTTTGTTCGCAGACAAGTTCATCTTCAAGAGTAGGTTTCCGACACAACACTGGGATAGACTGTTCTAGTTCCACGTGCCATGTTTTAATGGATGTCAGTTATCAGTTATCTCCTGTTAATTCCCCTCTGCAAGTTCTCCACTGCCTTAACCAGGTATTGAACTCACACTCTTTGGGTCCTGTCACAGTGCCATGTGTCCTCAAGGACACATGGCACTGTGGATAAAAGCGTTAGATTAAGGCAGTGGAGAACTTGGAGAGGGGAATTAACAGGAGATAACTGATAACTGACATCCATTAAACATGGCACATGGAACTAGAACAGTCTACCCCATTGAGTGAAATAAAGGGTTCAATTTGACATTCCAACCACCTCAAGAAGGCCGGTGCGTACAATGGCCGAAACATTTTAATAAATATTGCAACAAAGATGAGGATGATAGTCTGAATAATGTAAATAATTTCAGAAATATAGACAGATAAAAAAGTAGTTTTATTTATAAGACAATTGCATAAGTAACATAGTTATATTTTTGCTAAATAAAAATTCCTTCTGTAATAAAGTAAAAGCAATAAAATAAAGTGTTCCTACCTCCCTCAAGTCATTTGAGCCAACAACTGTAATAGTGTAAGGACTGGGACCAATAAAAGCCACATACAATCCATCAGGACTAATAGCCATAACATTGTGTACATAATTTTGGCAGGCTAAAGAGCCTGGAGGCAAGGACATCATCAGTTTGTAATCATCATTAACCACCTTCCATCTAACCAACATTCCAGCAACACAAGCAGAATAAAGGCTGCAGCCAGTAGGTGAATAAAGTAGTGATACAATACTTTTTTTATTTACACTGGAAAAATAAAATATATAAACTTATTTGGAAACTGAAAACCATATAAGAGCAGTTGTTGCAAAAAGTACAATAAGAGCAAATTGAACAGTCCTCTTTTCATTTGGTATTTTTTTTTTATTATTTCACTCCAAGCAAGGCAATAAAGTCACTAAGACACAAGGGGTTACTGAGTGAGAGAGAATATGAGAAAAAGAAAACATTGTTAAGGAAAGAAGACAATAAAAGAAGACAGAGAATAACGATTGATATTGCATGTAAATTTTTGAAGATCAAAGTTGACTGGAAAGCAAGAAGCCAGAAGAGAGCCTCACAAGCAAAAGAGAGAAGAAACTGTTAGCATAGAAAATATGGTTCCATCTAGCCATTTCAACTATAAAATGATGATTTGAGATTTGTCATTATCTTTCAAAGATTTGTTCTGAATACTGATCTCTCTATTTTTGTCAACATTTTGGCTGATGCATTCTTTGGCCTTCTTCAAGTGTACAATCCATATGGAAAGAATGTTGAAAGGAACTGCATGAATGTTGAAAGAAACTATTGTAAATTTCATTGCTTATGTGAAGTAAGAAAAATACAGACGAGCAACCACATATATAAAATAGAGACTGATTTGTTGATCTCAATCTTCACTGGGAAATGACTGCAAAACATTTCCCCCCTCAACTTTTATAGGCAGCCATACAGAAATGCATGCTGGGATTTTTTTTCTTAGTCAATAAAATAGGCCGGTTTGCCATCTGACATGACTCAGTCCAGATCTGCCAATTCAAGCAGTTTGTGGGGCCTACAGGGAATTTCTGTCAAAGTCTACGTGCTCAGAATTGCCAAACATAAAAAACTTCTTTGTACTACATCCTGCCTTGTGGGGTGGCAAGATAAATAATCTTAGTCCAGACCTGCCTTGCCTAGAAGACAGAATGCTACATTTGCTTGTCTGAACTTGCTTTTGTGTGTCAATGCCAATTCTTAGTTTGTGAACTTTTTGCCTTCTCACCTGTTAATTTGCCTTGCATCTATTGTTTGCTTGATATTATTTCATTTTTGCCCTGTTCCTTTTTCTTTTTATTGCAAACTTTGTTAATTCTGATTGTTGAACAGTTATTTATTTTGCATTTGACCATGGCTACTCATGCCACAAATCTGTCTCAGTCAATTATGTGCTACGCTTGATACACACATATGTGATCATGTATCTTTTGATACATGACTGATGAGGCAGATTTTTTCCCTGCAGTGGGTTGCCATTTCTTTCTGTGGTAGACTAGTTGCCATCCAAGGCTATAGAACATGGTCTTTCCTGCTATTTACCCATAGCTGGGGGGTGAAGAAGATGATTCATACCTTTTACAAGGGTATTAGCACATAAGTGAATGTAATAGATTTGACTGGAATTCAAACTTGGCTGTCCAATTCCTCAATCCAAGCCGCTATCCATTACTTCGCCATGCCTCCAGTCTGTCTCACACATTGTAAAAATTAGCCAAATAGATCTTGATTCAATTGTTATATGAGTGTTAGAGAATATGGGAAAAACCACTATTAAGGAGAGTGGACAATAAAAAACAAGCATTAAGACTGAAGAATGGTTTAAATTCTAACATTCATTAACTTTTAATACAGTGTCATTTTTTTTTAATTATTGAAAAAAATAATTCATTCAATAGTGATACAAGTGCATTAAACTGAACAAAATTCAAACTGCTTGTAATAACTGATACTATCAAAATTAATTGGAAACATAAGAAATAAAAAATACTAACTGGCACTGTAAAAACAAGAATTTTCCTGCAACTACATTTTATTGTTCTACTATTAAACCAACAAAATGAGGAATCAAATGAAGCTGAAAGAAGAAAACTCAAAGATGAAAAATACAAGTTTGAGAAATATTGCCAAAAATATTGTCAGCTGAATGGAAAATTGCATAAGGTTTACATTAGGATTGTTAGTCGTTGAAGAGTCTGCAATGTAATCGATCCTGACCTGGCATCTTGACTTCAGTCACTTTCACATGACATGCTTTCCCTTAGTCTTTCTTACAAATACTTTCATGGCAACTGTTCTGCCTCTTAGTGACTTGACTTCATGAATTTAAGCGTGCTACTCAATTGGCAACTAGGTCTCACTGTTTTACTGTTGAACTAGCTAGATGCAACTCTCTCTTATTTTATCAGTTTCTTTTCTCACACTTCTCACCTGTGGAACTCTCTTCTGATTTCTTGGTTCCCTGTCACCAACAATCTTCAAAATTTTAAATGCAGTGTCACTCACCATCTTCTGTCTCCCTGAACCCTGTTCATTTATTATCCTTTTGTCATTTCACTCCCTGTAACCCTCTGTATCCTAGTGGCATTATTGACTTTCTTAGGGTGAAATGATTTTAAAAAAGAAAGAGAAAAAAAGAAAAAAAAAGAAGATTGCAAATGAATATAACATCTGAAAGAAATGAAAGAAAACTAAAAATTAGGATGTTAAATCTGGTATAGAAAAATTGATAAGGTTGCACAGCAATACTAAAAATATAAAACAAAAAACAATAATTTTCTTTTTAAAAGAAAGTTAAACAAAATTTGCCATATTCAGAAAATCAGAATATTCTTAGAATGGTGAAGTAGCAAGCTCATGTCTATATCAGTTGTTCCCAAATGGTGTGGCATGCCTCATACATGTGGCAGAAGAGGATAGCAGGCGAGACAGTATGATTGAAAAACAATCAAAGATTTAGAAACAGTTTAAAAAAATTCATATGCCAAAAATAAACATGATTTCAAAATTTAAAATATTATTATGAATTATTTGTAATTGCATACATGAGTCCTAGTATAAATAGTTATAAATAATTATTGATTGATTTTATCATTGTGATATTTTTGCATTATATCAGGTATTAAGAATATAGTAACTAGGATCTGAAGATTGGAGGAGAGAGGCTCTGACTTTGAATCCGCAGTTATCTCCCTTTAACTCTGTTTTTTATTTATAAATGTACTTTTTATCACAAAATTTGGTCAGGCGCTAGCAAATTTTTATTCTGAAAATGCAGCCCAGAGAAAAAATGTTTGGGAACCACTGGTCCATATGAATAAATGAAGCTCTTCAAACAAGTTTCAGGTGATTAGACAAAAAAAAAAAAAAAAAAAAAAAAAAACAGTCTTTCAGCATTTTTTTCCGTTAAATTTGTATTTGTATACATAAAGATTCTTTCTAAAAGGGGTGTTTGGATTAGAATACGTTGTACTGAACTACAATTTTAAAATATTATTTTTACTTTTAATTACTAATATATTATATTTCTTTTTAAAACAAATAAATGTAATAAAATTACTTAAATTATTTAAAAATTACATCTCCAATATAAGTACATAAAAAAAAACTTTTGTCAATGATAAAAAAAACAGACAACATGCATTGAACGGATGTTATAATTATTGAAAAAGGTACCCCTACACTACCTAGACTTAACCTCTTTGCGAACATAACTCATAACTGATACAATAATCATGCTTATTATAAAACCCCGGTTGTGTGTGTGTGTGTGTCTGTTCGTTTATATATTGGATCGGATTTCCTACATTTTTCAACCGATTTCAACTAAACTTCACAGGATTACGTAAAATTACCTTGTGGTGATTCTGACAGTGCCAAAAATTGGAAAAACACGATTTTTTTGCACAAAATCAATTTGAAAACATGATTAAGAGGCATTGATATCGCGAAAATGGAAGGGGGACAACTCATATCAAGTTATACTTATTATAAAATCCAGGTTTCTTTGTGAATGTGTGTCTGTGTTCGTTTATGCATGGGATCAGATTTCCTACATTTTTCAACCGATTTCAACAAAAGTTCACTTTATTTTTGGCAGGTAGTGTTTCTTATTGTCTTGCACACTTTTTTCTTTATTTTTACATTCAGAAAGCTTTAAAAATTTAATACACTTTTCATATATATATATATATATATATTAGGGAAACCATAAAGCTTGGATGTTCTAGGGTGATATTCTAATATTCTATGAGTTTATACTAAGATTTGTTTTCATTTTAATGAAATACAACAAATGTCAGTTACAATTTTACAGCAATCAAATGTTGAAAATACAAGGACACACTTTAAATTTACATCTGATGCTGAAACTAGTAATAGCAGTAGTTTTGTTAGGAATAGTGCAATTTCCATGGACTTTTACCTTATTAATTTACTTACACTTTTAATTAAACTATTTTTTTTAGTCAAAATAATGGTCAAACTTATTGTAATGATTAATTTACTGAATGTTTTGTTTAGTAAAAGATCCTTTTTGTGTTCATATATTATTTTATTTAACTTCTTAAATGTTTTCCTATATATCTCTTGTGATATTTTTTACAAGATATACATTATATACTAGGGGTCGGCAAACTTTTGCTATGTGCCGACTTAGGGTTTTAAAATCATTCAGTGTGCCAACAGCATATGTATTTTTATACAAGTCAAGGTCAATATACTTATTCTACAATATATTTTATATAGTAATATATACAATAATATGTATATCACATTAATAGAAATAAACTGTTTTAAAAATTTTTTTAAAGTTTTTATTGCTAATGGGAGTCCAACAAGTGAGCAGTTTTGACAGCTAAATATCTTCTTTGCGTTGTAGTAGTTATTGGTTCAGACTTCATGATATCATTTCCAGCTGTGTCTCATTGGAAATTGTTTGGCGTGCCAAGTGTGACATGCATGCCATTGGAAATTGCTTGGCATGCCATGCATACCATACGTTGCCAACCCGTTATATACAATACATGCATAGTTTATAGAAAATGCTTTATCGCTGATATTGAGTAATCTTTCTCCATAAATATAACAACATTTTAAAGAAGCTATCTATCTAGCTAAATATTTTATCACACACACATATATATGTTTCATTGAATAATATAGACATATGTCTTATAATAATCCTTTCTAGTTCTCTAACCAGTTAACCATGTTAAGATCAAATTAATCAAAGAAAGACATCATAGTTTTTTCTTACCCAAGTACTTTTGATCTCCTCTAAGACTATGCTCAGGGATGAATTACACAGACAATTTTGTTTCATCTTTAAAGTAAACTGTATGGATCAGCAAGAAAGAATATAATACCTCATGCAATATGATGAAAAGCAACAAGAAAATTTAGTCAAAGTTAATAATAAAAACTGGCTGGCCTCGAGACAATTAAGATTATCCATTATTTTGTACCTCTGCTCTTTTCTCACTCTTTATCTGTGTTTTCTCTTTTCCTCTCCTTTGTTCTCCAATGTTCATTACCTGTCCATATTTTTATTTATAGATTCATGGATTAATTTCATATGTGAATAAAGAATACACAAATATTTTCTTAGCATTCTTTTGCTTTACTTCCCAATGAATAATTTTAATATACTGAAATTTTTATACCTTTTCAATCTTTCATTCATTGTCTCGTCATATTTAGCCAGCAAGACATTCATTTTTATCTCTTTCCCTCCCCAGCATATATGATTATTTTTTCTTTAACCTGGTTTTCTTTTCATTATATCCTCTTTCACATTCACTGCTCCCTCTCTTCATCATCACCTTTTCTCCAAATTATTAATTTTGTTTAGGTTTCTCAGCCAGATAAAATAAATGACTCCAACTTAGAATGGCTAAGAATCAAGCAGATACTACACACTCATCTTAGATTAAAAAAAAAAAGCATAATGGTGGTATATACAAACAAGTATTATAATAATAATATAGATATCACATAAAGAAATTAAGACAGCTGAATTCTTTTAAAAAACTAATTTCTACTGACCTGAGATCACAAAGGATGCTATTGGATGTTACATCAAAAATACGAATGGTCCCATCTGAAAAACCACAGGCAAATATATCGGAAGAAGGGCTGCAGGTAATAGCAACTGGACAATTGTCAGCAGAACTAAAATCATAGAGCTACAAAAGAATCAAATTTGAAAAATATGAAAGAATTAAGTTTGATTTATATGCAAAAGAAAATGTCATTAGTTATTTCTACAAGTGTGGTTTTATTATTGTCGAGTGAATGGCAATGGTTAATGTAAATAAATGGCAGAATTGTTCAATAAACTGATTTTACAAGGTTTGCAATAAATGATTACAATAAAAAGAAAAGAGCATGTAAAAAGATAATATTAAGCAAGTAAACAATATATGCAAGGCAAAGCAACAGTAATATGGCAAAGAGTTCACAAACTGAGAATTGGAGTTGATATACAAGAGCAAGTTCAGACAAGTGAACAAGATGAAACAGACTGGGACTAAGACAAATGAAACAGAGACCTGCCCTATTTTATTGGCTAGGAAGAAATCCCTGCATGCATTTGTGTGCTTCTGCTGATGAACTGGAGAGGGGAAAGTGTTTTGCATTCATTCCAATAGGAATTCAAACCAACAATTATAAATAAGAAAAAAATATTGGTAAGCAACTGAAAATTATCAGTTATCCAGTCTACTAAAAATGATGGAGGTTATCATGAGATTTTGGTAATAGGACTAACCAAACAATAGTCAGAATGGAAATCCAGATTTCACATCTTTTGTTCTACTCTGTAAGATCCAAAAGCAACAACAGAACCACTTCTAATGTTCTTACCTGCTGCAAAGTTTCTGAGTCCCAAATACGTACAGACATGTCACTAGATACAGTGATTAAGTGACAATTATTTGAGGAGAGACAAGCATTCAGTATTTGATCAGTATGAGACCTCATGATTGTCTTATATTTCCTTGTTGTCACATCTAATATACCAAGATGACCCTGAAAATGTTAAAAAAATTTTGTTAAACTTACAGGTTACTTACAATAAAATGTGTCATGGAAATAACAGAAAAGAACTAAGACATTTTATGCTTACTGTTTTGGTACCGGTCAATATTTTGAGGCCATCAGGAGAAAACTGGACAGCAGATACAGGTCCTTGGTGTTCTAAACACATAAAATTCATAAAAGTGTTGAGACTTTTAGAATTCTATTTTAACATGAAACAGTCAAGTCCTAATGTGTTTTACTTAAATAAGTTATTCATGCCATCCCCACAAAATAAAAAACAAAAATAATATGCAAGTAAAAACATCGAACTCATAAAATATCCAAAATGCTATGCTATTGTGCATCTTTTTTTTTGTTGTTTATGTTCAATAATTCCTGAATATTAAATAAAAAATAATACAAAATTATTTCTATGTCACTAGAAGAATAATTTCAATATAGAAAAATGTTACACACAAACACAATATATCATCATGGTCCTTCAGGTCCTGAGAAAGACTGTGAATCCGGAGATGGCTCCATAGACCAAATCTGAACATTCTAAGTCAGGAGCAGTCTGTAATCATGATGAATTTTCAAAACATGTGATGTGGGAAGAATTTATAGTGAGGAAATCATTGCACTGGGGAGTGTTTACCCAGTTGAAATCATTACAACCAGATACTATTAATTCCATTTCATCCTCAAGTGAATTTTTCGCGAAAAATTCACTTGAGGATGAAATGGAACTAATGTCTTTAATTTAATCACAAAATTAAATTCAGGGCTTTTAGCTTCCATTTTGAAACATGGTTAGAACTGTGTAGCGAAAAAAAACCATATTTTAAATCAATTAATTTATAATATATATATATATATATATATATATATATATATATATATATATATATATATATATATATATATATATATATATATATATATATGAACCTGTGGTTTATACTGTAACTATGCTGAGCAGACCTTAGTTACAGTTTCTGGGTGCAATCAACAATCTGAACAAGGCCAGCACACTCAAACAAGCTATTGACGCCCCCCCAAGTGTTCTGTCTACCCAATTTCACTCACAAGGCTTGGGTCATCCCATACTATGGTTTTCAGGCACTTTCCAAAGGTAACACATGCTGGGATTGTCCCCACCTCCAGACCCATAACATCAGGAAGTCTCTTTCCTGACAAATCAACTGTAGTGAGATTCAAACCTGGTCTCATGGTCAGAAAGTGAAAGTTCTAACCACTTGGCCATGTGCCCATATATAAGAGAAAAGGATAGAGAAAAAGAAAGAGAGAGAGAGAGAGACACATACAGGAATATATAAGAAGAGATGATGAAAAGTTATAAGCCCATCCCATTTCCAAAGAGATCAGAATTTAGGCAGGGGGGGTGCTTCTTGGTTTGTTTGAAAAATTTTCAGGACCCCTTAGATGTAAATACATTGGGTTTTATTTTTCCATACTTTGAAAATGGATTCAATATTGAACCTGGACTCCTAATTTTAAAAATGTTGGTAAAACATTACTATAAAGTTTGTATAAACAAGGTACTAAGCTTAATAATAATATTATGAACATGCTGTTAATAAGTTGCCAATTTTAGGTTAGGACCAAGGCCAGAAATAAGAAAACCAGATTAAAACTTAAGATTACCAATTATTTCAGCAGTAAAATGAAAATAATAAGTAGCCCAAAAATAATAAAAAACTGAATATGATAAAATTGAAAATTAAAATACTAAAATATTTTTTTTTAAAATCACTAGCACTCAAAAACAAGGCTGGAAATGATAAACTGAAAAGAAAAAAAAATTAAACCAAAAATATTAAAGACGGCAAAAGAAAAAAACAGAAACGAAAGAAAAAAACAAAAAGAAAAAAATGAGAAAAAAATAAAAAATAAAAGAAAAACATTTCAAAAATGGAAAAATTTAAAACAGAAAAATGTTTTAAAAAATTGTTTGAATTTCTAGGACGAGAAGTAATTATTTACATTTCAACAGGGAATTATAATCAAGAAAAGCAAATCTAAATTACTTGGTATTAAACAAAAAAAAAATTGTCAAATAATATGAGACAATAGTTATATAATAATCCACATAAATAAAATACAAAGTATACAGACACACACACACATATATATATATATATATATATATATATCTCAACAGGTATTATATTTATCAAGGTGAGCAGAATGTTTGACAAAGTGCTCAGTAGCCATCAAGAGCAATAATTATTGTATCAAAAATAATGAATATTTACAATACTTATAAAAGATAACTCAGAATTTCATTAAGCTTTGTTTTTCAGACCCTACATAAGCTTGTCATGAAGAGCAAAGCTTTGGAAAACTTATCTTTGATAAGTATCATGAATTTCTAAAATATATATTTTATACACATTTTGTATCACAAATCCTTATCAGTATTTTTCTGGAGACAAGAAGTTGTAATTATTCAATGGTGAATTGAATGTTATTTGTCTAGCTTAATTTTAAGGAATTTCTTGATATAAACAAGAAAATGCAGGAAAAAAATTTAATATTTTTTAAGTATAATGTAATCGCAAAATTACTTGTTTACTGCAGTCATGTTTTTGACTGTATGAGTAAAATAGTCCTGAATAAAAGTCTACAAAGTTTTAATTGAGCCTCACTCAATTTTGTCCATCGCTTCTTTTAGTATACACATTTTGGCATGGTTAATGTTTCTGTGACTTTTCTTTTTTTTTTTTTACTTTGGAACACTGGGCCAGAGATATCAATGTGCCAGGGGATTACAGAGACCTTGATGACAGTGAGAAACAGTGTCCATAGCAAACAAAATCTCCAGTTTCACAGTGGAGAAAAGTTTGATTTTCTAGCTACAACTGTCTTTTCATTATATTATACAGAGTATATAGCATGTTCGTTAACAAGTTCTTCTTGCAAACCAATTCACAAGTGTAGGAAGTACAAATCACACTGGCCTTGTGCCAAACTAAGCTTAGTAAGTTACCTTAATAACAAAATTCTTTTTTAGCCTTTGCCATTGTAAAGGTTTCTAAGTATGAAAACAATCACAAACCTGCCTCCATATAAAGGTAAGCAAAATCTAATGCCCACAGACAAAGGTAACCATCTTCAGATCCTGTGACACAAAAAGTTTCATGAACACAAATGGAATTAATTGGAATTCCTTCGGAGCCTGAAAAAAAAAAAAAAAAACACACACAAAGGAAAATTATTGTTAGTAAAGAAAAGCAAAAAGGAAAATTGAATAGATAGTATTATTGAGTCTGGTATTTTTGTGTAATTGTCATGGTCAGATTTTTACCTGCCAAGGCAATAAGCCATATGATGCCCTTCTCTAAAGAAAATTTGGGTAAAAAATTATTAAATAATTATACATGACTATTACTTATTAATGATTATATATATTTTAAGTTTTATTGTTAAAAAATAAAAATATATTTAAAAAAGAAAATTGAGGCTCCTAAGTGGAGCTAGATTTAAGCCTTAAGAGAATTCTGGGCTAATAGAATTTGGAGACACCCTTCATGATTAATGTTGAAATCCGTCTGTTTATATTGAGCCCAAAAACATTAGTAATCTCAATATGCATGACACTAATCATTTGCATAAACAAATTCTAGGTCACACTCAGCACACTGCTGCAACCGTATTTTTTGCAAGTGGATGCTCTCGGGTTTGTGTTGACCATCATCTCCTGCATACACAAAACACCAAGTGTTGTCTTTTTGATTGATAGTCTCATTGAAGGTAGCCAACAGTTCATCCTGCCTTTCACTTCCATTACAAAATAATTATAAATCCTGGAGATCCGATAGGAAATAAGATTCTTGGATCATAAAGAAAGATAATAATTTGTATCACAGTGAGAAATCAAATACGCATATATAGTAAATCTGAAAATAAACAAATCTCTGCTGTTCTTATATTTTTATCTTTTAAAATTTTTTTTTAGTTTTATCAGGGGGCTCTCTAGTCTTAAGACTTCTGAGCTACAGCACAGTATGTGGCCCTAAGCTATAGCTTATAGGTAAGTCCAGTACTGGTAATTGTTTCATATGATACGAGTACAATTTAGAAAAGATACAACACTTTGATCCCAGCTTAATGGAAAGGGTGTGAAAAATATAAAAATAAAAGTGTGACTTGAGTAGCACTGATCAATGAATGCCAAGTATTTCCTTATAAGGAAACAAGTAATATTACCATTACCATAGACAATAACGTGCAGAAGGAGAGAAGGTAGAGGGTGCAATGACCCTGAGGGAGGGCACCCAATTAAAAATTTAGTTTTGTGAAATTTGAAATTATCTCCATTAATCCTACAGTCCCACAAGCTTGTGTGGATCTGTGTTTTGATAAATGATATCAGAGTAGCCCCATCCCACTACACACTTGATTCTTAGGAGCATACAATCAAGGAGTTGGCACTGGGCATCACCAAATTTCTGCATATCACTGACTATAGAGCACCAACAGCTATTTCATTTTGTATCAACCATAGTTTTTGTCTTTTCCATTCTGAGTTTCCATAAACTAAGAGTTTTTATTCAGATAACAAAAACTACTGAGTAAATCTAAATTAGAAGACACACATTTTATCATATTGTGACAAAAAGAACAGGGGTAATTAGAAAAGAGAAATAAAAACAAACTGACCACATTTAGTTGAAGCATTCCTGGCTTCTGAGGGTAAAAGACGACGAACATGCTTGACTGTCATCTTCTGGTAATCTAGTTCCAAAATGTAACCGGTTTCACTGCTTACAAAGCTGAATAAACAAAACAGATTAATGAAAGTCATTTTCCCTGTTAAAGAACATAAAATTACAAATGAAATACCATCACTACTACTACTACTACTACATGCATGTAATGAAGGAAATGTTACAGGATTATGATTTTCTGGATTTGTATCAACTATATTCATCTATTTTCCAACACCAAAAAATAAAAGCAAAGCAAATGAAATATTGAATGTTGGAACAATAGCTTTATTTCTCATCAATAGAAAACATCAATGCTGTCTGCCATTCTTCTTCTATGTGCTGTGTCCCTTCAGGACATTGGCATTCATTGCTCTCCACAACTTCCTCTCTCTAGTACCTCTTACTAAAGTTTGTCTTTTTACCATCCCTCCCATTCCCTGTTCTTCCATACATTCACACAAGCTGTTGTAGGTGGCCCCACTACCTCACCCTGTCTCTTTTGTATTTGATATGTCTTGTGAGTGCCTCTTCAAGCCTTCCTCCCTCATGATGTCTCCCAAATATTTCCGCTCACTCTTTCTTATTATAAGTGTCTTTTTTGCTTTCATTTTCCTTAAAGTTTCTTTGTTGTGTATGCAATCCATTTATAGTATTCTCAGCATATTTCTGTTACCCCCAGTCTTTTCTTCATCTTTGAGGAAACTATCCAGTATTACATAGCAGTTCAGATTTGCAGGGCGTCCTACTGGACAGTGTCCCATGGTCAGCTTAATGCACGACTTATTTTTCAGAGGCTTTTTGGAATTTTGTTGATTCTTCTAGTTGTTGTCTTTTGTTTTCTTTTGAGGAAGGTTGTTGGCATGGTTTATTTTGGGATCTTTGGTTAGATGATCCTTACCTATTTAGTGATTTCTTGTCTTATCAAAATGAATCATATTCCATTATTTGGTAATTGAATATTGATTACCTAAAAGTATTTTAGGATTATTTCATTTATTAGTTTCTAATATTGGTTTGTATGTTGAAAATAGACAAATGTTCAAAAGTAGAAAAAAAACAATATAAAGAAAAAAGAAGATAGTGATACTGACAGTTTTTGGATGTTAGGGTCATCTTCTGGAACAAAGGCTAAATCTGTAAAATTGGTATCCTGGTATTCTCCAATATTGACAGAAACTGAATACAGAGAATGGCCTTTCAGGCGCCAAAATCTAATATTTTCTTGCCCACATGATACCAGTCTGGGAAAAGAGAGAAGAAAAAAAGATTATCTTGTATAATGGATTTGGGATTTAACAAAGTGTGATTGAACTTGGACAGGGTCAACATATTTTATAATTTCCAATATTGATAAATAATACATAAAAATCTTATTTATGAGTACATGGGTATCCATGATATATTTTAGATAAGATTTTTGGATTTAAGAAGCAATGAATTACACTGTCAAAAAAAGTAACTATTACATATTCTTTACTATTAAGTATTCCAAATTGCCCCAGTTTATAGTGCAAAAAATGCACCAAAATAGTGAAATTTCCTTCCATTTTAACTACTGATATTTTATTTATTTTTAGGATATTTTGATAAAATTAGTATATATGCAAAATTTAATAGTTTCACTTTATAAAGATACAATTCTTTCTCATGTATAAGGATTAGATTTTATTCTACATCTCTTTAAATTATGTCACTATTTCAATGATGGCAGGTAAATTTTCTGAATTTCTGAAGTTGACAATTCCAAAGTGATGTTTTTAAAACTTGTGCTTAGAGTTATCTCCTTACACATATCAAAATATTTCCATCTTAAAGAAAAAAGGGACGCTTATCAATTTGGTGAGCTAACCATAAGATCTGAAGTTGTCTACCACAAAAAATTTCTAGGTTGAAAACTTTAGTGAATAAAATACTATAGAAATTCACCACTCAAAAAAAATTAAAATTGCACATTTTTGTAGAGCAATGTCTCGTCTTTAATAATCAGTTAGTTTCATATCTCTGCACCCATACAACTCAAGGCACAAATATAAAAAGAAGGTATGCTGTGTTCATTTTATACGAACCTGTTCAGAACGATGCATTGAAATTTGCATTGCTGATCAAGTGAATGAACATCAACAGTTGAACCCCATTTTAAGTCAGACTTTTTTCATCAATGAATATTACATAGTTTGAATATTTTTCTTCTATTTTCTTTGCATTTTGAAACTATATTATAAAGTACTTATTGTATTTTTTTCCAAACACTCAAATCACTTTCTCCTCAGCTGTTTTTATACATTTTCTTAAAATATCATTAAATAGAATTCATATAAAATAGAAAAATAAATATATAAACTGGATATAATCTTGCTTCTCATGTTTGTCCATTATAAATATATCAAATTTTTTAAAAAGTGTCCAGTTTTCCTTTTATTGGTCTATCATTTCTTTTACATTCATGGCTGACAATATTTTCTCTAATTCTCAGGATTTGGGGGTTAGATTGAAAATTTATTTACATTTTCAAAAATGGAAACTGGATACATTTTATAGATATATAATATACTAGCAGTAGAACCCGGCGTTGCCCGGGGATGTAACAGTAAGAGTTAGATCAAGTATCGACTATCATAAAGACTGAAAAATAAAATTGACAAAGATTATTGTTTAAGGTTGACAGACACGCATGTCTTAATTAGTTTTGTTTTTTGTTTGGTTTTTTTTTTTTTTTTTTTTCTAAGAATTGGTCAAACTCAAAACAAAAGCATTGTTTTCAATCATTATGAGTCTACCGATTGAATAGAATTTTATTATAAACAATTGTCTTGTAAATTAAATTTTTAAAGAATTCTGAATGTAAAAATAAAGAAAAAAGTGTGCAAGACAATAAGAAACACTACCTGCCAAAAAAAGTGAAGTTTTGTTGAAATCGGTTGAAAAATGTAGGAAATCCGATCCCATATATAAACGAACACAGACACACACACAAACAACCTGGGTTTTATAATAAGTATAACTCGATATGAGTTGCCCCCCTTTCATTCTCGACAGCGATGCCTCTTAATCATGTTTTCAAATTGATTTTGTGCAAAATTTTTCCAATTTTTGGTGCTGTCAGAACCACCGCAAGGTAATTTTACGTAGTCCTGTGAAGTTTTGTTGAAATCAGTTGAAAAATGTAGGAAATCCAATCTAATATATAAACGAAACACACACACACACAACCTGGGTTTTATAATAAGTATGATATAGATATATAATAATGAACTGGATATATGTTTGTCTTTAGATGGGACTTTGATATAATACCACTTTCGAGAAATTACAGGATATGGAGTGTTCCAGGAATATTGACTATGGCAAATGCTTATAAACTAGACTGCAAATCACCACTAGAAGAAGAGATGCAGGAGGACCATTCTTTTACATCATTTCCAATAAATGTATTTTATTCATTTCATTTTTTTTAGTTTCAAGATAAATGAGTTTAAAGTTTTAAGATAAGCATTTTTTTGAAGGAGTGACCAATGAATCATTTCATTTCTGAAACAAATTTTTAAGTGCTGTAGCCATTACTGTCCTTTTTTGACAAGTTAAAAATGGTATAATTTCACAAAATTTTCAAAAATTAGATACATGTATGAAAAATGGTATTATAGGTACCTCCATGAGATCTAAAAAAAAGAGCATAGCATGATAAAAAAAATGCCAAACTTGATGAAAACAAAATTTTATCATCTAAATGTTTATGTTATTATTAAGAGGAAAGACCAAAGATTTTTTTTTTTTTAATTATTTTTAAAAAATGTTCGTTCTTTTTAGAATATTCTAAATTTTGATTAAAAAAAAACCTTGTTTCTCTTTGTATCATGAGAACTAGTAAAATAACATATACAATTTTTAGCACGTTTTTTTTGTATGACAGACATTAATTTTGAAAATCTTACAACAATAATTGTCAGATGTTAATGAAACTTTCAGAAAATATTCAGATGATGGAAATTATTATAAATATTTTTTTTTTTTTATTAAAGTCATGGCAGAAATATTTTTTTTTATACTTATTACCCCCACACCATAACTAATTTTATGAAAACTCTAGAAATTCAGTCATGTTCAGTTTAGTGAATATATTAATTAAAAGCAAAAGGCTTTGAGGAAAGCAAATCATGTTTTTTTTTTTTTTAATTGGACCCCCTCTACCTGAAAATCATCCCTGAATTGAAACATACAAAACTCAATAAAACAAAAATATTATTTAATTTCAAATGCTTTTACTTGCTTTTAGTTGTTTTTATCAATATGGACAATATTTTCTGAAAGCAAAAAATTTTTTCGATGAAAAATGAATTTTTAATACAATTATTTGTTATTTCTTTAATTATTTTATATTTTTACATTAAATTGTTAAAATATAAAATTAGTTGAAAGCTGCATTCACTTAAACGTAAATGTCCTTATGAAATAGATCATTTTTAGTGCTTTGTAAATTGTATCACTTCGTTCAATCAGAAGACCCACAGTAATTAAGAAATGTAATTTTGTGTTCATAAAAATCATTAAAATAGCTTTAATTAAAAAGTACGGAAGGTCACAAACAATAAAATGTCACATGGCTTGAGTGTAAACATTCTTCACTGAACGTCCATTTCATTATTGCAAATTCTTTGTGCGAAACACATGTTGAACATTTTGAATTAGCGTTTTTACTAATTAAAACAATTTGAACACCATCCTAAGCCATTTTCAGCAGCAACATTACTACATTTTTAAAAGTAACATTTATTTAATTTATATATTTCATTGCAATTTCAATTTTGTGAAGTTGTTTTACAGTTTTCAGTGAGTCATCTTATTTCAATTTTATGAAATTTAATCTCACTCTCAACAGTCTTATTTTAATTTCTTCATAATATATTTTCCATAAAGCATTGTAAATATAAAGGTGAAAGCTAAGTCCAAAAAAATAGAGTATTGAAAGTTTTCCTTAAAAATAACAGGGTAAATAATTTGTTCACTTAAATCTAAATAATTTCACTTCTCTCCTTCCATAGAATAAATTATCCTCACGTAAGCTATCAATACATCATGAAAATGTCTTTCATCACCTGTCAAGTGACACAAAATGTTATGACCTGCTTTGTTTTATTTTCAAACTACATCTTTTTAGAGCAGAAACTAAGTTAAGCTTGGTTCAAAATATTTTAAATAAATATTATAATTTCTAATTTTCTTAAAATAAGTTTTGAAAAAATTATAATTGATTTTTAAAAGAATTTCAAACTGAGATTGTCATTTTTTTGAGAAAGGACATGATTGATTATGTGTCAATTTTTCTGACTCAAAAAAAAAAAATTTTTAACAAAATTTTTGGACATGTTAAGAATGATTAAAAAATGTAAAAAAATATTCAAAAATTCTTTGATCTTTCCTCTTAATAATAACATAAACATTTAGACGATAAAGTTTTCATCAAGTTTGGTGTCTTTTTCATCATGCTATGCTTATTTTTAGTGATCTCATGGAGGTACCTATATTAATATTACAGAGAAAAGGACCATTTTTTTAATTCCTCATCCCAAAATTAGTAAAGTTTCAGGTATGTTCCTTGTACTTCTACCTGTTTTTAAATATGAGTTTTTTATTGATATACTACTGAAAAATAATTTATATTCATCAATGTTGTGCTATGAATCATAGCAAGTTTCAAGGCATTAACTCTTAAAATGAAATTTATATGAAAATTCAAAACGCTATTCTGTGTCTATTTCATTTTAAGCTGATCTGGTCTAATAATTATTGATTTCATTAGTATTATCTTTCTTTTACTTCAAGACTATGAGTTTATATTTATAATGCTTCAATTATACACTGCTGAAATTGGCTTCTGCATGAGATGGAAAACTAACGAACTTTGAATAGTCCATAACTGTGTTGCTAATTGAGCTCATCATCTAAAGTGCTGTTGGTGATACACCCACGGGTGAATGGTCCAAAATCAGCAACATTCATGGTGCAGTGTTGCGTCTCAGTCTTGCGTTTATACAAACCATTGTACCAAGCCTGAGGAATCCATTATTTTCTGTCGTGGCTCACAGGTAATTGAGCTACCAAGATAAATTTGATACTATTTTTTATGTTTTGTCAAGCTCTAGTTTGTGCTACTATTACTATTGTGACAAGAGAATCCAGCTATGCCTTAGAACACCAAAGAAGTAAAGTGGATAATGAGGGATTTTATCTCAGCTGGATTTTATGACTGCGGAAATATTAGTAATAGGATTTTCAATGCAACCATCGACTGGCTGAGGGAAAGTGGAGTAAAAAATAATTTTCATGATCAAGTGCCACTTAGCTGGAAGTTAGAAAGTTCCAGTCACAAGCTTATATAAATTAGAATTGTCAGCAGCATGCTGTTTGTAAAGGGTAGTGAGATGACAGCCAGTTTTTAAGCCACCTGTTAGTAGGTGGCAAGCCATCAGTGGAGATGTAGAAAGGAAGAAAGTTACATTTTGTGAAGTGAAGATGGGCAGTGGGGTAGTAGGAAAATAATCAAAATGATGAGAGAGAGAGATTGAAAAACCACAGCACGGCAGGCGAAAACACAACATCCAGAACAAAAATGCACCAAGGGAACGTTTTCACTTGACACCAAATCTCTGACAATAGCAAAGTGAGTCTTGCCAACTGCTGATTTTCCCATCATGACATGAGACACTTGACAAAGACCTGAATTTGAACAAATTGCAGAGAGGCCCATATCTGCAAATGCCAAGCTGTTTTGCTGCTAATGGGGAAATCCAGATGTAACTAGCTTTGACCGTCATGTCTGCACACAACTTGGGGCCTCTTTCGCATCTGTACTGACATTCATAAACCATAAAGGCCAATATTAAAAAATGAATTTGTAAGTTTCAAAAATTCAAATACGCAAAAATAGGTTTTAATTAATTTTCAGTATGATCTTTCAAAACAATTTATGATAAATTTAACTCCTCTTCATCTGGTTTTCAAATTCTTAACACTGAATTACTGTGATTTTTTGAATTAGTTTTTACTGAAATTCACACGAATGACTAAAACCAGATATTCCTTGTAGATACTTGACAGAGGCATCCAGAAAGCAACTTGACTAATCATGAAAATTTTACATGACACTTGCTAATTTAAAAGAAAAAGAAAACATTTTGTAGTGTTCAAACACCACACAGTACTAACAGAGTTAAATTTTATCTTATAACAAAGTTCAAACATTCACTACAGGGAAAACAAACTTTCTACCAATGTCTCCCCACCAAGATACACAGAATTTTCTGCAGTACAAATTGTTATTAATTCACGTGTTGGTTTAACTTGACAAAAATATTTACTTCTAAAAAAAAAAAAAAACATTAAAATAAAAGGTAATAAAAGAAACAGTAAATTTAAAGATGGAAAAGAAAAATGGAATATGACATGTGCTTCATTTCTAAAATGAAAGTCAGAATAAAAAGGGCAATTAAACCTGTAATATTCGATAGATATAAAAATGTTACCTGTTTTCATCAAATGGACAGACAATCATCTTGTGAATGTCAATGCTTGTATGAGCTTTGGCCAACACTCTTATCTCATTTTGTTTTACATGAGATGTGTCCCAGACTACTGCAAGCTGGAAAAAAAATCTCAAAATCTTAAATCAAAATAAAGTGTCCATTTAATGAGGTAATTGTCCATCCAATTGGTAAAAAAGAAAAAAAAAAAAAAAAAAAAAAAAATTTTTTTTAAATTTTACATCTTCATAAATTAATAATTAATTCTACAAGTAACTGGTTCTTACAAAATTCAACTGTTACAATCCTATACTTTATGCAATCATAAAAAAATATTTTTAATACAAAAATACGTATATATTTTATTTTCTGAGCTATAACAAATTAATCAACACTTTTAGCATAAGCAAAATTTCTGATAATAAAATGTATTTTGATTAGTTAACTCATTACAAGACTGTCTTAAAGTAAGCAAAACTCTTAAGTGAAGATGGCTAATATCAAAGCTGATGACCATTATCCTAAAATATATAAACTTTTATAAATTTAAATGTCATCAGAATTGTATTTTAGAAGGTTAGGCTGAAAACCTCACAGGCTGACTATGACGGAATGATGCTAGAGCTGTGAAATCTTGCATGCATTAATTTCTACTCTTCTTATTAATAACTGCATTGTTTCTTTCCAGGTACAAGGGTGGACTGAAAACTTGCATGCATTCATTTCAATTCTTCTTATTAATCTTTAACATACTGGAGGTGTTATTGCTTGCAAATCAAAAATTTAATCCTGTTACTGCAAGTGACTCACACAAATGAATAATAGCATATTTGAATTTTGCAGTTGTGTTGTCATATCCTGTTATGGCAACAGAAAATGACCATGACTGAAATTAAGTAGTGCAGCAGAGGATCCTTGAAAAACTATCCAGTGGAAAGGAAAGTAGTGAATAATGCAGAGCTTTAAAAGTTAATAACTGCATAGTTTCTTTTTGGGTAAGCTGACACCTGACTGCTCAAAGAAAACTTCAACATTAACTAGTAATGACTTCTCTTGAAAATGGACAAAATTTGGCATCACTGTGTCATCAAGTACCTTCAGAAAAAGGATTTAGCACCCAAGGACATGCATGCTGACATGGTTGCTGCATTAGGAGATGATGCCCCAGCTTTATCAACAGTGCAAAAGTGGGCAGCTGAATCTAGGAGTGGAAGGGAGAGTCTTGAAGATGACTGAAGTTGACTTCCTGCAACTGCCACCACCGAAGAAAATATTGATCGTGTTCACCACATGGTGATAAATGACAAGTGAATGACTATTAATCAAATAGCCAACGCTATTAGCATATCCCAGGATAGAGTTGAGAATATTCTGAACAATGAACTTGGCATGAGGAAGATTTCTGCTCAGTGGGTGCCATGTTTTCTGACACCTGATCAAAAGCACACAAGGCTGATCATATTATTGGAAAATTTGACATTGTTTGAGGCAGATCTAGCTGGTTTGCTTAAACATTTCCTCACCCAGGATGAGAGATGAGTTCATCACTGAGCCAGAAACAAAGAGACAATCTATTCGGTGGAAACACCCCACTCTTCACTGCATCAAAGAAAGCAAAAGTTGTTTCATTTGTGGGGAAGGTTTTTTTGGATGCAAGTGGCATTGTGTTTAGTGGCAATCTTCAAATGGGCTATACCAGAAATGGACAATACTATGTCAATTTGCTATGATGGTTAAAAAAGTTTATAAAGATCAAACACCCAGGAAAACTGATGAAAGGGGTTTTGTCTCATCAGGACTTGTTTCTCCAGGACAGAAGTTCTTGATTTCAATGGCTGGTGTGTGTGACTGTCACTTTGAACTAGTTGATCACCATCCCTATTCTCCTGATTTGACTATCATCACTTCCTCAAAATGAAAAAAATATTTGGATGGGAGTCAATATCTGCTGTTGATGACTTTTTAACCAACAGGAGGAACACCCTTCTTTAAACAGTAAAATATCAGTTTATCAGGAAAGAAATTGTAGTTTAAATGAGTCTCTATTACTACAACATCATGATTTGGAGAAATGCTGAAATAGCTTGACAAATCCAACATGAATTTGGCAGACCGGCTAACCAGGGTGCCAAAGAGGTGGTTAAAACTACAGAAACAATGTAGTTATTAATAAGAAGAGTTAAAATTAATGCATTGTGGGGAAAATTGTGAAAATGGCTTACCTCAGAAACGCGTTCGAATCTGCGCAGTATGCAAACTCTGGTCCAACCAACGGTAAAAGAAAACCCAAAATGGCGGCGCCCACGTTTTATGCCGGGAGGTCTCGGTTAGTTAACGCGAAATCTCGTTGTCTCGTCATTCGCATGCAAATCGTGGACAGTCCGTGGCTGTATAAAGCAGGCTCGTTTTTGCTGTTTCAGATCAGAGGGCTTTCGGCTCGTGAGAAGGTTGGATGTGCGACACCGGTTTTCTTTGTGCCTACCTGCTATCATCAGTTGAATTGTTGCGTTACACACCACATGCATACAAGATTTCACCTTCATATTCAGCCTATGAATTTTTCAGCCCACTCTTGTAAGATGTGTGATTAACTAATATGGTAATTAAATTTTACTGTAATCAATTCTTTTTTAAAAATTCTGACCAAATAAGAAACAATTATAAAACAAACATTTATGAGTGAATTCACAAAATAATCTTACATTTCTATTTTGAGCATCTTTTCCAACACCACACAAAACTGTGCCTTTTGGAGAAAAACTGAAATAAATAAAAATGGGTCTTATTCAAAACATCATGAGATAAGTATTAAACACAAAACCATGATAAAAAGAGACACCATTTCTAGACTAGTTACCAACCAAGGCTAGAGAACCAGTCTACCAATACTTATTAAATCCAAAAACTAGGCAAAAAGAATAAAAAATATTTTCAATTCAACATATAAATGTACATAGGTTTGGAGTAACAAAACATTTACTAACTATAATACCTGGCATTGACAAGGAAAAAATAACTTCAAATATAATAAAAGAAAAAAAAAAGATCTTCAATACAGATCTTATGCATTATGACAAATGGAAAAAATAGAACTGCACTATTTATACATAAAAAGGTAGTTGTTACTGAATACATATGATGCACAAAAAAAAGATGTAGTTCAGCTTTTAATGAAGCTTCCAAGTATACAACATTGGTGCTTTTCCTATTGTGTGCCAGTAAAAAAGGTTGTTTGGAGATCCAGTATAAGAACAACCAAGAAAGCTGACCAAGTTAGGCTGAAGCCAGTAATCTTGAGATAATGTTCTTATACTTTGTTGATGGTCATAACATAGGTGAGCCACAGTCAGAATTAAAATTCCACAAGTTCAAAAGGAAAGTCTGTTGGAATTATAGAGATCCTGGAAATGAATACTTCCACATTTTTGTTAGGATAGCTGACTTGATAACATGCAGAAGCTACTTGACTGCTGAGTTTCATTTCAGAACTTTGGAGGGACATGGAGGTTTCTAAGAAACATGATGTGTATTCCAATTCACAAGACTTCTTTCTGTTACCAGCATACTAATTGGAATTCCTTATATGACTTTACTCAAGATGCCACTTGGATTGACGTTCTTAAATGTCCTATTGAGAATTGTACCAGAGAGGTTTCTTTCTAGGTTAAAGCCAGAATTGATGCTTTTGTACATTCTTGTAGATATCAGGTGAAACCACAATCTTCTCTTTCATTCACACTACTCAACCACTATAACCCACAGGAATCAATTTTTCTGGGAGTTCCAGGGTGATAGTTCCAATCACAATAGACTGTTTGCATCTGCTCACAATAATTGTAAAAGTGTCCTTGTTTTCTGAGAGAATGAAGCACTGTATAGCCTCTAACTAGTTTGGTTCTTATGACTACTGGCAGCTCTGTAATAGTGTATGTTAAATAAGAGTAAGTCTTTTATCCTTCCTCTCTTCACTCAATTTCAGGTGTTAACATCTGCTGATAAAGCAGAATGTTTTGCTCAAATTCTCTTCCAATTCTACTCTTGATTCATTTGGAGTATCTTTGCCTAACTTTCCACTTAAAACTGAGTCTCATTTGAGTTATATACATATAACTCCATCCATATCACCTCTAAACTGGATCCCCAGTTGATGGTATTCATGAAATAGTCCCTTAAGAAATGTGCTCTTGAACAGACTCCTGTTCTCTCTAAACTTTACAATAAATACCTTGCTGCTTCTTGCTTTGCTGCTTGTTGGAAATCCTCTTGTTATTCTAATCTTTAAGAACTCAGAAAAATCATCTGCTCTTTCTAACTATTGCTCTATTAGCCTTCTACTTCTTCTTGGCAAAGTACTAGAAGTTCTAATCAACTCTAAACTGGTTAAGAATCTCACCTCAAAGGTTTTTATTTCAGATAAGCAATATGGCTTTTACTTCTCTCAGTCAACTGCTGATGTAATAACGATTATTGCTGAAAAAGCTTTAGATAAGAATGGTGAAGTTAGGGTTGTTGCTTTTGGATATCTTGAAGGCATTTGACAGGGATTTAGCAAACTAATCTTCTTCATGAGTTGAAAGGTTATGGTATATCTGGACAAATTTTTGAACTAGTTCAATCTTACTTATCAAAGCACAAAATGAAAGTTATCTTGAATGGCCACTCTTCTAGATCTTTTTGTATTAATGCAGGTGTTTCTCCAGGGCTATATCCTTGGACTTATGTTGTTCCTAATTTTCGTATATGACCTTCTTAATGTCATCAGTTCTCAATTCGGTATCTATGCTGATGAATTAACAGTAATTCTGATAAGTTAGATAAGATCAAATTGGTAGCTGGTCTCAAAAATTACCGACAATATGTTGTTAACTGGGGAAAGGAATAGCTTGTTAATCTGAGCACTTCCAAAACGAATCTACTTTCTTTTAATTGCTAACCTCCAGGAAAGTGACGCACTGCACCGTCTTGGATTACCATGTTCCATTGCATGAAGTGGAAAGATTATATTGAATCAATTGTTAAGTCTACTGGTAAGAAAGTTGGTTCCCTGTGTCATGCTAAACAATTATTACATATTTATAAGTACTATTCGTCCTTGCTTTGAATATTATTGCCACACCTAGTCCAGTGTTCCTGCTATATCAGGTGTAGTAGCAAAATTGTCCAATTGTTAGATTAAGCTTTGAATCGTTGTATCTTAAAAATGATTAAAAATATCTTATTGAAATTCTCCGAGGTTTTTATAAAACTATTAGACTCTACTTTGAGCAACAAGAATGTATAATTACTCTCGAGGCTTAACAGAAGAATCGTGATGAAATCGGTCATAAACGAAAATGACATGCTCATCATTAATTAATCATAGCTAAGGATTGAAAGCTCATGAAGGATTGAAATAAAGTCCAAATATATATTATTCCAGGATCATTTTCCAACTTATTCAAGATCACCTTCACCCTCTCTAACCTTCTGTCCTGAAGTAACAAATTGCCTCACACGTTTCATATATGATTTCATTTCCAAGTCTTTTTAGACTGCTCTTTGGACTGTCATAGGTGAAACTCATCTCTCATGTGCCAAACATCTTATGGATTGAGTTGGATCTTTTCTAATTGATCTCCTTAGCTCTAGGTTGAAATGATGATCCCTCTCTCTGTTGTGACCTCCTGATCCAGTGTTTCCTCTTTTTTAAACTTATTCACCATTCTCTTGATGGTTCTTGAATGAATGGAAGCCAGAATATGAATGCTGGTACCATTACTGAAGGCCTGAATGATTTTTTTCTCCCACCATTGCTCAGTTGAGACAACAGTAGGGATGACACCTGTCCTCTTTCTTACAACAAATGGTATCAAGACAGCTAAACAACTTATCTCAAAACCTGAAAAAAAGAAACTCAGTTTAGTGGGTTTTTTTTTTTTTAGATATTAAGCATTTTGTGGGATGGACAATTATGCTGTTACATGATTTGGACAATTTTGCTGTTACACCCGGTATATTTAAAGATACTTGTTAAAATCCAAAGAATTTGCAGTGTTATTGGGCCTGACCAGGCAACTTCAGTCACTTTACCATGCCCATTACATAATTTCTGTGTGCTTTTTTCTATAAATACTTTCATGGTAATTGTTCTGATGAACCTAACTTTATGAATTTAAGCATTGGCAGCTAGATCTCATCAAGTTACAGTTGAAATGACTAACAATTTCTTCACTTGCACTTCTCACTTGTGGAACTATCTTCCATGCTTTTGCTTCCCAGTCAACTTTGATCTTCAAAAATTTAAATGCAATGTCAATCATTATCTTTTGTTTTCTTAATTCTTGTTTTTTTATTGTTCTCTCTCCTTAATAGTGTTTTTTCTCATATTCTCTAACACTCAGTAACTCCTTGCACCTTAGTGGCTTTATTGCCTGTGAGAAGAAACATCAGACAGCTCAAATTCTGAATGTCTTTAGAACTGTGTCAATTGACTTCAGCCCCACCCAGGAATTGGGTGTAAATAGTTTGAGTTTATTTCTTCAATTGCATCAGTCTTTGGATTAAAGGTGTATCATTCACAAAACCATTGGCAGTTTATATAGTTCTATGTCATGTTTTATATTGTCATGCCTGTTACATCTTCTATATAAACCGGATGTTGACCACTTGACAGCCCAAATCAGACTGCGTAAATACATTTTCTGTGGATCAGCTCCATGCAGACATCTGCTTTAACCAAAACATAAAGAACAATATATTATGACCAGTCTGAGTCACTTGCACTCAAAAAACCAAAACTTTAATTTGGAGCTGATTGACAGTTATATATTCTCTAATTCAAACAAACCCGAAACAGACCAGCATTTGATGTCAACACCGACATGTTGAGAGACAATGGCAGCTAACACCAATGTCTAATTTCACCATTCTCTTTCCCTGTTGCCTTAGCAACGGCAACAGATCAAAGTTACTAGTTTTGTATATATGTAAATAAATTATACATTTATTTACCCATATTTAATATCTTCTTTTTACTTAGAATTATGTTTGCTGAGGTGAAGAAGGAATTAACCTTCAACAGTAACAACAAGGTTCTGTCTTCGAGGTTACCCATTTCTGCCTCTGCAACACTTAAAATGGCTTAAAAGCAAAAAGCCAATTTTAGCACTATCTAAATTTACTGAGTTTGTGGGGGGGAGAGTTTTTCTAGATTTGCATTTGTTAGATCTTTCTCAAGCCACAAAATTTGGCATAAGGAAAAAAGTATTCTTGTTGATCATTTGAGGAGGACTTGTTCATAATACACTTTTAAATCTATCCCTGACTTCTTAGAGTTAACTGTACTATTTCTTTTTTAAATATCAAGTTTAAAACTGTACTTATGTCATTGGTAATTACATACTACTGACATTATGCTTTTTCTCAATTTTTAATAGTATGCAGTTATCAATGACATAAGTACAGTTTTAAACCTGACATTTGTAAATAAAAACAAGTACAGATAACTCTGTAAGAAGTTGGGGATCAATTTGACACTGTATTATGAACATAATGTCCCTTCTAAAATGATAAAAATCAATATCAAGATCTAATTAATGTTAATCTACAAAAGTTGTTCCCCTAAGAATATTTCTCTGTCTTAATACTTTGCTTAGTTTCCAGAAAACACCTTTTGCTATTCCTATGCATATTTGTATTTTTGCTGCATTTTCCCTTGTATGTTGTTACATAACTACCTAGATTTGTGTAGTTGCTTGGTTTTGACATCCCCAATATACAGCTATGACCTTGGGCTTTCTCTTTTACTGAAAACCGTGCATTGTGTTTTTACAGTTAATCGCTAGGCTTTTCTTTTGGCTTTCTTTTTTTTATCTAAGTGTTATTTCAGTTTTGCTTTCAAGTCTGCCATCAACACAGTATCATCTATGTATCTTATGTTGTATATTAGAATAGATCACTTATTCCAGTCTTGTGTTCATGTAACAGTAATGCCCTTGTTAAAAGTTATGAATCTGTATCACTAGATATCATAACAATGTTTCATTACTAGCATGCCGCAATGGTTGAAGTGAGTGGGCAAACATTTGGACAAATCAATCTCTGTTTCACTTCCGAAGTCAGTCAGTCAGTTATGTGCCATGTGTGATACATGCTTAGGCGATCATGTATCTTTCGATACGTGAATGACGAGGCAGATTTTTTCCCGCAGTAGGTTACCATTTCTTTCTGCGATAGACTAGTTGCCATCCAAGGCTATAGAACTCAGTCTGTCCTGCTATTTACCCATAGCTTGGTAGAAGAGCATTCATACCTTTCCCAAGGGTCAGTCAGTTGTTTAACCGGGTAATGAACTCACACTCTTTGGGTCCTGTCACTGGACCTAACCAACAACTTTATCCATTGTGCCATGGTACAGTGTTAAGGCAGTGGAGAACTTGAAGAGAGGAATTAACAGGTGATAACTGATAACTGACATCCATTAAACATGGCACGTGGAACTAGAACAATCTACCCCAGTGAGCGAAATAAAGGGTTCAGTTCGACATTTCAACCACCTGAAGAAGGCTGGAGCGTAAAACGGCCGAAACGTTGTAATAAATATGGCGACAAAGATGAGGACAATAATCTGAATGATGTAAATAGTGTACATAATACCTTATCTCAGAAATATAGACAGATCTAAGACTAATTTTATTTCCATAAAAATAGCTTAAAAAAAAAAAAAAGAAAAAAAAAGTTAAATATAAAAAATGATCCAACAAATTACCAGCAGGAGAATGATTTTTAGATCAAGCATCAAAACATTTTTCAGTGTTCAATTTTACAAGTATGAATTTGTAGAATCATGGTAACATAGGTTCAGCAGGCAGATTAAAAAAAAAATCATTTTTATAACAAATCTCGAAAAGTATACGACAAAGTTGAAAATTGGAGGAAAAGAAGGTTGTTGATCTTCACTATCTTAACATTTATTTAGCTTGCCACATTTACTGACTTATTATTCATTGTTCCTTTCAGCATAATATCATTTTTTTATTATGTAATCCTTCTTGCAACAATCACCAAAAGGCCATGTTCTCTGTATGAAAATCTAATTAAACACATATTTACAATTCCAGAGGTTGGGAATGGAGGTGGGGAGAAGGAAGCTAAAAAATATACAAAACAAAGTTGCGAATATTATTTAAGCATCTTAATAAAGTGTTCAAATGCCTGAACAGCAGAATGAGATTGGCTAGACTAGAGGTCCTTAACCAGGAGCCATGAGAGACCAGGTAAATTTTAGGAGTTGTCACAGAAAGATTTGTGGAGTTTTTTTTTGGGGGGGGGGGGCACTGCTACAACCCTGTTGGTCTCTGTATTTTAGTTCTAATAAACTTAAATTATGTAAAAATAATATTAATGTTTCTTTTATGTTACTAGTGCACATTTATATAACATTTATGTACAATACTTTTTATTTTTCAGAATTTTTTAAATTTGTGCGTACATAAAAGTTTATTCCATTTAACTGGTTTGGTTTTTAAAGCAAGCAGTTTTTAAGTTTCTATGAAAAAATATCACCATTTATTTGTTTCAGAAATTGTAAAATGAGCTTTTGTTAAAGTAAATGGCTACATTAAAAAAATCTTCAATCAAAAGGGTGGGGCCATAAATAGAAAGAGGTTGAGAACCATGTGTTAGGCACATTGGATGACAGAAATTTTAAAATTCAAAAATATACTTAAGTATCCCTGCATTTTCAGTATTTCTCTCCATTTATAATTATAACTGTCATGTGTATTTCATTCACCCCACACACACATACAGGGTGTCCATAAAGTTTGTGTGAACTTTAAAAAATTTATAACTTTATTTGTATTTGCAATAGAAATAATCTGTAAAAAATGTTATATAGTTTAATGTACCTAGTTTTAAGTATAGCTAAAATAACTAATGTGATTTCAGGCATTACTGTAAATCAGTTGGCAAATGTTTTCCGTGAACTGCAAAATCGTATTACCCTTTGTATTGCTAATGATGGAGGACATGTGGAAACTTAAATAAAATTTCAATAAAACCTTAAAAAATATAGATTTACTTCTTTCTAATCCTTTTTACAAATTATTTCTATCGCAAATACAAATAAAGTTATAAATTTTTAAAGTGCACACAAACTTTATGGACACTCTGTATATGATCCCCCATCAATAAAAACATTTTGAAGAAGTTTTAGCATTTTGCCATGAAACTACACACCATTTGTCTGATATATAGAGTTTACATATCATTATCCTTGAACAAATATACAAAACTATTTTTACACAATTCTGTATGAGAAATTAATCAAGACCAACATATAACCAAGAAGTTTTCAGTGCAAAAACGAATGCCAAAACAAGGTTCATACCTTAAATTGCTAAGAGAATGATTGTGTACTTGGCTCCAAGCTATGCAGTTGCCAGATTCAAATTTCCATATACACACTTCACTATTGGGTCCAGTTTGCCCAGAAGCAAGCAATGCAGAGTCACTTGTAATACTGAGGCAAGAGACCTATAACATAAAATTAAGATTTTATCAGACAAGGAGCAATAGACAAGACAGATTTACAAAAAATATTTGACTGAACCTAAAATTAACAGCAAAAAGAATTCTGTTCAATGTTCTAAGCAGTCTTCAAAAGTATTTTTATAGAATTATACAAAACAAAGAAAATGATTTTTTTTTTAATTTTTTAAAAAATATTTCAAACTAGAAAGACAAAAAAACACAAATAATAATTGAAATGCTTCCAATACAAATTAATTTCATATTAAAAGAAACACTTACATAACCTGTACAGATAAAAAAATAAAAATATGAAATAAACAAAATTGATACTAATAATTTTTCAATTAATTATTAATATTAATTTATTAATAATTAGTTTTTCCATTGTATTGATTAGATTTTTTGTATCATTGATCTAGAATTTTTATCTATACAATTAACTATTATCACATAAGAAAAAATTTGGATTTAAAATCATTAAAATAAAATGTCTGAAGAAATCTAAGCTGAAAGAGAGAAAATAAAAAGCAATATAATAGCAGCCTGGTCTCCCCTATTTATTAATGGGATATTTACTTACTGGCATTGAGTAATGCTTCCTGTTATAATCACATTGGAATATTTCATTATTAAGAAGGGGAGATCAGGTAAATATATAAATATATTGTGATTTATATAATAAAATACACACTTCTTTAACATCCATGAAATCAAACTATTATTTATGTATTCTTATCTATCATCAAAAATTTTAAACAAAGAATTCTAAAAAGATTTAATTTAAAAAATAAATATGATGTGCAAAACACAGGAATGAAACCAACCTTATCTGTGTGACCGATAAACAGTCGCTGCTTCTGACTAACAACATCCATAACCACAATAGTACTTTGACAGGGATATACAACAGTTTTGCTATCTGATGTCCACAACAGCTGAAATAAAAATGTCAAAGAAAATTATCATTAAAAGATTCACTTTTCTTTGCATAATTACAACAATTATCAGTTTTTCTCATTATTTATTCTTCTGATTATAATTCTGAACATGACTGACATTCAATTAAAATTTGTTTAAGAAACATCAAAGTTTAAATTTTACAAAATTTCTCACCAATTATTCTTATTACTGTTCCTAAGATTTATTTTACAAACTTAAAATAGGTTATGTAAAGAGTTCATCCCATGCAATGCATCTTAGTGGCTTTGTTGCCTTAATGGGGGTGAAATGATCAAAAAAATACAACAGTAACAGTAGTTACTGCAATGTTATTGGCCCTAACCTGATAGCTTCAGTCACTTTCCCACTGTCATAATGTAGCTTACCTGTGCCTTTTCTATAAATACTTTATAGTAGTTGTTCCAATTAACTTTTCTCTATGGTACCTAGACTTTATGAATTTAAGCACAGTACTAAATTGGCAGATCGGTCTCATCAATTTAATGATCAATGTTAATTTCTTCTATCGCAATTCTCACTTGTGGAACTCTCTTCTGGATTTTTGTTTCCCAATCAACTTTGATCTTCAAAAATTTAAATGCAACATCAATCATTACTTTGTCTTTTTAATTCCTTTTCTTTTATCATTTTCTCTCCTTTAAAGTGTCTTTTTTTTCTCATATCCTCTAACACTTTGAGTGGCCTTGCGTAGGGTGAAATTAAAAAAAAAACAGTAGTGCTAACCAAACACTATAACAATGAATAGAAAATTCTTATTTAAAAGAGAAAGATGAACCACCATATTAGGACCAATAATAATGCTGATTCTTCTTTGGATTTTATCAAGGAGCTAAAAGTAAATTGCAGAGGGACTGGACCATATATATGGCAGCAATATTCTAAGCATGAAGGAATGGTAGACTTATCATTATCAATGGTTTCAGGTTAATATTTTGGTTTTCTTGTAGTGTTGGACAAAAACTGCCCATAGCATTTTATGTTCAATTTCCATTTTTCCTATACTAAATTTATCACACACCAAGATATTAAAGATGTTTTGTATTTATTTATCACACAGTTTAAATTTTTACTGATTACTTCTTTCATTCTGATTTCAAGTCATAGCTTTGAAAAAGTTTATCTTGAGTCCTATTTCTTGGAACACTTGGTAAAGAATGTTTCAGTATTGGGGTCCTCAGACACGTGTGACTTATAAATATATAGTTCCTCTATCAGATCTAAATATTCAGTGGGGTCAGAGGTTGGAAGACTGATTCTATAAATACTTTTATGGTAATTGTCCTGATGAACTTTCCTCTTTGGAATCTAGACATTATGAATTTAAGTGCAGTCCTAGATTGGTGGCAAGGTCTCATCATTTTACAACTGAAATGCCTAAATGTATCTGTACCAGTTTCTTCTCTGTCATTTCTTGATTGTAGAACTCTTCCAATTTCTTGCTTTCCAGTAATCTTTGCCTTCAAAAATTTAAGTGCAATGTCAATTGTGATCTTCTGTCTAAATTTCTCATATTCTCTCACAATCAGTAACTCCTTGTATCTTAGTGACTTTATTGCCTTGCTTGGGGTGAAATGATTAAAAAAAAAAAAAAAAAAAAAAAGAAAGCCTTTTCCTAAACATTCCTTCTCAAAATATAGGTGCATGTTAAATGTTATGAAATACAGTATATGATTTAATTTACCTGGCTATAATTAGAACCTCCAAAGCCAACAATTCTCTTCATCTTTAAAATTGGATCTGGTTCAAGAGTCTACAAGACAAGAAAAAATTAAAACAAAGAAAGTATGCAAAAATTTTCTTTAAAAAAGGGAAATAGAATAAATGATTAAATATGCATGACATAATAAAAATCTTTAAAACAAAAGTAGGATAAATATCTGAATAATAGCAATATATTCACAGACAGCAATCATAAGAGAAATGATAATTTTTGTTTTTACCTGCACTGATGTGTCCCAAGCGATATCATCTGACAAAGAACCTTGACGCTGACACTATATAAAAAGAAAAACTTACATAATTACCTCTCTTAAAAGAGTAAAGTTAAACAGAAAATCAACATACTCTACTTTTGAGAAATAATAGAATATGTAAAAAGTTTATTAGCAATGCACAGTTTAGCTTAAAAGTAACAAAAATGCTAAACAAAGAGAAGTTGACATGAGATTATTACATGAGAAATATTTCAGATTTAAGCCAGCAAAATATCAGTGAAGAATTAAGGCAATGGTACAGGTTTCACTGACCAGCTACAAGATAAACATATTCCCATTGCATACTTCAAAGCTCATTGTATCATCATTTTTGTAAGAGATCTCTCAGTACAATTTAAGAAAATTCTTGCAGATCTTGGAATCAGATCTATGTTCATCATTATAAATTTTAATAAGTCTTCAACTCACTAAACTATTTATTAACAAACTTCAAAACAAGATATTTTCCTAATTTTCTTGTCTTGAAAGCAGCTTTAATATAAGAAAATTAAGTTACAAGAGCATACATCAAGCTTTCAGATATAAAGAAAACACTGTGATGGCTCTTGCTTAATTTTTAAATTTAAAAAATATTTATGGTGCATTGGTAAAACAGACAGCAGCATTTGCTTTTCATCCAAAACCAATTTTCCCACCAAATTCTGAGCATTCTTGGAGCCTACCTGTATGTTATATAAAGGGGACCTTGGATTTGATTTTCAGAGTCGACAAACAGTTTATACAGGAATCCAGGTTACCCCAGTCCAGAAGGAAAATGACACAGAATTTAGACAACCACCAGACAAGAATTGAAACAAACAACTCGGTTGCTTCCACTACAAAGAAAATCTTCAGCGGATGCATTTCATTGTTATCACAAATTACAAATTTACTTCTAAAAATTGTACCATATTTCTCTTTGAAAACTATACAAAGAAGTATTTCTCTTTTTCTTCAATTTATATAGTTTTCTTTTGAGGATCTTATGCAGCAATATAGTTTTAAATGTAAAAAGGCATGTCTTATTTTCATTGATAAATTTGCTACACAAAGCACTAGATTTGTCTAATTCTTTTCTTGTATGTTAAGAATAAATTTTATAGTTGTTTTTAAACTCGGATTGTGTCATCTGTGTCATTTGTATGACAATAAATTGCTGTTACTTCAAAAATCTCATATAATATAAAATTTTGTAAAATCAAGCTACATTCATCAAAATTACCTTTTACAATAAAGAAGTTAGTCAATAAGTGAAGTTAGTTTTAAAATGTCAGTCAGCAAATACGAATTAGTAGATAATTGTTTCTACCTTCATACAACTAAAATCTTTCTTTCATTTTCTTCAGGTTTCTTTTTGTCAGTTTCAGGTTTGATATCAACATTACAAATGATAAAATAACACCCTTTAAATGCTTTTAACTCTGAATAAAAATGTTATTCATTTGTGTAATGAAAATAAAATAAAAAAACAGATAAACTGTACCCTCTCCTAAAAATATTCCTAGATTAAAACAAAATTTTTTATAGTGTCTGTTAAAACGGTTTAAGATTTTCATATTTAATACTAGTTGTGTGCAAAAATTACCAGCAGTCTTTTTTGAAAGCTGAATATACAGTAGAATGCTGCTCTCCAGTCTTTTATTAATAAAAAATGATTGAAACTTTTGCATATGCCTAATATTAACATTCTTGCAAATAACTAGAAATAACCTGCTCATAATTTCCAAATATGCTTAACTGAATCTATTCCTAAGGCTGCTTGGTACAAATAAACTTGCAAATGTAAGTTTGATTTCTCTAAAGGTTAATGTCATTTCAATTTTTTTTTTTTAACAAATAAAATTATTGGTCTATAATCCCAAAGTTTCATAAAAACAGCTCAAAACTAATATTTAAAAATTTACATTTAAAATCCAAGATAACATTTTATTTTTTTTATTTTAAAAAACATGTCCCTTCAAGACATGGGTAGTCATATCTCCTTCCAATATCTGTGAATTACCACAACATCTTGGGAAAGATAGTAGAGTGGTTTCCTTTTAATTTCTCATTTCTCTAATTAATGATTTTAAATTCAGAGTTGTCCTTCTCTTATACTAGTTACATTTCCAAGGCTAAAATGTCAAGTTTACCCTTCTATTTAATTATAGTTAAGTGGAGATGTTATATTCCATGCTAAGGGAATAAACACATAACACCAGATGGATACTAGAAGGTTTATTGTACACAACAAGTACAATATGAAATACGGTACAGTTATACACACAGGTCAATATAGTAGTGAGTGCCACTAATTGAAAGGTCGGATGTGTTTGCGTCGTCTCGCTCCTCTCCCTGTCCCTGTCGTAGACAATTGACTTTATAGGTACTTACTACCTATAGTGTAATCATTCATGGGGGTGACTAGTTATTCCATTACATCAGAAGAATAGATGGATTCATGCCTTTCTGGAGACAGTCATACAAACTGAACTCAACAGCCTCTGCCAGAGTTTGAACATACTCTGATGATTTAATTTTCTGTGCTGACTGCCATTACATCACCTGCACATTTTAAACTAACATTAAGAGATGTAAATGTTCAATTTTATGAAACTTCAATTACCAACAGAAAATCACCAATGAGAATTAAGGTTCCATGCTTCAAACTTGTGAACCAGTTTAATCAATTCAAATCTTTATAATCTGTAAAGTGAAGATTTCTTCAGAGAAACTTCAAATTTTTTTTTTTTAAAGCAAGGTTACCTGTGTTTTTTTATTAATGTTGTTGTTATGGTTGCAGTTACTGTGGTTGTCTTTCAGTTTTTCAGGAGAATGGGTGAGGACATGTACCTCATTAGAATGGGTGTTCTTTCCAGGTAGTTTGTGAGCTGTCCGATGGTGACGGACAGAATTAGTTTGGAGGTCTCTCTCCTGATGACCAGCCTGCACACACAAACATTTGACTAAATCAATTTACACTGATAAACTACAACATTCATGCACAATATAAAATTTATAAAAAAGATGGTAGTAAAAAGGTAATAAAAAGAAAATAAAGATATGAAAAAATGGGTATTAACAATAAAAAAAAAAAAAAAATCATGTTAATAAAATTAAAGATTATAAATGAGAGAAAAAAAAAGATTGTTCCCATGATTAACATATGGACTTTTGTTATGGTAATATTGATTCTCCCAGCTATAAATAGGAGCAGGTACTGCCTTTTGGAGAGGGAAGTTTCCAGCAGACAGCTCTGACATTTGGACCAAACATTCTTGCTGTAACACTCTCGTTTGTATATGTTTGTATTACTATTTTCTGTTAATATATTTAACTCAATTTCTCTCTTGTGTCTTTATTTCTGGCCCTAACAAGGCCACAACAACATTTTACATTATTTGAACTGTTATCCTCATCTTCATTGCCATATTCACAACATTTCAGCCATTGTATGCTCCAGCCTTCTTCAGATGATTGGAATTTTGAACTAAACACTTTATTTCCTCAAGGAGCAATGGTTAGATCCAGTGACTAAACCCAAAGAGTTGTGAGTTCAATACCAGGCCACAGCAGTGGTGAACCAAAACTTAGAGAGTTGGGTTAAAGGAAAATAACTGAGACATCCGGAAGAGGCATGACACATTGAACTAGAACAATCTACCCTGGTGGATGAAATAAAGGGTTCGGTTCAAAATCCCAATCACCTGTAAAAGGCCAGAGCATTGTGAATATGACAATGAGGATAACAGTCTGAATAATGTAAATAATGCAAGTAACCATAATACGTCATCTCAGCGATATAGACAGATAGTGGACTACTGTCCACATTTTTGTTGTTATTATCACAATGTTTTGGCTGTTCTGTCATCTGGCCTTCATCAGATGTGTGTCAATCTGGGTAACCTACAGGGAATTCTGAACTGAACCTTTTATGAGACTGTTCTTGTTCTACTGCCCATGTTAAGGGATATCTTGTCTAGTTCTTAATTTAGTGCTGCTCAATTATTGCTTGTTACTTTCCATTTAGTTCAACTACACACTGCCCAACACAGGGAATGAACCTACAATTATGTCATCAAATTCACAAACCAACACTTTAATCCATTAGGCTATTGTTCTATGGAACTAAAATAGCAAAACACATGAGGAAATTCAACCTTGTGATAACAACAACGATGTGGACAATAGTGTTAATAATAATTCCTCATCCCAGAAATTCAGCAAGAAAAAAAAAATTAGATTTTGTTATGAAGTCAATCGTTTCCCAATGGGTATTAACCAACAGATGTTTAAAAAAAAAATTCAGGATTAACTTTTATTTAGGTTAAGTATAGGCAATTCTGAGACAATTAGATGACCAATCAGGCTTCATTATTGGTGGCCACAATTTTAACAACATAAGATATGCAGATGACATAGTGTTGATAGAAGACACTGAAAGGAAACTACAATAACTTTTGACAGAAGGTAGTGAAGGAAAGCAAGAAGAAAGGACTAACATCAATAGCTAGAAGACAGAATGCATGGTTGTCAGCAAAAAGAAACAGCCCGACATGCAAATTACAAATACAAGATACCAAAATCAAACAAGTACAACAATTTAAATATTTGGGAAGTATTTTAACAGAGAACAAAAAGTGCAGCACTGAAATCCAAGGCACATTGGGATAGCAAAAGATGCCTTCCAAAAGCTAAGCAAAGTATTAATAGAAAAACCATTTTTAGAAACAAAGAAAAGAGTACTGAACTGTTACATAATATCAGTCCTCCAATATGGTACTGAATGCTGGACAATCTCCTCACAGATGAAGAAGAGTCTTGAAAAAGTAAATGTGGTTCTACAGAAAGATGCTGAGAATACCATGAACCAAATATGTGAACAATGACAAAAGTTTAGAGAAAATGGAAACAAAAAGGAGACTTATACATAACATCAGGAAGAGACAGTTGAAGTTTCTAAAGCACAACATGAGGAAAGAGGGCTTGAAAAATCTGATACTCACAGGACAGATTGAAGGCAAGAGGAAAAAAGGAAAACAACACAACCTACATAGCTTGAGTAAATGGACGGCAGGACAAGGTTTAGGAGAGATAACAAGAAGACAAAATTTACTAAGAGTTACAAAAGACAGAAAAATTGTAGAGAGCCATGATCAGCAACATCCTGAAGAGACATAGCACATATAAGATATTCAGTTTAAGTTTATGTTTTTATTGGAAATATTTGCAATAACTTAGTTGGTTGTTTGGGATTTTATTATTCAACTAGAGGGTTGTTCATCATATTTAAAATATATATTCAAAAGTATACTTACTGATATTTTTTTATTTCAGATATAGCAGTTAACCTGTCTTTGACCAGGTGTTTCATTACTGGGAATTTTTGCCGTTCAATTGGAGCAGTTTAAATTTAAAGTCAGCCCACTCAAAAATCAATATTAGTAACAACAATTGGGTGCAACTGAGACACATCCCAAATGGGGGGGGGTAACAATTTGAATGTGGGTTGGCCTTGAAAAGGGCCGTTTTTGTGTTCTCAATCTTGCAAGGAAGGAACCTCTTCCATGGACCATCATAATAATAATGTACAATGATTTTTATTTATCATATATTTTTTTTATAATTCTAATAATCATTTGCATTAGACTTCAACTCTCTAAATTGATTGTATGCTGTTTTTTAGAGACATTAAATTTTGCATTTGGTTTTTGCACAAAGTGTAAAAAATCAGTTTTTTTTATTTTTCACCTTGAATGTTGTAATTTTTTCCATCCAATTTGGATTCAAAACTGGCACTGAAGAATCATCTATCAAACAAAAAAATTTCATCGAAATTGGATGAAAACTGTGGAAACGCGTAAATAACATCCAATCACGCACACACACACACATATACAAACATTTTGAATATTATAGATATAGATTTATATGTACCATGGATCATAAAAATGATATAATCTTAAAAGAGAAAATATTGTCAAGTTATTGAATGATGGAAATTGCAAAAATGCTGAATATGAATTGCAGTAAAAGAAATTGAAAACATTTGCAAAATAAATAAGAAAAATACTAGCTTTAAGAATATCACAAAAAAAAAAGAGATTTGAGAAAAAAGGATAAAAATAAGCAGGTTTTGTGAATGGAAAAAGAAAAAGAAAAAAGTGCATTAAGAACACTGACTTGAAAGTAACCAAACTACCAACTTTTGAGTAAAAATTACAAAGAAAAGCATGTAAGTTGGATGAAGGAGATAGAAACTGATTTCTCTACAGTAATGAATGTAGAGCTGTTTTCCAAGCCAGAAGTTAGGTCCTTCATAGAAATAGTCAACCAACAAAAGACTAGATGAGGGAGGTATAATAGTATTCTAGATCAGGGGTCGGCAACCTTTTGCTAACTATGTGCCGACTTGAGGTTTTAAAATCATTCAGTCTGCCAACAGCATACGTATTTTTATACAAGTCAAGGTCAATGTAATTGTTCTACAATATATTTTATATAGTAATATATAGTATATATACTTTAGTATATATCAAAATTGAAACAGCTAAATATTTTCTTTGCATTGTAGTAGTTAGTGGTTCATACAACGTGATGTCATTTGCGGCTGCGTGCCATTGAAAATTGTTTGGCGTATGTGTGGCATGTGTGCTGTAGGTTGCTGACCTCTGCTCTAGACAGTAAAATTAAAAATCCCTACAAAGTTTCAATATAAATGCAAAAAATTATTGTAAGTCACAAGCAAGAAGTTTTAATTTAAAGTGTGTATTTATGCAAGGAAATAACCCTTTAGTTTCTGCAAAGATAAGAATTTCCAACCTTGCCAAAAAAAAAAAAAAAAAAAATTATTTCAAAGACACCAAATTAATGAAAAGACACGAAACATTTCCAAATTTTAATCCAATACAAAACTGTAATTCATCATTAAAAGTTGTATATATGAGATTGAAAAAGTATATTTCAGCAAAAAAGATCAGAGAGGAAGTAAAAGTTGCTAAAAGTAAAATCAATCAATGGAAAAATTGATGAAGCTGATAATGTCAGAGACCATATAATATAAATAGATAAAATAATAAAATGATAATTTACTCAGGTTTATGGAATATTATATGAGTTAAATGCATGCATCTATGGCCTCTATCTTTTGGATTTATTTATATAATAATAAAAAAAAAATGATGTTGGATATGTTTCAACAATGAAACCCGACATCCTCACCTACAAAAGTCATGTATTTTTAATAAGGATAAATATAAGCTGAAATTCACATGAAATTCACATGAATCTTGAAAAATATACTAACATTGGTTGGTTAATATCAATTTTATTGTGAAGAGACTGATTTACACAATGAAATCCAGCAATGAAAAAATTAAAATGCAATGATACTAAAAATAGAAAAAAAAAGTTCAAAACATAAAGAAAAGATTCTAAAAAAATATTTAAAGATAAAGAAAAAAAGAAAGTTTTTAAAATCATCAAAATAAAATTTTAAAGATCTCAAAATTTTTTTTAAAAGTCAAAAAATAAAGTAATGATTATTGTATACAAATAAAAAGAAATTTGCTTTTTTCTACAAAAGACTAGTATGTTTAGAAATGCTGTGTTAAAAATTTGTTTTGTTAAAAAGCACTCAGGAAAATTTTTTAAAAAGAATTTAATTTTTGGCAATAATTTTGTCCTCAACTGTATATAATGAACTGGTTATTTCAAATATATTAAGGTATTGATTATTTTAGAGTTAATGTACTTATTAGTAAAAAAAAAAAAAATTGATTTGGTAAAGGAAAAATATTAATCACAAATCATACATAGAATTTATGTATAAGTGTATACTATACAACATTGCTGATGATAACGGCTGTCAATCAAAATTATTTTTTCCCATTTTTTTTGCTTTTTTACTTTCTTTTTTCAAATGTCCCCAATATTCAGTTGATAAAAAAGTATACTAAATTCAATTATTTTCTTACCAACTTCTTCACCCAAGAAACTCTGTCTTTTACACACTGGCTAACATTCACTCCATGTTTTGACGGAGAATTTTCTGTGATGGATCCATTTGATGGAACAATGTGGTGCTTAGATGCTGACAAATTACCTACAATAAAAATACAACAATCAACACTGAAGAAAATTATGTTGCTGTAATTATTTATGAAATGTATAAATTATACACTAAATGAATGAACCAACAATATAACTCAAACACATAAGGCTAACTTGTGCAGAAAATATATTTTTTTTTGTCATTATTCTTGCAAGCAAAATGTTTCTGTGATGCAGCTTGGTTCTGTGGTGGGTGGTGTGTATATATATATATATATATATATATATATGAGAGAGATATGTGCGTGTGTGTCTAACATTATGTGCTATAGAGATTTCAAAAATGGGATCACCACAGATGAAAGAAAATAAATTAATTCAGACTGAGAAAAAAAAACAATTATGGAATACACAGTCCACCATAAAATCTATAGATTGCTCCTTCAAGTAAATTCTTAAATATCTGAACTCATGTGTATTCAGTAGGCAATAGCATAAGGATTCCATACACTCTTTTTGCATTGAAAATGGCCACTAGCATCCAGAGTGCTCAGAGCATCATGCTCGTCTTACTTCAGGTAAGCAAATGAGACATTCATCAAAGTTATTTCATCCATGTTGATATAGATATGGAACTGGCTTTTATTACTAATCATGTATAACAAGGACTTCCTAAAATTCAGGTTTCAATCCTTACATAAAGTTTATTACCAAATTATTTATGAATATGTGTGTGTATACTATGTATCACACACAAAAGTGTATCAATAAATCTGCAGTTTGACAGTTATTTTCTGAATTTTAATCTGAAATTTTTACTATATAATACTCAATTTATGCAATTAATATTCACCACTGAATTAACTTCATTAACAAGTACAGAGACTGAAAAAGAAATATTTGCTTTGTAAAATAACTGTGTTTACAAATTTATTAATTGCATAAACTGAATTATTTAGACTATTTACATTATTCAAACTGTTGTCGTCATCTTTATTGTCATATTCACAACATTTTTGCCATTGTACACTCAGGCCTTATTCAGATGATATACGTTAGAATTTCAAACTAAACTCATTATTTAGTCCACAAGGGTAGATTGTTCTAATTCCATGTGCCATGCCTTTTCTGGAAATAACAGTTTTGAAAACTTGTTCAAAATTTCAACTGAAGAAGTTGATAGTGTACAATGGTTAAAACATTGTGAATATGACAATGAAGATCAAGACAACAGTGTGAATAGTGTAAATAGATACAACACCTAATCTCAGAAATATAGACAAATGATAAACTGAACTGCCAAAAACATTTTAGACAGTAATATGAATGTGGGTTGAAAAGTTCATAAGCTGCCAATGAAGGAGTGATGCTAGAGCTGTGAAATCTTGCATGCATTAATTTCTACTCTGCATTGTTTCTTTCCAGTTAAACTGACACCTGACTGTTTAAAGAAGATTTCAAAAGTAACTATTAGTAACATCTCTTGAAAATGAATAAAATTTGGCATCATGTTGTCTCCAAGTACCTGCAGAAAAAGGATTTAGCACCCAAGGACATTCATGCTGACATGGTTGCTACATTAGGATATGATGCTCCAGCTTTATTAACAGTGCAAAAGAGAGCAGCTGAATCTTAGAGGGGAAGAGAGATCCTTGAAGCTAAGAAAAGATTTGAACATCCTGTAACTGCCACCACTAAGGAAAACATTGTGTTCACTACATGGTGATGAATGAGAGGTGATTGACTATAAATCAAATAGCCAACACTATTAGCATACCTCATGAGAGAGTTGAGAATATTCTGCACAATGAACTTGACATGAGGAAGATTTCTGCTCGGTGGGTGCTACATCTTCTGACACCTGATCAAAAGCACACCAGGCTGATCACATCACGGGAAAATCAAACATTGTTTGAGGCAGATTCAGCTGGTTTCCTTGAACATTTCTTAACCCAGGATGAGTATTGGGTTCATCAATTTGAGCTAGAGACAAAAAGACAATGAAAATATCCCTCCTCACCTGCTCCAAAGAAAGTCAAGGTCATTTCATCTGCAGAGAAGGTGATGGCCTTATTTTTTGGGGGATGCAAAAATCATTGTTTACAGATGTAGTGAACGCTTACACTTACAACAGACTATCTTCAAAAGGGCCAGACCATTAATAGAGAGTACTATGATAACTTGTTGGGGCCCTTATGAAATGCTATCAAAAACAAACACCTAGGAAAGCTGACAAAAGGGTTCTTGTTTCATCAGGTCAATGCTCCAGCAAAAAAGTCCTTGGTTTCATTAGCTGTTGTGCGTGGTTGTGGCTTTGAACTGATTGATCACTCTCCCTATTCTCCTTATTTGACCACATCTGACCATCATCTGTTCCTCAACATGAAAAAATACTTGGATGGGAACCAGTATCACAGTGGTGATGACGTATCTGTTGTTGATGACTTTTCTTTAACCAACAACATGAAAACCTCTTCACCAATGGGATCCAAGCACTGCAACACCGATGGAAGAAATGTGTGAACTGCAAGGAAATGTTGAAAAATAAACCACATTTGGTCACATTCCCTTGTACATTGGATGGTTCTTTTCCCACCACACCATCACTTGTGGAAATGAACTCAGCTGGATGAAGTGTGATATAATAGGTACAGAGGTAGTGTAGCTATGGCAGTCATGGGATTTAACACTGACTGCAGATGAATTGTGGGCAAGAAAGATAAATTATTATTTCTGAGGTAGTAACTGCTCTAGGTATTTCTTATCTGGTCAGAGAAGTCATGTTTTCAACTATTTTAGATAAACAGTTGAATTTGCATGTGAAGGAGACCAAGTGAGGCTATGAATGGTGTTGCACCAGTTGATGGTAACTTTGTAATGGTGTTGAGCATGTTTTATTGGAGATCACAATGACTACTAGAAAAAGTGGAATCTGTGTGTGACATAAACTGATCTTGTAAGATATCTACACTACTTTATGCATACCAATAGCAAGGATTTGTTCCACCAAGATAATGCAAGCCCCACCCAGTGTCATTACACTGACTTCCCAGTACTCAGTCATTGGTTCTCATGATCACCAGATTTAAATCCCATTGAGCATTTATAGGACATTTTGCAAACCTCATTAAATTCCTTGCAGCCACACTCAACAAACACAACTCAGTTATGGACAACTCTGGAATGCACTTTGATAGATATAACATAGTAACAAAACCTTACAATGTCAAGTCAGGTAGATAATATTATTTAAATGGAGAGGATCTATACATTATGATGTAGTTGCCTTTAGTTTTGGCACTTCAGTGTGTGTGTGTGTGTGTGGTGGCTGCCTGCTTGATTATGAGGATAATGATCTCTATATCATAATTGTACATCTGCTGCAGGTGCTTGCTCATGGGCACTGCAATAACTTTATAGAAAAATAAGGCAAAGGTGTGTTGAAGCTGGGGGCAACACTTAGCAGGTAACATATTGTTCCCTTAACAATTAAAAGTGGACAAGCAGAGAAGGGCAAAAAATGGAAAGAAAAAAAAACTGTATACACACTGCATGAAAAGTGATGCCATTACCTCAAAAACCACAGCACAGTGGGCAGTACATGATTTCCAGAAGAAAATACACCAAGAGAACAATTTTACAAGACACTGAATCTCTGACAATAGCAAATTGAGTCTCAACAAAAGCAAACTGCCAATTGCTGGTTTTCGTGTTGCTTTTATTGACATGAGACATTTGGTAAAGACACAGGTCTGGACAAGTTGCAGAGAGGCCCATATCTGGATATGCCAAGCTGTTCTGCTGCTAACAGAGAAACCCAGATGTGACTAACTGATAGAGGCCTCTTTTACATTTGTACTAATACATGTTTGCCAGACTTAAAACCAGAAAGGCTTTTAAAAACTCTATTACACTCATGATCACATGAATCCTGTGACCCATCAGGGTCGTAGGGGCACCACATATACTGCAGCCGCAGTAGAAGTGGTGTTTTTTCAGCAAGATAGCCTGACAGAGCCCAACCCTCTCCAGGCTGGTTTTGAATTCAGAGTCACCTTCTACTAGACCAGTTGCCACCCAAGGTTCTGTCCTGCTATTTACCCATGGCTGGGGGGGAGAAGAGAATTCATACCTTTCCCAAGGGTTTAGCATGTAAGTGAATGTAATGAAACCGACTGGAATTCAAACTCAACTCTTCAATTTGTCAATCTGAACTGTTATCCATTACTCTCTGTCTCCTATTACAGTACTGCTAAATAAATTTATTTTTAATATTTGTTTGTCCAATGTTTCCATGCCTGCTAAGACCAGATGTTTTATTAGACTGCTTATGTCACTTGATCAAAATGAAGTCATTTTACTAGTAACAATTCTATTCAATCTAATGTTTCTGCAGATGGATACTAATGTGATTTTTCGGTACAGCTTGTAACAAACCACATTCTTAAATCAATTGAGTCACTGTGGGGTCAATAGTTAATTGTGTCTATGTATATATGATGTAATGAATATGCATACAGCTGTGTTCCTCCTTACAGGAATATGATTGGCTGGTGTCAGCCATAAATACAGGCTGATGTAGAGGTACAGGACGAAGCCAACTATGCCATTGGCCATCCTAGTGGTCTACGCCTGTTGCCTACACCTATTGACTGCGACAAGTACCAGTTCCATTACTGCTACCTGCTAGATTGTTCTACTTGGTTACAGTAGCCTAAACCACTTAGCTACTTCGATCAAATATATCCCTTTCCGGGACATATTAATTGGCGACGAGATTCGAAACGACCTCACAAGTTAAAACATTACACACACACACACACACACAGGGTGCACCAGGTATTTGAAAATGCATCTTCAGCAAGCCATAGATGAAAGAAGATCTAACCCAATGTTAAATGGCAAGATACCAAATTTTAATGTTCTCATTTCTCTTTGAGATATATCAGCAGCTTCCAATCTGACACAGGAAATAAAAAGAGAAGCTACCAACCATAGTGACTCAGAGATAGTCAACAGAATGCCAAAATGACTAGGAGTAACAACAGGACCCCTACAGAAGTATCTACTGTGATGGTTTTGAAATTACTGAGCACGAAAAGACACCCCAGAGAGACTCAGGGTCAATGCCACTGACTACATTGCAGTGATGACATAGTGGTCAAGCGCTGTGTTCAGAGACTGGCTATACCTCTGTACAGGAATAGATAGAAGATAGAATAACAAGATATCCCAGGAAACATAGAAGCTATTGACACAAAAATCATTAAACAACAAAAAATTTGCAAATAGCAGAATAGTCTCAAAACACACAGCAAAAATAACATAGAAAATAAGAAAAAAAAAAAAAAAAAAACAGCATCCACTTACAGCAACACCTCAAAACAATATAATTCTTTCATAGAGAAGAAAATAACAATCAGCTTCCTAGAACAAAATAAACTTATAAACAAAAGATCAGGGCTGATTTCCAAAAGCAGACATTAAAAAGATTCCTACAACTATACCACAGCAACAATGACCAAACATCTAATAACTGAAAAACCTTAGAACCCGAAAAAGTAAACATAAATAGATGAAATGTAATCAAATAAAAATGAAATAAAAATAATTAAAATTAACAAACTCAAGGTTAAATAATCTAAAACATTAGTCCAAAACAATAGGCAAAACTGCTTTCCTACTACCAACATTTCCCATAAGCCTCCAGATATATATATATATATATATATATATATATATATATATATACACACACACACACACACACACACACACACACACACAAAGAACAATAACACATGACACACGAATACATGATATAATGATCACTTAAAGTGCAAAAGTGAGTTAGCATGCAGTGTTGATTCCTATATACACAAAAACATTTTTATTTTTAGTTTATTTTTAATATTATTTATTTTGTTTTATTTTTATTATATTTATTAATTATTATTATTTTATTATTAAAGATTATTATTCATTTTATTTTTATAGTATAAAATAAAAATTGACATAAATGCTTTCAATCAAATTTATTTAACTGAAACAGTGTAATACTTTTCAGCCAGGTGCTTAAGTCATTTCAATGATGCATCATTTTCTTTAAGTTTGGGAACTCTCTCTGGAATTGTCAGAGTACGCTAAGGAGGGAGGGGGTAAGAAGACTTTGTATATCTAGTGTTGCTAAAATCAACCAATTCCGTTGATATATTTATGACCATCTTATCTTTTATTCTGTCACTATTTTTTGATGTTTTTTTTTTAATTTTCTTCCTCTTCCATTGAATATTGAAGAATGAAATGGGCTAAAACATAGTAACAACACAAACACAAAAAAGTACAATTATCCAAACAAAATTTGGAATTGAAATATTAAATATTAAATAATATTTACCTTGTGGAGTGTTGTATTTAATCACATTAGCAGAATTACTTTGATTTTGTTGTGCTGGGAACCTACAAACACAATATTTAGACTGAATTATTAATTATATATACATTAATATTTTTATTTCAGCTTTGTATAAATTTTTGAAAGTGGTTGTAATTCATTTAATAAGGGGTTTTCTTAATGAATATATAGTTTAATTAAGATATGTTGATTATCTGTAAAAAATTAAAAACAAAAAAAATAAAAAGACAATTTTTTAATATTACCTAAGGGGTTCATTTACTTTTGCACAGCACTATGTTGTATGTGTGTTAATATAAAAAAAAATGATATTCAGGTAATCTTGTATTTACTAACTTATAAGATGTATCTGTATTTTGCAAAGATATTTTACATAAATAAAACAAGAAATCATATATGATTGCATGTGATTTTACAGTAGTTTTCATACAATTCAGTGCATATAAATGCAATATATAAATTGTGTATTTGGGCAGCAATCCCTCCTTTATACAAGTTTAATTAAAGACAACTGACAAGATATTGTGATTACTTATTACTTTCCTTGTTGGCTGCTGGTTCATGAAATTTATTACTAAATTACATGACCTGGCAGACAACAAAGAAAGTAATCACAGTACCTTGTCAGGTGCCACGTATTTTAAAAAGAAGATAGAAACCGCAAACGTTTTTGGTTTTAATGTAGATTTCTTTAAAAATATATATTATGCTATATTTTCTATAACTTTGCAACATGTGTTTTGGGTCTTGCGACCTTCTTCAGGCAAAGAGTAGATATTTCCACAAATTATTAAAATGATTTAATTTTCCTTATGTTTTTTGACGTTAAACATTCTCTTTTTTGTGTGGTAGTCTTTCTTGGACTTGTAGTGAGAAAGTTCTTCTGCTTGAAGGGTAATAAAACAAGATTGGTCCAAGAAAGGGTGATGAAAGATATCCGTATTCTTATCTTTCAATGACCCCTGTGTGTTCTTAGATCTATTTCCATTTTTTTGTATTATGTGTTTTTGCTATTATGTGTATGTATATGTATATTCCCTATCCATACATACATACTGTCTTATTATAAGGATAAAATATGCTAATAAATTTATTTTACTTTCAAGGTAAGTAAAAGTGACTATATGTAATTTTTCTACTTGATTTTAGTATTTTCCACTTTGTCTCTAAAATTTTTCTTCATATATAAAAATTTATATAGTTTTAGTAGATACAAGTATTTGATTTGCTATTTTCTTAAACTGAAAATGTCAGATAAAAAATCCATTAAAAAACTATATATATATATATATATATATATATATATATATATATATATATAAAAGAAATATGTTGTAGTGGTTCCAACGAGAGAAAAGTATGTATATTAAAAAGAAGAAGAGAGGTGCATAAACGTTTTTGGTTGTAATGTGGATTTATTTAGAAAAAATATTATGCTTTGTTTTACATAATTTTACTACGAACACGTGTTTCTGGTCTCTTGACCGTCTTCAGGTAAAAGTGGAGATTTCTACATATTTAAAAATAATATTATTAAAAATAATTAATTTTCTTCATGTTCAATGTGAGATATTCTCGATATGAGACATTCTCTGTTTGTGTGTTGGTAATCTGAATTTCTTTCTAGAATTGTCAATGAAGAGTTCTCTTGTATAGGGTCATAAAACAATTAAGGTTGGGCCAGCGAGTAGTTATCGGCATTTTATCTTTTAATGTTTTAGTGACCCCTATGTGCTCTTGGATCTGTTTCTATATATATATATATATATATATATATATATATATATATATATATATATATATATATATAATTATTTATTTAAAAATATGATTTCAATGCTACATAAGAGTTCTCATGTTTCAAAACAAGAGCCGAAAACTTCAATATAATTATTTGAATTAAATTAAAGTACCAAGCTCTGTTCCATCAATTTTTTTTTTTTTTTTGGAATAACTAATTCCTGAAATTTACACGCATATTCATTATTAAAATTAAAATTACTATGGTAACGGCTAGAGCAATTATTTAAAGAAAAAGGGCGTAAGGGTTAATAATTTGTATCAATATCTCAGTTACATTCAAAGACGTCAAGTCAGGGTAAGGTTGGGGGGTGTCTAAATTTAAAGCGGAAGATGACATCGTCTAGTCTGGTTAAGTGTCTATGGAGATTTATTTATTTTTTATTTTATTTTTTTCTGATAGGCTTTTGTGTATATAAAAAAAACTGTCATAAGTCGCTAACATTTGTTTTTTTGACGACTTCATAAAGGGTTATCCTTTTTTTTTTTGTAGGGCATTTAAACTATTTATTTAGACTATGGGATTTAAAAATTATTTTACTGTTTGTTTTTATGCTAATTATTCAATATAAAAATTTGATGATGTCGGCAAAAAAACGTTAACTCATGTCTATTGTTTAATAGATTTTTATTATTTAGAAACTTAATAATGTGTAGTTTTTGATGTAAGCATAAAGAGCATGGGTCATCCCAAGTTTTACAAGTTCTAGTTTTGTTTATAATTTTCCATTTTACCTTTTGGTGTTTTATTCATTTCCTTCAAATGCCAAAAATATTTAGATAGAGATATCTGATTTCTTTTATTTATATTGTTGAAGGAGCACTTATGCTGCCTTCATCTGGTTTTAAATTCATTCTTCGTAAACCCAATGTATATCATATTAGTATTAAGATTCTCAATGGATGAGATAGTACATTGGTATACCACAGATTTTTAGGCCATCATTATTATTATTGTTTGAGTACGAATGCATGAAAAGGACTTATTGGTAGTGAAAGTTTCTTTTAGCATTGCTTTCTTGGGAAATTTGGCATTTCAAGTAAAAATGATTCTTTGGTGTGTGTTATGTATGTTGAGAAAGTAGATATAGCGAGATAAGAGATTCCCTTTAAGGTGTTATCCTTCAGTATTGTTTGTCCTTCATTGTTATTTATTGTGGGTCTACTGAACACAAGTTAATACATTTGTAGCATTTTATTTGAAGACAAAGAGTGTCTTATATGATATATAAACTTATCAAATTTTTATTTTAAGTATCACAACTTATACATACACTTCAATGAATTCAGGTCACTGAATCAGCTTTTATTTTTATAGTAATATATATTTCTAAAGTAATGGATTTTTATTTATTCATCTGACAGATTTTATTACTAAAATGTTATTTTTAGTGGGTACCCATATTTGAGTAAACTCTCTATATTCTTCGTTAATAAGGTTTCTCAAATGTTCGGGCTGGTAGGCGAAAATAAATATACTGTTTAATAAATAAACAGAGAGTCTAGTTAAATATTTGTATCCACTAAAAATAACATTTAAGATTAAAATCTGTCAGGTGAATAATAATATTCATAAAACAACCCTTTATGGCTCTTGGTCCCTGCATTGGGTGAACAACATAAAAAAATACAGTAGACAAGTTCTCTATTTACATTATTCGGACTATTGTCCTCATCTTTGTCACCATATTTATTATAATGTTTCATCCATTGTATGCTCCAGCCTTCTTCAAGTGGTTGCAATATCGAACTGAACCCTTTATTTCACTCACTGGGGTAGACTGTTCTAGTTCTACGTGCCATGTTTAATGGATGTCAGTTATCAGTTATCTCCTGTTAATTTCCCTCTCCAAGTTCTTCACTGCCAGTAAGCGAAATAAAGGGTTCAGTTCAACATTCCAACCACCTGAAGAAGGCCAGAGAGTACAACAGCCAAAATGTAATAAATATGGCGACAAAGATGAAAACGATAGTCTGAATAATGTAAATACTGTACATAATACCTCATCTCAGAAATATAGACAGATACTAGACAAGTTCTCACAATCAACTCTTAATTTTTTTTAATCATTTCACCCCAAGCAAAGCAATAAAGCCACCAAGATGCAAGGGGTTACTGAGAATATGAAAAAAATCAAAATATCATTAAGAAGAGGGAATAATAAAAAAACTGAAATTAAGAAGACAGAAGATAATGATTGAAATTGCATTTTCAATTTCTGAAAAGTTGATAATGAAAACGTATAATAAAAGTTCACAAAGTCCAAATCCCCACATACACATATGCAGCCTCCTCACAATAAATTCTCTCAATAGGAAAAGTGAGTTGCTTTTATAGCAATTTACTGGACCCTTTATGGTTTACTATTTGTGGAGCATAGAAATGAATCAGCATATTTTTTCTATACAATCCATTCCACTTGGTGACACTTATAGGGCATAGGGAAGATAATTTATGGCAGTAGGAAAGTGACTGAATCTGAGATGCCAGGTTAGGACCAATAGCATTTCAGATTCTCTTTTTGGTTTTATCAAGATTTTATCAAGAATCTCTAAATATATAGCAGAAGCAACAAACCAGATATGAGAGCAATATTTAATGCATGATTTTAAGTTTCTCTTAAAATTGATTTAAAAAATAAAAGAAATTATTTCTGGTCACCTAATATTGATTTTACAAAAAGGTCATGATAAATTATAAAATAAAAATCCCATTTCATTATCTCTTCACAAATATCCAATAACCAAAGTACTAATTAAAATAATACTCAAGCACTATATAATGGCCGGCTGCTCATGTCCAAGCATGCCTGTATGCTAGGGTAGCCAGCCATCTCTATTGAAGATGCCTGCTCAAACATATTTGTATTTGTTCAACACTCACGGAGCATACATACTAATTTATACTGTAACTATTCTGAGTAGGCCTTAGTTAGAGTTTCTAGGACAGAGAACATCATCTGGTGCGATCAAAAGTTTGAATTCCAGTACACTCAAATCATAACTCATGATGTCAAGATTTTGAACCAGCACAAGCCACAGATGTTTAAGGTTTCCTATAGCCCCACTGAACTTAAAATCAATTCAGGTTTGCTATGGTAAAAATTTTCTATCCCAAATAAAAATCATCACAAAAATGGCAAAAGTCATTTTGTCACAGCTTATTTTCTCTCAAAAAATGGATTTTCATACTTCTATAGCAGTAAAATATTGAAAAATGACTGTTTTATCATCTTCTAAACAAATATCAAGGAAACTTTTGATCTGACCCCATGAAACTAGGTATTTTCTGAAAGCAAAGGATGTATTCTTTCATTTAAAAGTAAAATTGGCTGGTGTAAATGACTCAAAATTTTTTTTCAGAGTGTAAAATGTGAAAAAAATAGTGAAAATTTTACATTTTTTCTAGTTCTAAACAAACATTTTTCCCCATTAATGGGAAATTAACCATTTTTTTTTTTTTGAAAATCAGAAAGCCTAAATCATAATCAAACTATTTCAGGCATAAAATTGAGAGTTTTGAAGGAAATCAACATTCCTCGGGTGTCAAAATGCAACAAAGTCCATTGGTAATTTTCAATTATATAACTGCCAGGGGTTAAAAAAAATTGACACCCAATCACGGAAATCTTTAGTAAAAGCCAAAGGATTTATCTGCAATTCCTGACCACCAGAAACCAAAAGTTTGTTTTTTTTTCCAAAAAATAGCAGCGATAAGGAAAATTAAACCAAATTAACTTTGACATCTTTGGGTCAAAGGTCAGCCAGCCAGCAATAAACGTTTAGAACAAGTTGTAATAAAACCCACCACTCCCAGATAAGAGCAAAGAGTGAAAAAAAAAAGAAGGGTCAACATTAGTAGGGCTTGATATAACCTGAACAATGGCTCGATGTGTTTTGTTTTTAACACCCCGTGACCCAGGAGATGACAACAACACTTAGCAGACGACATTGTTTTTTTGCTGCATATCTTTCGTATTTCCCATCACCGGGCCATTTAGCCGTTCCTTTTATTCAATGATGTTCACACCAAATGGAAGAGAAAGGGATGAAGTTTGAATGATACTATTTTGAAGTGAAAATAAATATTTTTTCATTAAAAAACGGAGATTTTTCTCAGAAAATTGGGGATAATTTCTTAATGCTAACCGCCAATTGATATTTTTCACAGCCAAATCAAAGATTAATTACCAGTGAATAATTCCATGTGCAAACAATAGCCATCTGGATCCATAACGTCGCCCGAAAAGGTCCAGAAGTTTACTGATTGATCAAAAACTTGTTGCACATAATTGTATTTTTCATGGTCAGTTTCCATTATTTCATCTTGATGTTGTCATTTTCGGACAGCCAAGTCATCAAGGATTCAGGAAAACATTTTGGTATAAGATTCAGGAAAACAGTTTGGCTTTAAGAACTTTACATTCTATGAGGTGTTTAAAATGTTACTGACGAATGAGATTTTTTGCCGAATATTTTGTTTATGCGCCATGTTGAATTTTCCTATATGACAAAAACAAGGCTTTTAAACAGCCGTGAAGCATCAACAAACAGTTGTGACTACCCAACGTTATTCACAAGACTTGGGTCAACTCATAATATGGTTTTCCAGATACTTTCCAAAGGTGCTGCACAATGGGATTACCTTCACAAACCAATTACATCAAGAAGTCCTGACAAATTGACCATGGCCAGAAAGCAAACATTCTAACCAATTGCCAATGCGTACATAAAACACAATCTAAATACACATAAATCTTACCTAATTAGATCATAGTGGTCATGCCAGTCACTGCCTTTCTGTAAAGGGAAGGCCATTTCACGTGGCATTGGGGTTAGCCCCACCAAATGGAGACCCATTTTCTTACCCTCAGCAACAGAAACCCCTGCAGAAAATAAAGTGATATTCATTAACTAAAACAGATACATTACCTCTGATAAATATTGAATAATATGAGATAAGACGTTCTCATACTGACCAAATGACCAAATTTATATTGGAATCTCATCGTGGTCAGGTTGAGAAATTCTGCTCATGCCACAAATAAGACAGACATATTTAATTGAAAATGATTCATATACTCTTTGTTGGGTTAAGCAAAAAGAAGCCAAAAGGTTTGGTTTGTTTTATGACATATCAACTTCAATGGGTTATTTAATGCTGACAAGATTTTTATTACTGGTAATAATTTTTTTTCAAAAATGTATTGCTGGTAATGTTTTTTTTTAATGTATAGTTGGTAATTTTTTTTATTCAAAAATGTATTGCTGGTAATAATGCTGGTATTAAAACCTATTTTTACACTTCCATAGAGTTTTGACCCCAGTTTGGAGGTTAACTATTTGCTACCATCCTGGGTCAGAGTGAACCTGGGAACATCAGCAATTAAGAGGTAGTTCCACACTCTTCAAAACCTCCTGATCAGAGGCCTTGCTGTTAGACATAGTTTATCCTCTTACACAGGGCACGGATGTAGTTTATCATCATACCCAGGACAGAAAGTCAAAAGGAATGGGAAGGACAAAGGAAAAGTGAGCCAAAAGGATTATAGAGAGCAAAGCAAAAGAGAACAAAAAGAGCTGGGGAAGACAAAGTAAAAGAGCATCAAAAGTGTTGGGGAGAGCAAAGCAAAAGAGAACAAAATGGGGTTGGGGAGGGCAAAGAAAAAGAGAACAAAAACGATTGGGAAGGATAAAGCAAAAAAGAACAAAAAGGGATGGGAAGGACAAAACAAAAGAGAAAGAGTATGGCTGGGAAGGACAAAACAAAAGGGAAAGAGTATGGCTGGGAAGGACAAAACAAAAGGGAAAGAGTATGGCTGGGAAGGACAAAACAAAAAGGGAAAGAGTATGGCTGGGAAGGACAAAACAAAAGGGAAAGAGTATGGCTGGGAAGGACAAAACAAAAGAGAAAGAGTATGGCTGGGAAGGACAAAACAAAAGAGAAAGAGTATGGCTGGGAATTACAAAGCAAAAGAGAGACAGTTTGGCTGGGAAGGACAAAGCAAAAGTGAATAAAAAAAGGTTTGGGGAGAGCAAAGTAAAAGAGCGTCAAAGCAGCAGATTAGGTTGGTTAATCTCATAACTTATTAAAGTTTCTTAGGTTATTTTATGTCAAATATTTTTTAATGAATTAAAATGTGTCACATAAGTTTGGTTTACACCCAAATCTGTAAATATTAATCCAGTAGGTGTACTCTTTTGAGGGTGGAGTCTTATCTCAATGCAAGGCATAAAATTGGTATATTCTAAGCAGGAAACAAAAGGAAGAATTAAACTAGACAAGTAAGTGTCAAATTAGGTAAAAGAATAAGATCAAGGATCCTTTTGTTCTTGCATATTAGTTGCTTATATCACAATGTTTCAGCTTCTGTACTCTTGGTCTTCTTCAAATACATCATATCAGGTATGACAAGAGCCAAAGGAAGGCCTAATAGTATAGTAGCTGAAGATTGTGACATATAAAAAGAACAAGATGAGGATGCAAGTATAAAACAATCATTACATAATAACATAACAATGCCTAAAAAATTGAAAGACAACCCCTTCCAAAAAAAAAAAAACAATCATTGTTTGAAAGAAATTTGTACCAGAAATAGGCAAGCATAGGTTTATTTTGATTTACTCTAATTTTTACCTGGTTCAAATAGCAAGTCGCTGGTGAAAAGGTTCTTAAGGCACAAATTTGCACAAAGGCGAATGCTCTTCAGGCATAGATATTTTTTGTTGGCAAATAATGCCAAGATCTGTTGCAAGTCAAAACAAAGTACTGTCCAGCGAACAGACTGAGGAGCAGGACCATTAATATCTGACAAAATAAAAAAACAGCATGAAAGAGAAAAAGAAAATCAAAATTAGATCTTTTATTAAAATTTAGAACATTTACAGACTATTCAAGTTCAATGCTAAAAACACAGATTCACAAAAATCAATATTCATGTTGATTAAAACCAAAATGACTTGTTCAAATCTCCAAAGAGGGAAACTCACAATGTGATAATATATAATACTTCTATTCTCCTTCACAAAAGAAAAAAAAAAAAAATGGTTAAAAAATATCTCCCAAATTTTATATGCAAAGTTGATGTTTCTAGTTTCTAGTTTATACCCTATTGATTACCTGTACTTGAACCTATATAGGAATGGGTAGGATATGATGTGGATATGCAGACTCGGTGGTTTCCCTATCCCTAACAAGGATCTCTTTGTTGTCTGACTCTGGATAATTAATTATACCTCCAAATCTGGAGGTATAATTAATTTTTCAATGGGTAGCGATCAGAGGATATCAATCTGCCCAACTCCTTCCTACTCTTATTTGTGCCTCACACTAACACTTCCTAATGTACATAGGCAATTCCTCCGTCTTCCTTAGTATGTCATCTGTGCCTGTCACCTTGGTTGTCCTTCAACCAATCTGGCTCTCAACTACATGGCATGACCTTAGTTTAAATTATCATTTTAAATTTCGCATTGGTGAAATTTCTCAGACTGGCTTTTCTCAAAACTCAGAAATTTACTAGCAACTTCCTCTGGTCAGTCAACCCCCACCAATCCAGTCAGAGCCATTGTACTCCAAGCACACTGAGTCCTGGATCTTTATACAAAGAAATTATGTCCTTGATTAGGTAATTCCTTTGATTTGGTTTGAAATTGTCAAGTTTTTTTCCATTTCACTAAAACAGACATTAAAGACTTCTATCTTCCCTTCTTTCTTTCATTTTCTGACTGAAACCAAGTAGTGTCTCTGATATGTCTTTTCAGTTATTCTACTGTGATCAAAACAGAATAGGCTATTATTTATGAAATTGGTAAGAGATGTTAAATACTTCTATCTTCCCTCCTTTCTTTTATTTTCTCACTAAAACCAAGTGGTGTCTCTGATATGTTTTTTCAGTCTTTCCACAAAACAGAATAGGCTATTATTTATGAGGTATTGGCAGGGTGTAATGGTCGTGCTAACTAAAGGATGAACAAGCAAGATTATGAGATTACTGTCATGGGTCCTTACCTATAACTACAGAATGAACTCTTCCTAACACTATGTATACTATGTCTCTCAAGAGAGAGGGACGAATCAAGTCGAGCCGTTAGTAGTTCACTCCAAACCAGACTGACAGTCTTCACATCTGTGTAATATAGCTTCATTATTTCTACTCTTGTGTTCGTGTTATTCTTCCTTGGTCCTAACCTGGACCATAACAATTATTCAATCCATGTTTGATCAAATCCACAAATGAAAATCCATGGATATGAAAAGACAATTGCATTTATTAAAACATTTATAGGAATAACTTTTGAACAAAGATTTCTTTACATATTTACAGGTTTCCAGATTGTCGAGGCACATAAGCTGAGAAGTGTGTTCTTTAAGAAAAAAAATAAAAATCATGAAATGAGTCATATTATCACTATTCAGATTTTCCTGATAACAGCTTTTACAACCCAAGAAATAAATAATAATAGTAATGGCTTCAGCAAGTTATTTTAAAGTTCTTACCAACTGAACCTGCTGTGGTGATGGCACACACAGATCCTTTGGCTGGGTTGCAGATGTAAGGAAACTGTAACCAAGTAGAGGTTGCCTTGAATTCCTTGAAAAGGTTGGAAAATGAGATGCGTACAACAACGCCATCAACAGTGGTGGTGTCAATATGAACAACAAAATATTTTCCAGGAACAGGCTTAAGCAGCAGGTAGAGGTAACGGCCTGTCAAGGAAAGTGACTGGCTGTTGGATTTTGGAAGATGGATAAAGTTGGCAGCAGGCACAGAACCTGAGATTCGATAGACCATGCCTTTTAAATTACGGTCCTAGAAAAAATAAAACGAATAGTTAATAAAAAGTGCATTTCACTTCATATTAAACATAATTCAAAGAAACTAACATTAAATGTCCTGAATCACACAAAAGTGACATTTTATTCTCTGTATGTTTATCATAAAGACTACTCAGCATAATGATGTTCCCAATTTGATGGTTTTATTTTTCATCCTCTTGCCCTAACAACCACAGAGTTACTATAGTCTCAGGTAAATGCCTTATTTCTAAAAATTGTTATGAAACTGAGATTTAAAAAAAAAAACAAAAAAACAAAAAAACAATGGTTTAGAATCCATTCAATGAACCAATAAATATTTTGGGGAGGAAAATAACGTATTTTGAAAGAATATGATCTTCAATTCCTCCAAAAATTAAAAGTTAATTTATGGATGGGTGAGAGGGATCAATAATTTAAGTATATATCATTATATATGGGTCCTTACTTTGAGTCCATTTTTATTAAAGTATTGGATCTTTTCTGCTAATTCATGACATAATTTCAAAATATGGAATTGTATTAAAATTAGGTCCAAACAATAGGAAGGGAACGGGTTGGCCCGGCACCGCCTACTTCCGGAAACACTCCTCAGCTTCACGACAGCTACAATCCAGCTACAAAACTCCACAGATCTTTGCACTCAAATGTTCCAACACCGCCTCGTAGTTCGCTACACACAACTGTCTCGAGTGGTCTCCCTTGCGTCACATTTATCCCAGCTTAACACCAACCAATTTGCATATGCCCAAGTTCTCCTCTCGCAATCCTCGCGACTCACGAGATCGCGTTTCCATAAGTCCGACTCACCATAATGGTGGTGTTTCTTTCTTCGACCAATTACTGCCCTACACGCCAGACACAAACGAACCCTCTTATGCCGAGAACTGAGGTTAGTCTCATTTTCATGTCCACACTCCCCTGGTCTCAAGATCACACATGTGACATTGTGGACGTGGTCGTTTGTTGCGGGCACTCCTACGAAGGGGATTGTCTGGACTTCTTCATCGGGGCTCTCAGAAGGGGCATCAGAACTATCCGCATCAGCATCGGGTCCGCAGTCAAACCATCAGGCCCGAGGGGCATAGGTCGGATCCACAGTTCATCGCTGGATGATTCACCACTGCTGCTACTAGTCAACTGGTTCGTGATTTAGGGCGGGCGGACATCCTTCACATGGCGTGGAGTACCATCGACCAGCACTGCTTGCTCATTGACGATGCCGGTGATTCGCTTTTCTTTGAAAGCTGGTGGTGCACCGCTATTGGGAGGTTTCACCCAGACGGTGTCCCCTAACTTATACGGCCCTCGTGTTTCCCGCCCGATCAGGCAGACACACGTCAATGCCCTTGTTGCGCACTTGGTAGCGATGGATTGCATTGGCGGGAAAGCGCTTTGCAGCAGTCACGGCATCCTTTGGTGTTGCATTATATCTATAGACCGCCTCGCTATCGTGCACTGCTGCTTCCGGCGCGATCCTCTTCACGCTTCGGTGGCACCGCTTTCTGCTATGCCGTTGCCACCGCGGCACATATGCACATCGGTGTCTGAGCCGATCCCCACTGCTCACTAAACGCCCTAAACTCCCGCTGCAGAAGGCCCGTGTCGTTATCCGTGAGGATCTCTTCAGGCGGCCCCTTTCGTAAAATATGGACTCAATTCACGGATGACACTGGATGAGTCCTGTCTTACTAATGGGCGCCAGATCGCGAACCTCGTCGGTCCGCAATCTATCAGTGTGAGGAAATGCTGGCTGCCGTAATGGGTTATGTCCATACCCAGTCGGCCCCAAGTCGTGTCTACCCCCAGCCGACCCTTCCGCCATCTAGCTGGGGCGGGGTCGATTGACTGGCATATTTGGCATTCCTTCACCACCGCTCTCACTTCACTTTTGGACACTGACGGATTGGTCAACTGTACAAAATAGCATGTCCGTCTTACTCCGGGGTGCCCACTGTTGTGGTGTATCTCCTTGATTTTGTCCGCCGCCTCAACAGAGGCAGCACATAGTAACGGTACTGGCTCAGCTTCTTTCTTCATGGCGCCATACCATCTCTGTGGCACACGAGTGAGCCTATCAGCAAGGTTGCAGTTTGAGGTGACAAGCACCGCATCCATAGATAGGTTGTACTCTGTTACCAGCTTTCTTATGGTCTCCAACCTCCGCCTGATCAGCATCTCGCTAGTCGCCTTGGTACGCACCCTGGCCTTGCCTGTCAGTGTGTCCGATATCCAGTGGTACACACATAGCGAATCAGTGTGTGTAATTTCCTGACTTTCCACTGAGTGCCAGGTTGATGCCTTTTATCACCGCATCGAGCTCTGCCAGGTTGATATGAGCAGCGTCATTCACCGGTCGCAACCAGCAGGCGTCCTCAATCGCAGCCCCATTATTCTCCAACAGCACACCAATCGCCAGAGAGCTCGCATCCACCTACACGCTCAGTTCGTCTCCCTGCACGCACCAGTCTCCTTTGGCGGGGTCATCCTGCTTTACCCTTGCGATGGTCTCCTTCACCATGCGAACCAACAGATCGTCCGTTGTTTCATCGTCCCAGCCTTTGGTGACTGCGCTTGCCCTTCTTTTTATGGTGCCTGTTGCCACACGAGTCCATCCACACACTGGTAGATGCCCCACAAGTCTTCCACACAGGGAGAATATAGCTCGCCTCGTGAAGACATCGGGTACTTCAGGAACTGCAGTTCTGCACCCCCATTTTAAGGTCTCTCGCTCCTGTTGAACGTTGAGGCCCAAGACACGGGCGCCATCCTCCAAACGTTCTGGGTCCTTACAAGTCAGACCAAACTCAGCCAGTTTGGACCTCACGCGTGATGACGACACAACGCCTTCGTTCACATATATATCATCAAAAAGTACGCGATGTCCCTCTTTATTGTTTCTTCCTGTGACAACACAGCGTTGACGATGGTCTTCATTATTTGGGGTGCCACGCTCAGCCCGAAGCCCAGCCTAGTAAGGCAGTACCTCCTGCCGCAAACTCCACTGTCTGAAACGGCCACATCGTCTCGCTGACCCGGACCTACAGGTACGCTTTTTCTTAGATCCAGCAGGGACACATTGGAACCCTGCTGGCGCCATTCTCGTAGCTTGCTGGCACAAACGTCAGCATCTGCCGTGAACGCATCAACATGCGCTGCTTTAGTTCGCGGTAGTCCATCACTGGCCTCACCTTTTGCTTTGTTGTGCTGAGCAACCGCCATCAGCGGGATCAGGCCTTTGGGAGGTCCAAGTTTCTCATAGGGGTAAGGGAATCAACCAGCCATCCTTGATCCATTCACGGAGCTCCCCTTCGTATGCAGGCCTTATTTGATCGGGCACATGGTACTCGGCTACCTCGTTCCGCAGTTTGGCTGGTTCCTGGTTTTCCGACCACCTCCATGAGGTGATCCAAGTCTTCTGCTGCTGGTCAAATTCGACACTAAAGTCCGCTGGTCGATCCTCAGAGCTGCGCACACTGGGGCCCTCTCCTGAAACTGTACTGCCCCCGCCTCGTTATGTGAACACCACCTAAAAGCTCTGATGGCATCATAGCCTAGAAGCAGGTCAAAACTCAGTGGTTTTTTCGAGCACTACTAGCGCCTCGATGTTGGCCGAGTTCCAGTTCTTGTACAGATGTTCACCTACCACCCCGCAACACCTTCGTGTTTCTCCACTGATGGTGGTCACCCTGACACTTCAAGTGGGTAGAGGTCCGCGCACACTATGGTCTTGGGAGCAACCGAATCGAGGAGTGCTGAGCACAATGTCTCATTAATATAGACCTGAATGATCGGAAGCGCCTCATCTAATTTCTGCTTGGGGAAGAGGTCGACGCTGGCACCTTGTCCCCGGCCCCGGTTCCCGCACAATCCCGGACCATATCTCCAGTCTCATTACACCGGTAGCAGCGAACAGCTGTCAGTCACCTCCTGCAGTTCCTCGCAATGTGGCCCTGGCCACCACACCTATAACATACGACCCCACCACGGGGGCTGGGCCCCTGATACGATCTATCATCACTTGGCGTGGACTGTGCAGCGGCGACTACCGGTTCTCTCACCTCAGAATTATCTTTCATCATGGTCCTGGCCCGTCTACCAGGTCATTAAGGGACAATGAGTCTATGCTTGAGATCACTCGCAGGAGTTGCTTTTGCTGTTCGGTTGGGAGCCCTGCCAGAAATTTGCATGCCAAGGCCCGCTGGGCAGCCCACGAACAACACCAATCAACTTCGTCAGCTCGCCAGATACACGACAGTTTCGCCTGGAAGTAAAGTTCTTGCCTCGAATTGTTCCCCATGCAGTGTATGAGTCGATAGCAAACGCCTTTTGTATAGTGCTGCCTTGATTCTCTTATAATCCTGTTTTTCCTCAACACTGAGCTGTTGATACACAGCCGAAAGCCCCCGCCAGACAGCCGCCAGAGGAATCACGTGTTCAATGCTCTTTATGCCAGACAAGAGGCAATGCAATTCCACTTTTTCCACCCAGTCAAGTACCGGGGTTAAGCCATCGAAATCCGGAATCAATTTCAGGTCGAATCTGTCCCCCATTATGCCGAAATAGCTTGTATTAAAATTAGGTCCAAACAATAGGAAGGAACAGGTTGGCCCGGCACCGCCTACTTCCGAAACACTCCTCAGCTTCAACGACAGCTACAATCCAGCTACAAAACTCCACAGATCTTTGCACTCAAATGTTCCAACACCGCCTAAGAGTTAAGCTACACACAACTGTCTCTGAGTGGTCTCGTAGGCCACACATTTATCCCAGCGAACACCAACCAATTTGCATACGCCCAAGTTCTCCTCTCGCAATCCTCGAGGCTACGAGATCGCGTTCATAAGTCCCACTCACCATAATGGTGGTGTTTCTTTCTTCGGACCAATTACTGCCCTACACGCCAGACACAAACGAACCCTCTTATGCCAAGAACTGAGGGTAGTCTCATTTTCATGTCCACAGGAATCCAAAAATGAACAAAAAGATAAAGTT